GATAGGATCTTCGTAGAAGGAATATCGTTCTCCTGGATAGACAGACACAAGCACCACTTAAATACTAAACTCCTAAACAATCACAATATATTTTTTTGTTAATTATGACAATTATACAGCTACTAAGTGTAAGAACGCGGCAAAAAATAAAAAAAAAGTCTTGAAACATATTTTTGCAATAATTCCAAATTTATTTCATTTTGTTCCAAAGTAATTACCGTTGCATAAAAATATATGATTAATAAACAAAAATAGCACTCAATAAATGTATTTATTGTTATAGTTATGTAAGATAAAAATAAAAGAAGAAATATTCCAGGCAACTCAACACTATTCGCACATTTCTGTTCTCTCAATCTATTTATCGATCGTGCTTATTACTATATTACAGTACAGTAAATTGAAACCAATTGGCATAGCTTTCTGAAGTGCATAATTTATTTTCTTAATTAATACTTTCGTTTTGAATTCTTCTGCCCATTCATCGAAAGGCGTTGGTATGTGGCCATACATATGATTCAATAAATTTTATGCTCTTATAAAGTTTAAGATAAACCTAGATTAGCCAAACTATTGCTTGCCTCTTGTCAACCAGGTGTAAGCATTCACACAAGCAGAGGATGGAGCGGGTACCGGGAGCCTAATTGCCGGCCGAGCCTGCGGTTCCTGGGCCCCACCCCCGCGCTGGGCGCCGCCTCCGGAATCCTCTGGGGCACGGCAGTCTGCTTCCACGCGGCCGTCCTGGGGCTGGCAGTGCCCGCTATGGTGGGAGGGCAGCAGCTAGCGGCGGTGGCAGTACTGCTGGCAGTCCTCTCTGCTGTCACCCTCGCGGCAGTGGCAGTCGTCCTCCACCTCGACTGCGCCTACGATCCTGACTGACCTACGGAGCCGCCACTTCCGGCGGTAGCGCTTGTAGCCCAGCCCGAGAGGCCGACACGCCTGGCCTGGGTAGTTTGAGATCAGTTTTGCTGCATGAAACATTTCATTGATTTTGTTCAGTATCTACTTTCTAGAATGATACTTCTTTTAATGTAATTAATATATTGATCTCTGTTTCCAATAACAGCACTATGATTGTTTCTTCATTAGTAAATATTCCATATTTTCCATGTGGATTTTTCTTTATACAAATACTCTATTCTTAAAAAAATTTCAAAAGTTCCAACAAAAAAAAAAAAAAAACCTATTCAGCAGAATATAATATAATCTATAAAACCATAATAGAATTATAGAATCCTGGTTGTTTAAAGCATCCTTAATTGTTAAGAAATCAAAAAATAATTATAAGAAACTCTCCATCGGTTTGCTATAAACTGGAAATATGATTCTTAGAATTGAATGGATCATTAGGAAGTAGATATTGATATGTTTGAGAGCCTACTTTTGTGTTAAATGTTGTTCTATACTATTTTATTGTATAATTTATACTTCAATGATAATATCCAATTACAGTTCAATTTAATACAAACTACTAGATTCCTAAAAAGACGTGCCACGCCACTTAGATCTCCAAAATAAATCTTAATAAACACACACTGTTTTTCATTATCATGTTTCTGTACATATATGTCAGGAATGAATACTGCGTTTTATTTTCGTCTTTCTCTAAACAACTTTTCTATCTTCAATAAATATAGCTATAGAAATTGTGCAATACTTGTTGGACTGTATATGTATCAAATTTCATGGTATTTATTCCCTAATGTCAGCTCCAAAATGAGGCTCAATTCATATCATTACAGACATTCAATCTTGAATTTTAGTTCACTTCATCAAATTACAATCTTGTACTTTAACTTATATGACGCAACAATGGGATTTTTATTTTATTATTAGCACTCTACTATACACAATTAAAATTATTGGAAAAATTCTTTATTGTATATTTGTAATAGCCACATTCTTGGCACTGACCGAGAAATGTTAACATTTTGTTGGATGAAACTGTTACATTCAACAATTTTATTAGCGCCTCTTCTGGAATGCAAATTGATGTGTTTAAAATATAAAATGTATAATTTCTGGTTACTTAACTCCTTAGAAATCAGTATTTATTCCTTTCTAAAATCTTCCATAATTTAATGTGTATTTCACTTATCATTTATTTAACTTTTATTCTATGAGTATTTTCTCTTAGAGAAATCATTTCGAAACTGTTGAGCCATTTATGGTAATTTTTCTCATTTTTTGAAAAATTTGATAAAAACTGTATTCATTGGCCGTGGTTTTCGAATTTACTAATTAATTAAATTTTAAATTTTAGGTATTTATTCGATACACAATTTAATGTTATTTAATTTCTTAAAGAGTTATCTATTTGATTCGATATACCATTCAGATGCTGTAGATGAAAAAATAAAATCTGGCTTTTATGGCTGTCAAAAGTTTTCCTCCAGTGATCCATGTTAGTAATTTTTTTTTACATGATTGAACTCATATTTGTATGTTAAAAAAATAAAAACTTTTTCCATACTTTCCACAATATATTTCTGGTTTCGATCCTCAGATTAGCTGCTATTTTTTAGTAAAGGTTCTTAAGAATAATTTACACTTTCATAATTTACATTCGAATCTTCTCCTGCAATGAGTACACTTTTTTAGCCCTCAGCTCCAAAGCTAACAGGGGTAATAGAATTATAGTATTTGGTATCTTAACATTAACAATAAATTATCTGTTGAAAAGTGTTAATATGATTATATTATATCATGAAAACTTGAACATTAAAAAATGTTCTCTTAAAACCAAATGTTCTATTAAGTAGCCAAATAATTATTTTAAGATTATTTTAAGTAAATCGTAATAATTTAATTAATTTTAATTATAAAAATATTTGTCATGGTTGTGTACTCAAATATTATTAAATATTTTTTTTTATATATAATTGAAAAACCATAACTATAAATTTTTCCACCATACAAAGAAATAATTAGTAATAATTAAATTGACCAACAATGCTTTACTTACACTTCATTAATAAAATGTTATTAATATCACTTTGTACAACCATTGTGGTTTTAAGAGTAAATTATTAACTAGAATTAATAACACTGTAAATTTGTATATCTAATGTGTACAAAGATGTTAATGTTATTTTCATAAAAAAAAATAATATATAGAGAAATAATTTATAATAACTTTAGAAAGTGTAAATAATATAGTATTGCTTGTTTAATATAGTATTGATTTTAATTTTGTTCTTAATATTGTAAAAATCTTTATTTTCAACAAAAATTTATGTAAATAGTTTTAAACATTTCACTTATAATGTATATATATTTTTTTTCTTAGCCTAATTGATTATAAAACCATGTAAATAATAGAAAATAGAAACTTCATATAAATAACTTCAATTTTATGTAAAAATCCTTTATCCAAAAAATTAACATGAAGATATCATTGAACTGATGTTTTATTTGTTAAGAAAATAAAGGCAATACCCTAAACCAGAGAACATAAATTTATAGGTAAATAATCAAAACAAAACCAAACAAAACACTACAAAACCAAACAACATCTTCAATAAACTCCTCAAAACCACCCACCACCAAAAAACACAAACCTTAAATTAAATAAACCCACCACCCCCCCCCCACCCCAACTCCCAACACAAACAATCTCAACAAAAAACCAACATCCCAAAATAACAACATTAATACATAACTAAATTTTCCCATATTTTACCAACCCACCACCCCACCCACAAATCCTCATCCCTCCCATTTTACCCCACAAAACACACCCAATAACAAACAAAAAAACAAATAACCCCTCTCCAACACCATTAACCAACAAACAAAAAACCCTTACCCATACACAAACAAACAACCCCCAACAAAACCCACACCACACCCCCACACTTCCACAACACAACCCCCCAACTACCCTCTCAACAAACCTAACCACATCACAAACAAATAAACAAATTAACCACATATACCAACCCACCATTACCATCACCCACACAACCACACATCCCACCAAAAACACATCCCAAAACAACCACCCATACATATAACACCCACAAACACCCCCCCCTCACCAACCCAACCCCAATCCCCACACCCCAAACAATTCTCCCCAAAAACATTCCATCATTCACAAACCCTAACAAATCCACCACACCCCCCCCTCCCCTCCAAATCCCTAACACACCTACCCAATCCCCCCCCCTTCCCCCATACCCCCCCAACCCCCAAATATCTCCAACCATCAATCACCCTAAACATCACCCAACCAATTAAACACTTCCCAAAAAAACCCTCATTCCCTCCCATTCCATAATTCCCCCAAAACCCCATACCTCTCAATTAACCATAAAATCCCCCCCCCAACCCCCCCATCAAACACACCTAAATTACCCCCATACTTCAAACTAAACAAACCCACAAAACCCCTCCCCTCCACCCAACAATAACATACACCCCCCATCACCAAAAATACCCAAAATTACATCTATCAACAAATCCCCCATCATTCAAACTACCATCTCAATCCACATATAAACCCCCACACTAAACATCCCCTCACCACCCCAATACCACCCAAACCCCAAACCCCAAAATTATCAAATAACCCCTAAATAAACACAACACTACATCAAACCCCCACAACTACATTACAACTATTTATACACCATGCAATAGGTAAAGTAGGCATACCAAAAAATAATATAATAATTTATGATTATTAGATTGAATAAAATAATTTTTAGAAACAAATACAACTGCATTCTTCTAATAATGGAAATAAAATTTCATAAAAAAATTATAAGTTTATACAGATTAAATTTTCAATTGTGCTCATTATTATAAAGGAAATGTAAATAGCAATAATTTAAAGTTGTGATGAAAAACTACATACCTATTATTAGGATAAGATTTCAACATATATGGAAGATATATATTTTATCTGGTAAGAGGTGCTAGTGATACAAAAAATCTATGTTTAATTGGTAATATTTTATAATTAATTTGAAAAAGTTCAATTTTTTTTTAAATAATCATCTATGAACTGGTAAAATTTGAAATATCTTTGGTATAAGCAGTAATATTAAACAGATCACTAAAGAAGGTGTTAAGTTGGCATAACCTGAAGAAGGAGTAACTCCAGGTGGGCCTCCATCTCGTGAATAGACACGATTGTAAATAGCTCCTGATACAAGTTTCGGAGAAGAAAAGATAAGTTTGGATGAAGAATCTTTTACTGTAAAATCAATGTTAGACATATTTTTAACTGATCCAAATTGATATTCTGTTTCTGATGATTCCATAAAGTGAGGAAAAGTATAGCTATCCTGAGCAAGCGTAGATGTTGTTATTGTGACCTCGTTGAAGACAGTATCATAAACATATAAAGGACCATATACAATCGTATCAATTACTAATGGATCTATGAAACCTGTTTTCAATCCACAACTTGCGAATGTGTCATTCAAACAGGATATTATCCCACAGATTTGATTTCCTCCAGTAGCAAAGCCATCAAAAGTTCGTATACCATTGAAAACTGCTAATCGATATCTGTAGTGATAAAATGAATCTGTTAAAAAGTATGATCTGTCTTTCTTAATTGGAAAATCATCAGTCTTGTAGGTAACTGTCATATTAACATGAAAATGGCAGCAAAATTCGCTTTGACATATTTCTTGGTCGATAACAGCTTCCTGAATGAAGCAGTGTTTCCCTTCATCTCCTACCTCAGGTACTTTAATTAGAGCTGTATCTGGGAGCAACATTTCAGTGACAAAATCTTCAAGATACTGCCTCTTTAATTTAAAGTTTTCTGTCCCAGCTGGAATAGGATGAAGATCTTTAATCACTCCTTCAGAAGTTCCTAAGATAAAAAAAATATATAAATGAAATTCAGAAAGACATACTTCATCATTTTTTAATTTTTATGTTTTTCATTTTTTTTTTAATTACCATTTTTATTGTCCTTATAGAATTTAAAACTGCCTTTTAAAACCCTACATTGAGGTTTTTAAGCTCTACAACTGTTAACCAACACAACAGTTTTTTAAGCTCTACCAAAACCTATTAGCTTGTAAATGATTTAAAATTTAAATATACATTTGATAAAAAAAAAGATCATCCCTTCCTCAATAAGTCAGATATAGACAAAACTATGAACATTAGAATAAGTATGTAACAGAAATCTCTGAAATGCTTATTTAAAAAAAAAATAAACCCAAGCAATATCCATGTCTAGGATGATAGACAAATCCTTTGAGAAAAGGAGTGGAGAGCAGTAGCCAAAACTCTTTCTGATATAGAACCTTTCTATACCAAATATACATAGAGAAAGGAAACAATTATAGATTCTTTGGTTAGTTATACCAAAGGTTCACTACTGGTTCCATCGGGATATCATCAATGTTATATATATTTTTTTAGAAGAAGTTAATCGGGAGGTGCGGTCAATATATGAAATAACATATTACATAATAGTATTTTTTTATTGATTGATGGATACAATTATGTAATATAGTATTTTATATATTGACCGTACCCCCCTCCCTGATTAACTTCTAAAATTAGAACCTATGGTCAACCATCTTCTTACCAATTTTATATATAATACTAATTCAAAAGTGTTCCAACTCGATGAGGTTTGACTAAGATCATTTTTATATCCATGGAGTGCCGGAAACAGCCAAATTTTTCCAATAATAACATTGGATCAGGGATATACAACATCCAGATGGAATACGTGTGGAATGCTTTATCTTATTGTAATTGTTAGCTGTCAACAAAATCCATTTTATTTTCATTGTTTCCTATTTTAAATTAAAATTACGATAGGACATTAAATTTTGTAAGCGCTTTGGGCCTCTCATTGTCTTTTTTCTTTTTTATGTACATTATATTTTTGTAAATTATACTGTTTTTTTTCTGTTACATTACATTTTAGTGACCCTACCTTGCCTCCCTTCCTTGTAAAGCTTAGCATGCAAAAGCCGAGAGCCTGGTTGTAGACTTTGAAGAACAATTACAGGACCTCTATTGCCAGCGTAGACCCCACTACCAGTACTCCCACGAATAATATCATTTATTCCAGAAGCTAGTAAGTTTGCATTAGTTGCATACGACCAAGCTGCTTGTTCTTGAATAGCTAAACATTAATATTATATAAATATTATGATTTATGTAATATTTCCTAAATTTAAATAACATTACTAATTATGATCATTCATTTTATGTTATATGGACATTTGATCTATAATAAATTAGTTATAAATAACTAGCTTTGTAAATTATATAGTTCATTGATAAAGTCTAGAATTATTTTTTTATATCTATATTATTATCAATAAGAAACGACTAACTTACCTGTCAGAAATGGTAATTCTGAGAACCAATGTTCAGTTATAATCATATCAGTAACATTATATTTCTGAACAAGAGTTAATGCAGGCTCTTTAAAAATAATGTCAAAACAAGTAAAGGTTCCAAAACGTACCCCAAAATCAGAGTCAAAATATATGTGCTCAGGTTCTGATGTTGTATTCAATATTGTTTCTGAAAACAGATTATACTTTCTATACCTGTGGAAGAAAACCAAATAAGTAATTAACAAATAGCAAAATTAAAGTACTTAATAGTTTTCATATTATGTAAATTTCTGGCATAAATATTTTAGCCATTACCTAGCAATTATGCTACCATTTCTGTCAAATACCACATTAGTATTATATTTTAAACTTCCATTTATGGTACGTTCTTCTTCATGAATATTTACAGCTACGTATATACCATAACCCTTAGCAGCCCTTGAGAGTTTCCTAATAGCCTAAAGACATTTAAAGATAAATATAAAAAATAGAGAAGAACCAACTAACAGCTTTTGTTAGTAATTTATAGTAATAAGAAAACAAAAGCTATTCCATAAAATAATATAACATAAATATATTCCCACGACTTAATCTGTTAAAGGATTATAAGAGAGACACAAACACAAAAAATATTTAAAATTCATCAGCTGATACTCTTATGCATGCATGACATGCAATGTCCTCACTACTTATACTGATGACATGTGTATCATTTTTCAATAATAATTACTGCAACCTGAAACCCTGCTATCACACATCCCAGCTGGAAGAATGGTGTCAAAACTGGAGAATAAGTCACAAGAAATTATTTTTATTTATTTATTATTTTTTATTTTAAGAAATACTGTCCCACTTATACCATTCAACCAGATCCACTACTCCCAATGACATCCCAACAAGTGACACTTGGAATCCTTATACAAGACTAAACCAACAAGAAACTGCATCCTATCCTTTACTAATCCTCTAGCCAATACTTATTACATTTGCCTAAAAAACACTCTAAACTTTCAATATACAACATAAAGCTCATATTTATTATTAGGATTATTTTGGCATATGGAATGGATCTTTCTAGGGCTCCAAGAAGTCATTGAATTCCTCTTATATACAATTCTTACAATCCAAAATATTTGGTAGAATCCTTAATGCTCCTTATTATGTCAAAAATAAATTTACCCATTAAGACCTCAATATTTCATTTACAGATTTAGCTCAAAATAGGAATAGCTGCTTGACATGCTTCTATCATGTTATATATTCTATTATACAGCAGATTTTCTTATTTTTTTTTACATTATAAATTTCAATAAAATAAATAAATAAGTTGAATATCCTATTCTTTTTCACGAATAATTTAAACAACTTAGAACACACGAACAACTTAAAACTATTGAAAACTTGAGAAAGTTCATTTATTCTTGAACATGTTAGATTTTTTTTTATAAAAAACTATTTTGATTATTATTTTAATTACTTATATTTTTCTTAGAACTACTAACCAATATCCGTTCCAATGATTTTATAGAACACTCCAACTGGCATAGTTATTATCAAAAATATAAAGTGTTATGTTTCAGAATTACAAAGACAAAATTATGTGAAACATAAATTAATTCTTTGGCCAAATTATGAGCAAGTATTATTCATTAATAGAAACAAATTATAAATTAGTCACGAATGAATCTACAACTTTCATTATATTTCTTGAATATTTGTATGAATATAAAATGTTACAGACACCACAGCATATTTTAAATCCACATGAGAAATCTAATAACTATGATAAATCAAGAAAATTGAGGAAAAAATAATTTTGTGCAACAATGAAATTTTAACATTACATAATTGAAGGATCAAGTGGATAAGATGATAATCGAAATTTTGTGTAAAAAACTTAATTATTGCTTAAGTGATATATTTTTAATAATTTTTCCTTATGTTCACATAAATTCAGTATTTGGTTCATAATGGAGTTGATAGAGGTGCCCATTGGTGATAAACATGGGCCTTTAAATGGATAAGATTGATTTCAATTCAGTTTTATCAGAACTCAAAAATTGTTATGTAGCACCTTGCACACAATAAGTAAAATATGCTGCACAGTTTAAATATGCTCCAATTATATTAAGTTGAAGAATCATCTTCTATTTATAAAACTTGATATTAAATCATATTTAGCTAAAACACATATTCAGTAATACAAGATAGTACAACTGCGACAATCAGACTAAAGTCCTGGTGATTGTCCTTTTGTTCTAATACTCTGCCTCACATAAAATAGAAATTTAAGCCTACTTCATTTTTTTTGTGAGGAATATTATTTTAACACTATACTTACAGAATAAATTTCAATCTTCTTACTCTGAAATAATTTTTGGTAGCCTGTTAAAAATCAAAACATTTCTGTCCTAATTAAAATATATAATGTCATTAAAATAAACAAATAAAAAATACACAGAACCAAAAAGGTAAGGAATGATAAGCCAAAATTACCTTGGCGACTCAGTTAAACATCAACCCACCATAATTAATGAAATATGATAATATTGATAAAACATAAAATGATTTTGGTCTATCAATTATATGATTACTAAAATTTTATTTTTTAAAAAATATTTAGTAGTATTATAACAAAATTTACTTACTTCATGTGTAGGTACAGATTCTACAGATACAGCATTATTTTTTTCAAATGGTATCTTCACAAAAAGTGTTAGGTCGCCATTGTTAAGACCTCCCTCTGGAAAAACCACAATGTCAGCCTAAAAAGAAATATTGACATGTATAGGCCAAAACAGAAAATTTAATTGATAATGATTAAATTTATCATGATTTTTGTCCATGAACCGATTTAAATTAAAATATCTAAGCTATAAAAAGTTTCTGAAGTTATAATGAACTAACTATTTGGATTACAGATTATTATAAAAATATGTTGTTATTTCAGTATTTGTTAAAAAAAAAATTGTAAATCTACTGAATATAATTGAAAATTACGCTATAATATTATATTTGAATATTAAGAACTTACAAATGAATATACAAATTTCAAGTTTATACACAGTTTAAGGATACAGACAAAAAATTAACACAATCGACATAACTAATTATTTTAAAAAAATTATTAAAGGCATTGAATTAAATGAAAATATATATAATTTTTATTGAATATCAATAGTTATTAATAACAGCAATAATGAATAAATCACCATTGTGAATGGAAACGGCAGGATTAATATAATTTTTCCTTGTACATCTAATCTTCTAGAGTGGTTTTCTTATGTGGTGGCTGATTTTTCCAGGTAACTGATAAATTATGGGCTAATAAATATTGCATCATCCATGTATAAACATAATTCCATTAAAAAACTGACAGACGAAGTATATACTGGAAACTTTAGTTGTAATAGACAACACCCTCTACCCTCCAATTCCTAAATATCCATTCCTAGATCAAGAGTTTTGACTAAGGTAATATTACTGTATTGGAAGTTTAAGGGATTTTATTGGCCACATTAGATAAATTTTAATATTTTACTAGTATTGTCTGAAAGTAGTTTTAATGGAATAGGAATAGGAATAATTAATTTTATTTGAGATAAATGAAGACATAAAGAGGATAGCTATTTCTGGTAAGCATAATGTAGATAATGAAAACTAGTGTGTTGAGTAATTTTGAAGTAATCTTTTCATTCTGTTCCTGGCTTGCTTGCAGTGTACATCGCTGGTGACGTCACTACAGCTCTTAACGGTTTTTAACGGTTTTTAACGGTTTTCCGTATTGTTTATTTCTCGTTCTTGTGTGCTCCTGCATTATGTGAGGTTCACGTAAGTACGTAGCTTAATTATTAACCTTTTGGTTAATTAATTTGTCTAAATTAACTTACAATTCTATTAAATCACCATCATGACGCCACCACTTACTAACAACAACTCTGAACATGACCCACAGATACAACATAGCACAATGGAACACCTCAACTCTCCCACAAATAAACTGAAAAGGTACAATCAGGACGAAAATACTGACTTTGAAGGCTACATTATACCCAAGAAAATTTCGTACGCACCAAGACCAACTATCATACCGACGAGAACATCCAACAGTTTTTCTGCATTACAGACAATGAATAATAACACGGACCCTACACCATCCAGTAGTAACAATACACAATACAAAAACTCTACCACGCCAAAAACGTTTAAACCACCTCCTATTATTATCAGACCAGCAATGTCCGCTATGGCATTACGAAAAGCTCTATTAGATGCTAAAATCAAAAACTTTACCATTCGTTCAAATAGGGACGAAACCAAATTGTATTTGGACCTCAAACCAGACTACGAAGCTGCAATACATGTCCTAAATGTCAGCGATGAAATTCATTTTCACACCTACTCCCCACGCGGTTCAAGGCCGCTTAATAAATTCATCATTAAAGGTCTGGACCTTGACCATGACCTTGATTCAATTACTGAAACCCTCCAAGCCCGCTTACCCGGACTCAAATCTGTATGGAGGATGAAAAAGACCGACGCAGATGGCTTCAAAATAGAACTGCCACATATTATAGTCACGACAGACCCTGACACTACCATTGACAACCTCAAAGCAGTTGGTCCAATCGACCATATGGGGTACTCAGTTGAGAAACTGAGGAACATCAATGGTCCCAGGCAGTGTTACAACTGTCAGCAATTTGGCCACACAAAAAATTACTGTGCCCGCAAGATAAAATGCGTACGATGTGGTGAACACCACGACATCAGCGAATGCTCCCGAAACACCCCCCTCAAATGCGCAAATTGTCAGGGCCCTCATGTGGCCTCTTATCGCAATTGCGAAAAAAGACTTGCACTATTACAAAACATAGTGCAGGCTCATGCTGGAAGAAATACAGCACCAAACCCCAGACAAGATCAAAAGGGTAAAGCATCACAAGCTCCGCCCACCACCTCAAGACCCGACTCTTATGCGGGAGTAGCCCACCTAGCTCCCCCTCCCACCACCCAATCCCCACCCTATGAACAGCCCCCATGGGTCTCCGAACTCGTGGGCATGTTCAGGGACATGAAGTCCATGTTCACAACCCTATTAAACACAGTTAACCTTATACTTCAAAAAAACATCAATGGTTAGACATTTGATTATAAACTATAACATAACAGGGCTCATGCTTCGTAAACTTGAGCTAGAAACTCTCCTGGCTTCCCACAAGCCATCAGTCGTTGCACTGACTGATACACGAATCAACAAACTAACTCACATATACTTCCCCGGGTACCACATATACCGACTAGATTCCCCATCACATGGTGGCGTCGCACTTCTGGTGCGTTATGACGTCCCTTCCAGATTAATAAACAACACTACACTAAATGACGACAAACACTCAGCAATTACTATACAAGTAAAACTTGAACATACATACAAAATTACATGCATTTACCGTAGTCCTAGTGGAAAACCTGACATATTAAAACTATTTCTGAAGGACACCGAGACAGACAAACGTCACATAATAGTAGGAGATCTCAACGCCAAACACCATACATGGAACTGCACAAACTCTAATGCATTAGGAAACTTCCTGACCAAATCTACTTATACAATCATACACCCTAATGCATACACTTATAGACATCATGCTAACCCAAATATCACGTCTACACTTGATCTACTACTCACACAACAACCACACAGATTCACAAACTGCAACACGATAGACTTTAGCAACAACGACCACATACCTGTACTATACGAACTAGGACATAACTCAACCCTAACTCAACCCACAGACTACAAATACAATTTCAAACACGCTGACTGGAAACAATACAAGACACAAGTATATAGTGACACACCTAACATCACGACACTTACAACAACTATAGACATCGACAACGCCATTAGTACATTACACAACATTATCCATAATGCAGCGAACACCACCATACCCACCTTCAACCCCATTCCAATTCACCTTCGCATACCACCAAAACACATCCTATCAATCATAAAACAACGTAACAACATCAAGAACTGCTGGTACAGAACTAAAGACCCTACTTACAAACCTATCATAAACAGCCTTACTAGACAAATAACATCCCTTATGTCGCAGTGGAAAACGTCAATATGGCATGAACAACTTCGCCGGACCCACAACGACCATAAAAAATTCTGGAAACTAGTCAGAAGCCACAACACCAAATCCAAATCGGTGAAAATCCTTCGAGGCGATGAGCTTCTCACTCCTGCAGACCAGGCTAGCATTCTATCAGACTACTACGTAGAACGAGACGCTGCCCGTACTGACACCATTTATCATCACATCTCCCACACGGATAACCTAAATAACACAATATTCTCCACATATAAAGACCTGACTGCAATTTTGAGAAAAACAAAGGGAAACAAGTCTGCTGGAAAGGACAATATTCCTTCTGTCCTTATCAAACAACTACCCCGTAAAACCCTAATGTTTCTCCTTAACATTTTTAACTCATGCTCACGCCTCAGATATTTCCCAACGGAGTGGAAACATGCTATTGTCGTTCCACTCCTCAAACCCCGGAAACGAGGAGCGGTCCCGGAAGATTATCGGCCGATCAGTCTCCTCGACCACATCTCAAAAATATATGAGAAACTAATCCTCATCCACATCCGAAAACACTGCGATTCACATGACATTGTACCCCCTGAACAAACTGGGTTCTCTCGCGGCGTTAGCTGTTATCACCACGTGGCTAAATTACAGTACGAAACAGCTAATAACCTAAATAAAAATCTTGCCACAGCCATGATCTCCCTTGACTGCACACAGGCTTTTGATTCTGTATCCCACTCCATCCTTATCGATAAACTCAGGCATCACCAATTCCCTGTACAACTAGTCGATATTATCGGCTCATATCTCAGTGACAGGACCTTCTCAGTTCGAGTCAAAACTGACATGTCACCCCCTAGGCCAGTTACTTGTGGCGTCCCCCAGGGCTCAGTTCTGGCGCCTATCCTATTTAATATTTACACTGCCCAAATAGTTGGGACCAAAATTGACAAAGTTCAAATAGCTGCTTATGCTGATGATATTGCTATCTACACAGCAAGCATGGGAGCTAAACACGCAATGCGCCGAGCACAAAATGCAGCCCAACTGATCATAGACCAACTTAAAAACATAAACATCCACATCAACCCCGCAAAAACCGACGCCATCACATTCTCATACAAGAAAACCACTGAAAAACTACCTAAACTTAACGGTCAAACTATAAAAACAAAAAGACATCTCACATACCTAGGAATAAAACTCGAATCACACTTATCTTTCACAGCGCACATACAACACAGAATACAAACAGTAAAAGCTACCACATACCAACTCCGCCATCTACTCTATTCTCCAGGGCTGTCACTCAGACTCAAATTACTCATATATAAAGCCATACTCAGACCTTCACTTCTCCACGGTGCCCCCCTCCTACACTACCTATATCCTACAGCCCTGAAGAAACTACAACAATACCAGAACAGCATACTCATGAAGATCTGCAAAGGGACAACATTAGAAAGACGAAACATGAAACACATACATAACGAACTACAACTCGACTTTGTGCAACAACATATTTCAAGAAGACATATCAAGTTCTTCGACAACCTCCCCGCATCCTTTAACCCATTATTCCGATCCATCACCCCATCCCCCCTCCCTGCCAGATGGCAAGGCCGTAAGGGTCCAATAAACCCCACCAACATAATCATTTAACCCGCCTCACGGCTAGTCCTCCCCTCCCCATCCCTATCCATATCCCTATTCCTCCCCCCCCCCCTACTTATTTTATCGTTATGCTTAATTTTTATTTTATTTTATATATTTTCACTTAACGAGCGGAGGACCCTCAACTCCATAAATCTTATCAAGACCTTAAATGGACAGGAAGAGATAACAAACAAAAATCATTCAACGCACCTTCAAATACCACAGGTAGAAAAAGGTCAAGGTAATTCAAAGTATCGTTCCGCTAGTGCACTGGTCCGATATGACACTGATATCATGGTTTGTTTTGTTTCAGAGGGATCGGAAAAAAAAAAAAAAAAAAAAAAAAAAAAAAAAAAAAAAAAAAAAAAAAAAAAAAAAAAAAGTAATTTTTGATATAACCAATGTTATATCAACAAGTGAGAAAAGAGTCATAGTTAATTTAAAATGAAAATCCAAAATACATAGGTATTGAAATGATATTCTGAAATAATAGCTAAAACATAACTTACCGTTTTGGCAGCTTCACTAATTATTTCTACATAGCGATTAGCATTCAACATTAGAGTTTCTTCAGCATCAGCACCACTGACTGCCATGTATTCAACAACAGCCGCATGATAGTAGTCTTCTTCAGGTGGAGTCTGCAACAAATTAATAAAATGTTAACAAAATTAATTGTTACAATAATAATGACAATGATTAGAACAGATCTTGTATCACTCTACTAAGGTATCAAGCAATCTATATGTAAAAACTAAACTATTTTTATAATACAGGATTAATATTTGCAAGGAATTTAGTTAAAGCGAAAAGAGGCAAGATCAAAGGCAGCTCTACCAAATTAAAAAAATATCTGGTGCTCGCATAACAAAACTTTCAATTACTGCTCTATTTAGAACAGAAATCTGACCAAGTTAGGCTAATACAGTATAATTTTTTTTTTTTTTTGTTTTACAGTTATTGAAATATTTGAAATCCATTTTTAATGGAGCTGTGCTTTAAACCTTACAACTAACCTGTAAAAACTCATTAAGACCATAAAACAACACAAACCATATTTATTATATCGATGGTAGGCAATAAAAACCTTTTAATTTTCTCTAAACTCATATTAAAATGTTTTATCACTGGACTAAAGTAGTTACTTAATCACAAATCTTTAGTTGACAATTCATAATTCAATTACTCCTTATTGTTATTAAATAACAATATATTCTATAAATGGTTAATTATTGGTCACAATGAATATTTTATTAATTATAAAATATGTTATAATCCTTCTAAGCTCCTTGACATTATGTTGTAGAAATTATTTGTTTATTTCCAAAGTGAAACCTAATCATCATCGATAAATTTTTGGCAAATGTGAAAAACTATATTTTCTATTCAAATTGTAATATCAAATACAATATTTAAAAAAAAAAAATTAAAAAAATCTTTATTTATAGTACATATTTACGAAAAGTATAGATTATTTTATTAGTAATGAAAACATAAAAAATTAAATATGGCTTTAGGAATTAATTAAACTTCCCGTTCCAATGCCCGTTTTGGAACAAAATAAAAGATTTTTTCTGATTCGGTTTGAAGAGAAAAAATGTTGTATGATTCGGGGGAAGCTGGAAAGGAAGTTATTAAAATTTTACCATAAAAATTTAACTTTTTGTATACAATAATGGTACAATAAAAGAAAATTATTTTTAATTTTCATTTGAATAAAAAGGTTAAATCAAAGTTTTTTGAAAAAAAAGGTTTGCTTTGGAAATAAACTCATTTTTACACCACTTTGATTTAGTATTAAGGTTGGTAAATATAATAATAGCACCATCAGATTCATTAGATATTTTCACTTAGAAATCGATACTTAACTTGATTTACAAAAAAAAAAATATATATATATTAGGGTCTACTTTGGAAATAAACAACTCAAATAATAATTTCATTACGCACAATAAGCATTCGTTTCTAGAAATTTGTTTTTGTCTCTATTGCAAGTACAAGTTTACTCTCCTGATTTTATTTTCTTAAAAACAGCTTATATAACTAATCTTATCACGAAATATTTTTTTTAGTAATCATTAAAGAACAATATTAATACACAACTACAAGTTTGTTAATTTATTTAAATATTAATTCAAATATCGAATGTGGTTATTCATACTGTTGTCATATTTTGAATTTTCTAGTCAAATCGATTTTTCGTTTTGGAGCTAGGCTGTTCACATACACACACGAACACACCATTTTTGGAACATGATTATTTGGATTTAGGGGACCTTATAACTTATATTTCCGTTGAAAACTCAGATTTAAAAATTTCACGATCTAGTACTTTCCCTTACTATATATTACATATATAGGTAAGCGAAAGTAATAAAATTGCTTATTAAAATAATTATTATTTAAATATGACATGAATCATATAGAAATTTCAAAGCAAATGCAATCTAAATAGAGGAACCTATCTTATCTTTATTAATGATACGTATAGTGTTGATAAACTTCGTAGGTCAGTATTGAGATTTTACGAGGTGTACATTGCCTTTTTTCAAATAATAAAAAAACCTAGTACAAAAAATGGATCAATTAAAAACAATCCACCACAACCTTACGTATACGGATTGAAATTAATAGGTAACCATAGAAGACTAAAGAGTTCGACATCCCTAGAAAAAGGGACAAAACAAATCAAGTCTGACCTCTCTATATTAATTAAAATGATGAGTCGTACTTCTTAAATTAACTAAAATTAAAATAAAACTATTATGATTAATAAAAATAAACTGATCAAAATTAAATAGGCATATAGTTAGTTATGTATGAATTATTTTCGTTCGAATTCATATTTTATTTTAAACATAAAATTCATTAAAAATGAATATAAATAACATTTTATTTGATCTCGGAAAATTTTATAAAAGATATTTATTTTAAAAATTAAAGTTTTTTGCGATTTTGTTTTACAAATTTTGTTTTCAATTGACACGTGAGATGTTCTGTTTAGTAATCAGTATAACTGGCCAAATCGTCGGTTAATGTCTTGCCTTTTAAGTCTGTTATGTGGGTTCCATGTATTCAATTTTTAAGCTTTAAAACCGTACCAATTACAGGAAATCAGTAAACAAAAAATAATTAAAAACAGTAATTAGCCAACCACTCCTTGACAAATTTAGTTTGTCACTCGCACACAGGCATACGGAGTAACATTGTGCTGTGTTTGTTTTTTGAGAACATGTGAATACCAGAACAACAATACCAGTTAAAAATCCGAAGGAAAATTTTTAAAACTATTTGCAGAGGTTGCATTAATTGCTAAGCTGAGCTCTCCAGCAAAGCGTTGAAATAATTCCTAACTATTTCCTCCAATTATATTCACAGAGAAAAAGAAACAAAAAAATTGTGATAACCAAGAGAAAAATATGTTACATGTTTAAAGATAAAATTATTTGAGCGATGTACACAAGGTCCATTTAAAGAAATACTCGTTATATAACTTTCATCCTATATTTCTCTTATATTCTTCCTAACATTTCAGCCTCAACGACTGCTTGTTGTCATTATTATAAATAATAAATAAAATTTTGATAAATAATTTGGGATTAATGAAAAAATGGTACGATGTAGATTGAAGTAAACAGCAGTACGACAGTAACTGTTATGTCTATTTCTCCTGAGAAATGTTGTGAAATGAAGAGCTACAAAGCTACTGTGCAGGTTCACGGTTAAAAATGGAACTTAATTTTATTTTATTGGAGAGCTACAAATGGGTAGTTTCTCTTCATATTGTACATGTCATATTACCAATTCAAATTTACTGGTTGCATTTTTTATCTAATACACTTGTAAATTTCATTAAATATGTATATATACACAGGTGCACAGGCGGATTTACGGGCTGAAGCCCCCCCCAAAATGGTAAAATGTAATAATGTTTTATGGTAAAAAATCATGTCTTAAAGTATTATTGCTCGTTTGATTACATTTAATAGGACTTAAAGAATCACTTAAACACCATTTCATATAGGTTGTTAGTATCTTTCTGTTTTTCCAAAGTAATTATCGTTTTATATATGGAAAAAAACCTTCCGGGCTGAAGTTCCCCCCAAAATTAAATCCTGGATCCGCTGGTGCACAGGTGGATTTACGGGGGGAGGGGCTTTCGGGCTGAAGCCCCCTCCCTCCCCCTCCCCCCAACGGTAAAATGAGTTCCATATGAAACTTTACGAGACGTCGTCGGGCGTTTTCGGGAAACTGGTTCTTACAATAGAAGGACCGGTTCTGGACGGCCTAGGGTAACAGAACCACGGGATGACCGGTTTTTTACTTTGAGACCTTACCGTTGTTCAAGCGATTGATCAGCTAGAAGAAGTTAGAGGTGTGCAAATTTCTGATCGTACCGCTCAGAGAAGATTAAATGAGTATGGATTAATGGCTTTTCGTCCAGTAAGAGGACCAGAGTTGACCAGAACTCACAGAGTAACACGGCTGGCTTTTGCTCGAGAACACAGCCATTGGACTATGGACGAATGGAGTGCATTACTTTTTAAAGATGAGTCAAAATTCGCTCTTCGATCTCCAGACGGGCGTGAAAGGATGTGGAGAATAAGAAACGAAAGATATGCAGCCTGTAATTGTTCACAGAGCCAACCTTTCCAACGTGGTTCCTTATTGGGTAACAAGTGGGAGGAATTGTTTGCCTTTCAGTGTATATTAAAAACTATCTCATAAGGTATTATTGTCCGTGTAATTACATTTAATAGAACTTCCACAATCACTTAAACATTATTTCATATAGGTAGTTCATTTTTTCAAATTAATTATCGTTATATATATATATGAAAAAAATCTTTCGGGCTGAAGCCCCCCCCCCCAAGTTAAATCCTGGATCCGCTAATGTATATATATAATTTAATTTCTCAAATTTTAAAAAACGTTTCATTCAAAACTACATTTATCTAATTTATATAAATTGTTTTACGCTTTTCATCGCTTTAGGAAAATGGAAGTTTAACAAGTACAATGCTTAATATTTTGAATCTAAGTATAATCCCTTGTGGAACTCATCATAGTAATTATCTTGACCAACACATAATATAATTTGGTTTGGATATATATTTAATTGTATTTATGGTAATAAACACGATTTCAATCATTCATTTAATAAGAATATATATTGTATTTTTTTGTACTTTTCATCGTAAATATTAAACCAAAAACCAATTTTTTTCTAATTTCCCAAGACTCTTATCTCTTAAACTATAGCCAATAGGGAAACAAATTAGAACAGCTTACAAAAGAACATTATCAATATCATTCTTGCCAAGCGAGGAACAGATTTGCCTCAGCCGATACATCCAAAACCTTATGACTCAATACGGCGAATGGTGAAGATGGTAGTGAAGGAGGAAATAAGAAAAGTACATTTCGGCAAAGTGGAAGGGAAGCGTTACTAGTGGTTGAAGGATAACCCGATCCCAGCTGAGCTGCCGAGAAGAGATGCAGTTGCCTGCTTCCGCCTGGCTACTGGTCACGACTATGTGCAGAGTCATAATAAACAAGATAGGCGTGGCTGAGGATCCTACCTGTAAATTGTGTCATCTAGGAACAATGGATGCAGACCATCTAGACGCATGTCCTGCCTTGAGGGACATAAGAAACAAAATATTTCCGAATATACATATAAGAAAGTCTAAATTATACTGGGCAGCAAGATGTCGGATGGCCAAATGACCAACGACTGGCATAAGAAAAAAAAAAAAAAACTTCTTAAAATTCAGTTCCTCACTTATAATTATATATTTTTCCTCCTAAAAGTTGAGAATAAAAATCATATATGAATTAAAATCCTTAATTAAAATGTAATAAAAAGTTGTATTCAGAAGTGCACGCTCCCCCTCCTCCTTCCCTCCACGGTCTACTCCGCATGAACCTTCTCCCACCACTCCCAAGATATTTTATTACTGTCCTCACTTAAACAAACGGTGCAAGCGAAAGTAGAATTTAAAAAATCATAAATTATATACAATTACACATCCTGCAGTCTGTGTCATGCTCCCCCTTGCCCTCTGGTTTGAAACTTTTCATTACAAAAATTCGTGCTCTCCTCAAAAATTTTGAGCCATGAAACTCCCTTCTAAAAAAACCCGTGCATGTACGGTTTCTTGTAGAGTGCATGGTTGTGAATGTTAATAAGAAAAGCTCCGTTTTCCTTGGGTACAACAGTTAAATTTTTAGAAAAAAGGGTAGTGTGAAGTAACCTATAGCACTACAACCTATGAAGGGTCTTGAGTTCAGTACACAGGAAGGAAGTGCTGTTTTTTGGGTCAACGTTTGTGCAGGAGACTGGATGTGTACTTGGAGGGTCTCTCGACCCCAGGGTTAATCCACGGCTGAAGCAATGGAATAAATATTTACCTCCCATCAGCCGAATTTAAACCCAGAATCTTGAGCATTGAAATATAGTGGCTTACCTACTGCTCTATGTATCAAGTATTTTATGCAAATAAATTTACGGCTCGAGGCTGAGGTGGCCAAAGGTGTTGAGATATTGCTCACTTCAAACATTCTCGAAAAAAGCATTATTTTTTATTTATTCAATTGTAGTTGTTTTTATTAGCATATTCGAATTATTGTCGACCGATTTTTTCATTATGTTACAACTATTACACTATATTGAACAGACTATTAATCAATCACGAGTTATAAGGATTTAAACAATCAACAGAAATATTGAATAAATGTTTTTTAACAATAACACGCATATAATTATATAAATCACCTATATCGTAGGCACCATGTTAAAGTAATGAACGTGAGCAAGTTATACGTTGCACATTTGTTATTTTAACAAGGTGCCGACGGTATATCATTTTAACTATGTAATAAATCATGCAATTTCTGAGCAATACAACCTTCATAACAAAACCAGCAAGGTATGAAACAATCTATTAGTAACGAGAATATTTTTACAATATATAATCTTCATGAAATAATTGTTTAAAGAGAAATTGTTAATTAGACACATATTACAATAATAGCAGAGAAATGTTTAAAAATTCGTTAATATACTCCAATAAAAAAATAATAATAAAAGTCAATATTTAAATAGTTAGTTCATTTCGAATTATTTTTATTGTGTAATAACAAATTACAGTGTTGCATTTTATTGTAAATTTAATATGTTATATTTTCGGTACCATGTTAATGTAACGAATGAAAACCTGCACAAAGTTTCTCATTCATTACTTTAACTGATGATATATACGGGTCACCGTTTGTACTAAATTAATTGTTAAACGGTAGTTTTAAGGCGTTTAGAATGAACTCAGTTAGTAAAATGAAAGTAATATGTTATTACTGTCATTGCATTTATATTTTCGACCTATTGGCTCGAATTCAAGTTCCACACCTCAAACGCATACATTCGAAAACTTTGAATCATTCACTGAATTTTCTGCTGACTTTTTTTTTTCATTCAAATGTTTGTTTTGTTATTATCATTAATATATCTACCAATTGTTAAATATATCTCAGATTGTCGTAGTGCCCTAATATATGAAGAGTAAAGGATTTCAATATCCGAAAAGCTCTAAATTAAGTGCAATGCTGCCGTTCATACACACACTATATATAATAGTATTGTTTAAATTTCTAAAGTAGATTATAGTTTAAATATATATTTTTTTAAAGTAAACTGATGTCTCATTTTTGAAACTTTTAATTCAGTAGTCTGATCATAGCTTCATTTTATGGCATTAATATGAACTTTTGCCATTATAATTTTATACAATAAACTATTGCTTTTCAGGAAAAATTCTAGAAATTAGTTGTTCCAAACAGAGGATGTTGAGTGTATTTATAAGTGTCACTAACGGGCCCCACAAGAGGAAAATTGCCGGGCCACATTATCGAAGGCCGGAAGTTCAAGAGGCCCGGTAAAAATAGTAGGATTTTATAACTAAAGTTTTATAAGTTGTAACAAATCGAAATATAAAATATAATGAAGTATCTCGTATAAATATACCTACCATCACGGTATATTTATACACACCACGGTCTAGAGATCTGAAGCACTTGGTACCACTCAAACCCTTTGGAGGATGGACAATTCAGAAACTACAGCAAACCATTTGATTTGTTTCGCGGTGTATGATATTGATTGGCTAAAAACATTTCTTACCTTGACTGCAAGTGCAGAGACTACAAACAATCCGGTCAGTAAGAGCTTCATAAGGTATATTTTCCTGGTAACTTGGTGCAGTTTGAAACAGGTGTTTAGTCGAGCAACGAATCTTTATCAGCCTTGCTGCTTACGCAACAGTGAGGTATATCCAGCTTGACAGCAATTTATTTTGAGATATTCGGCAGAGGTTACATCTTCCTTCATGGAGATAAATACGGTCAAAGTCGACGATTATATAAATGTTGACTGAAAAACTGTGCGGTAATTATGTTGTAAACTACAGTTGACTTAGTAATTCAACGAAACCACAAGCAAATTAGAAGGCAGTAAATACGAAAAAAATTCCTAAGTGAATCAGCCTTTTGTTAATTACGTCTTTATTATGACTGATAAAAAAATACAAATTCATGTCTAAGGGCTGTATTGGCTAATAAAATTTCCATCATAAAACTGTAACATGAAGATTATTCGGAGAAATAACTTCCTCGTTCTGCACAAATACATAATTGCATTTACCTCTAAAGTTTATTATTTATAAACAAATAAAACCATTGTAAGCTAATGTACGAGCTATACACTGCTTCGAACTTAGTGAAGCTTGTCAGATAACTAAAAACTCAATTTATGGACAATAGAACATATTGTGTCTGGTTTATCACTGAAACTTGTTTGATTTTCATCAGAAGATTTTATCGTTATCTTTCCACTTCAGTGTGAAACTCATTGGCTTGAGTGCCATCTATAAATCTATATTTTTCGTTAGGTGATAGCTCGCTCGATATAATATTCGAATGAGGAGGGAAATTTTTATGTAATTAAGAAATAATTTCATTTAACGAGATAGATTAAAAAAATAAGTCGTTTTTTTATCTGCACGCAGCTCTATTGCATCTTTGTTGATACCATCTATACATCTGGTTTTTAGCCTTCCACGTGGTCTTTTGCCTTCTACCGAGGCATTCCTTGTTACGTAGAGGCTTCCAGAAGAATTGCTACGAACTACATGCCCAGCCTATCTTAACCTCCGTGCCTTCATATCATGGGATATTCTTTATTATAGCAATTCTGTATTGGTCTTTCTTCTCCATGCGTTAGTACTCTGATCCCAGATCGCTCCGGTTATCATGCGGAGGATTTTCCTCTCAAATCTTTGAACACTTTATTCTAGGGTGCTGGTTAGTGTCCAAGTCTCACAGCCATATATTAGAGCTGGCTTTATCATAGCATTGTACACCATTAGTTTGAGATTTTTCGGGATTTCAATACCTTTGAGAGAGAAAGAAAGCTCTTTTTGCGCTAGTTATACGCTGGTGTATGGAAGTTATTGTGGAGCCGAGATATTTGACCTTTTCTCCTCTCTGGAATGGTTTTTCCTTCTAAGCGAATCCTGTTAATGGGGTGAGATTTTCGGGTTATTATCATATATTTTGTTTTGTTTACATTTACTTGTAGGGTGATCTGCGCTGCCTCTCTTATCAGTGTTGTAAAGTTTCTTAATGTCTTCTTCATTACTTCCAAGGGCAGGTACATCATCTGCGTATCCAAGGATTTTATGATTCATTCCGACATGGACCCCTCCATTTTCCTGTGATGTTGCTCTTATTACCTTCTTCAGGGCTAAGTTGAACATCATAGGTGATAGTAAAAAAAAAAAAGTCATACACACTTTTAATTTTTAAATACTCACTTTGGAGCGCGGAATGTACTGCACGGGAGTCTTTCTCGACGTTGAACAGGCGTTTGATAGAGTCTGGCATCCGGGACTGATGTACAAACTCCGTGAATTCCTACCACCTACATACTTCCTCATTATACGTTCCTACCTTACTGACAGATACTTCAAAGTCAATCATAACAATGCTTATTCATCTCTTTTTACTCAGTCTGCCGGTGTTCCTCAAGGTAGTATCCTAGGTCCTATCCTTTACACAGTTTATACAGCTGACATCCCAACCCAATCCAACACTGTCATCACCACCTATGCCGATGACACGTGTATCCTATCAGTTAATAACGATCCTTTAATTGCATCCCAAACTCTTCAATCACATATCACAAGCCTTGAAGAATGGTGTAAAAATTGGAGAATAAAAATAAATTCCAACAAATCCCATCAAATCACTTTTACCCTCCGTCGTAAACCTATGACCTCTTGTCCTACAGTATCCTTCAATAATACTCCACTTATTCCTGTTGAGCAAATCCGCTACTTAGGACTCCACCTTGACAAACGACTCACTTGGAACCCCCATACCAGACTGAAACGACTAGAAACCGCCCGACGTTTTCGACTACTGCAGCACTTACTAGACAAACGATCTAAGCTTTCAATCAATTATAAACGACTCGTATATATGACAATAATAAGACCTATTTGGACTTACGGAATTGAGCTTTGGGGCTCCACTAAACCATCGAATTCCTCTCGTATCCAATCCTTACAATCCAAAATCCTTCGTAAAATCCTCAACGCTCCTTACTTTGTCACAAATAAAATCATCCATAAAGACCTTAATGTTCCATATGTTTCCGATCAGGCCCAATCCAGATATCTTTCCTTCCATAACAAACTGCAGAATCATCCGAATCCTCTCGTTTCAAACCTTGCTTCCTCCTCGATCCCTGATAACCCTCCGAGGCGTCTGAAAAGAAGATGGCCTCGGGATCTTCTAATATAGAACTTTAATTTGAGTTCTACCAATGGGTAGTTTCTCTTCATGTTGTACATGCCATGTTACAAATTTCTCATTTACTTATTGTATTCTCTATGTAATATAGTTGTAAATTCCATTGAAATAAAAAAAAAAAAAAAAAAAAAAAATACTCACTTTTAATAAAATATCGTTTACGACATCTACATACAGTAACTGCAGATAGGTGGAAAGGGATGGGACCAATTATAATAAAGTAGTATTAAAATTAAATTTGGCTCACCCCTATATGATTTATAATATATATATTATATGTATATATGTATATATAAATACAATATGTATACAAATATAATGTATACAATATATTATTCATGTGATTATTTTGAATGTGTAGTTCTTTACTTCTTTTTTTATTCACAATTTTTTTCTACACTAAAAAAACTCATCCGCGGATGATGACCACGAAGGTATTATAGTAACTCCTTAAGGATTTTACAAACTAATAGAACGTTTGCCAATGCGTTGTCACGAATGCGTTGTCATGAACGTTGCCAAAACGACCTCGAATAACATGCAATAGTCTAGCTTCAACAGCGAATACCGTCGCGAAATTATTTAAACCATTTGATTTCCTTATAATACTATTAATGCAATTTAATACAATTTTTATATCGTATTCAAAATAAAAATAAGGTAAATGCGACCTTAATGCTGATACTCTCTTTCATTTTATAATGTGCTAATCAGTTTTTAAAAGCTTTATTCAGGTAGTGAAATAGTTTAATTTTTTTTTCAAAATAACAATAATCAAAATATTTTACTTTCTTATTAGTATTTGGAATATTTTCAGCTTACTCTATTAATAAAATACTTTAAACTATTAGTGCTCAGTGGACGCAGAATTTGAAGGTCTACAACTCTTAGATACTATGAGATTTTCTCTTAAAGAGCTCATTTCTCAGCTGCAGGGCCATTAATAGTAATTTTTTTTTCAGTTTTTGACGAATTTGATAAAAATCAGCGTTCTTGGGCCGCGGTTATCGACCATACCACTTGACCAAATTATTAAATTTAGGTACCCGATAGATGCACACTTTAACGATCTTTAATTTCCTAAAGGGTACGTTTTTCGCTTTGATGAACCGTTTAAGAATTATAGGTGAAAAAACAAAAAACTATCTAGAAAAATCTAGCTTTTCCTTGGTGGCCATTTTTACATGTCTCAACCAATGTATATAAGTTAAAAAACCGAAGTTTTCCCACATTTTTCGCAATGGTTTTTCCGTTTTGATCCTCAAATTACTATTCTATTACTATTCTAATATTCTTTAAATCAGCTGTCATTTTTACATGTAGCAAGATCCGACTAGCAGACTCTGTTATAAATATTAAAACGAGAAAATTCGTTTAGAATTTTCATCAAATAATAGCGATGTTTTCTCATGGGCTCCCAGACTATAAGGGCGAACCTCAACGAATGCTTTGGCAAACGCAATTAATTAAATAAATTAAATAAGCGGTTCCTTATCATTCGTTCGCGAAAGATTTGCTAAATATAAGCTGGAATTCCGGAAAAAACCGGATCATTCGTGCATCGCCCGTCCACGATCGCCAACTTGTTGGTAAACGAGGATTAACCTAGGTTGTAAGCGTTAATACTCGTGCCAACAGTACTGTTTTATTATTTTTGTTTCTTAATTACACTTACAATTGAAAGAACTGAAACGTTAACAATATAAAATATTTCCCTTAACACATATGATCATACTAAAGATTTCATAATAATCTTAGGAGAATACAATATAATATGACTATTTTTTATGATGTTATTTAGTTTTATTAAGTAAGGACTAATGGTAATGGAGTGACGTCAGTCTTGGTATAGAAATCTGTTTAAGCTATTGCGCCCTAGAATTAGTTATCATGTTACATCTTGGAATAGAAGAACAACTTTTAACCATAAATTAAAATATGAAGTAAGAATATATCGTTGGAAGACTTACAAAAAAAATTTAAAATATTCAAACATTTTGTAGATCTGTTATGACTGCACTCCCACACAATTAAGAAGATTCAGGATTCTATTCCTATCTGGGTCATCACGGAGGCCCGAATGAACCTCAGCTTTCCTAATAGAAGGTAACTTAATTTCTCAGCTGATAGCTACAATGCTCTCTCTATATAATTTATTATTATACCAGTTGAAGTTACTCAAAGAATTGAACAATCTAAACCAAAGCCATCAAACTTCTTACACTAAACATATACCAACAGATACCAATAAATGAGGCATAATAAATGATAAGTAAAAAAAAATATATACTAACAATAATTTGAAAACTAAGGTATTGGATTCCCAACATATCGATAAAGTTGTTAATCCAACTTTGGGGGGGCTTCAGCCCGGAAGTTTTTTTTTTTTCATATATATATAACGATAATTACTTTGGAAAAACAGAAAGATGCTAGCCATCGATATGATATGGTGTTTAAGTGATTCTTGAAGTACTATTATATGTAATTAAACGAGCAATAATACTTTAAAACCTAATTTTTTACCATAAAACATGGTTACTGAATACTTTAATAAAAACTGAATACTTAATAGCAATTTGTAACTCAGGACTTACCTGTGACAAAAAACTTAATTTTATAAGGCACTAGCGGATACAGGATTTAATTTTTAGGAGGGGAGGGAGCTTCAGCCCGAAAGTTTTTTTTTCATAAAAATAACAATAATTACTTTGGAAAAAGAAAGAAACTATCTTCCTATATGAAATGGTGTTTAAGTGATTCCTAAAGTCCTTTTAAATGTAATTACACGAACAATAATACTTTAAGAGATAATTTTTTAATATTTTTTTTTCCATAGAACATGGTCATATTTTCCATTTTAGGAGAGGGCTTCAGCCCGAAAGCCTCTCCCCCTCCCCCCCCCCGTAAATCCGCCTGTGCATGCGACTATGTTGTAAGCTTTGAATAAAGTATTGACTGAAGTATCCCCAACCTCTGGGTTGATACTGTTTTGATCTATATGTCTAATAGGTTTTTAATTACTATTTATATGTAATTTCTTACACATTACGTGAAAAATCATTAAAAATGTCTAATAAAAATTTTATATGTGATGTCAAAATATTGAAATACAGGAAAAACTTTAAAACTGGGTAGATAGTAAAAATAAAAAAATAAAAATTATTGTAATGTTTGTAGAAAATTAAACAGACATTCAGAATGAAATTACTTTCATTCATAGACGCAAACTACGGGGGAGGGAGAAGGGCGATCTCCCTCTCCCCTCCCCAATAAAAATGATGAGGGGGCCAGAATATCGTTTCACCCCCTCCATAATTTGAGGAAAAAAAAAATTAAAATCAATAAAAATAGGCTAAATGAATGAATAAAATATGAAAACTAAAATCGATTAATCGGGCGAGAATATCGTTTCGCTCCCTTAATAATTTGAGGCAAAAAAAAACATTAAAATCAATAAAAAATATGCTAAATGAATGAATAAAATATGAAAACTAAAATCGATTAAAAAAAGTCAACTTGCTAGCTAGGTTATGACCTATTCGTCGGTATGTAACGATTTGATTGATACCTAACTGTTACTTTTAGTTGAATTTTATATTTTCATTTATATTCAAAAATAATAACATAGTATATATTATAATTAAAACAAAAAATTAATAAAAATCATTACAACTATACAACCATATAAACAAATAATTTTTAAATATTCAATATTATATTTGTTCGTTTCACAATAATTATGTTGAATTTTTATAAATAATAAAAACTCCCGCCATTTTTTTTTTTTTTTTTTTATTCCCTCGCCCTCCCCCCAATAAAAATCGGAAATCTGCGTCTATGCTTCCGTTCCAAATACTTTAAGTGAAAAAAAATGAATAATTCTTCATGCTTTTCTGTACATTTATATATCAAAACACCTAGATATAGTGAGGCAGTAGAAAAAGAATATACTGAACAGGTATTATGTAGTTTTATTTGTTGATTAATAACAATACATAGGTATGACAGATACATAATTAAAAAATAGTGCTGATGGTTGAAAAGCAAATATCAGCAACAAATAATCAAGAAAACCTTTTTTTGTGACACTTCAATTTCAAGCATAACTTTCTCCTTCACAAAGTTATTAGATCTGAATAAAAATCACAAGATAAGTTGTTGCTGCTCCAAAAACCTGAATAACAAATAAGAAATTTAATTTTTCAATTACAAATTATGATAAGTAGAAAAAACATATATATTTAATTACCTGAACAGCAAGAGATAAATTTAGAGGGAATAATTGTAAGACATTTAGAGGTTTAAAACTATGAGTTACTTTTAATATGTGAATTTCAAGCTGGAAGAAGAAAAAAAAAGCTGTTACTAAATTTGTTTTCGAAAAAATCAATAGCGAAAATCCAACAATAGTTTTTGAAATAATTATTTACTTCTCCGCAATAGTTGTGCTTGCTGGGATCTAAATATTCGCTTAGCAGTTTTCTCGTTGCTAAAGCCTTAATTTGTAAATTTTATATTAGGAAAGATAATACAATTTTAAACGTTCAAATATTTAGTGATATCAATATTTACCTGTTTTTCCAAATAGGAACAAGGCCACAAAAATATCAATAACCGGCAGATTTCATGTAATGTCCACAAGCAGTTTGAAACGACAAAGTGATACCCTAAATTTGACTTTTCAAACATTAGACTGTTCATAAACCCGTAGTAAGGTCCACATATCAATTGTTCAAAGCAATAGATCACAAGAATTAAGTTTTGTGAGCTATTTCGCTGGTTGATTTCCTCAATTACATTGCATAATGTTTGATAGTTTTCAATTAATTTTGATAAATTTAATAACTGGACCACATCTCCTATAATGGAAATGAATTAGAATCAAAATCACTTAACTTAAATATAATTTTAATAATGAAAATATAATATAAAAATCTGGTTCAGTTCCACTTGCCACCTTACTTTGAGTCAAAATTAATTTCAGCTTAAATAAAATTAGTAAAAGTTATTTAGTTTATGTTGAAACTAGTACGTGGGCGGACAAATTACTGATTTATATACAGAATAGCCATGAGGATAAAATTTTGGTATGTTTTTTATTGGCACGATTCACATTGGTTTTACTTAGTCATGAGGATAACAAATAATCAGGATTTACAATATTTATATAGTTTATTAATTAGGCTTGCCAACTTTTTGATCCAATCCGACCATTATCTTTGGTTACAATTAAATTACCTTAGAATGAACATATAGAATTATCCTAGAAATGTATGGTTATTGAATTATCAAAAAAAATAGTGCAGCCCCATAACTGACGCTCCTATAGGTAAACACACAACAGAGAGGGGCTGTCATACTGTCATTGCTAATGCTGAACCCATTTTGATGATTTTTTTTTTTTATAATTCAGAGGAAATTTAGTAGCCATTCAAAAGATAATACAGTTAACATAAAAATGTAAACATTTAGAATTATGAGCAAATAAAAGTTTCTTTTAGATGTAACTATTTTTCCTGTTTATTCTGGGATTGGACTGTATTTGATAAGTTAAAGAGTTTTAAGGAGAAAACTTTGTTAGTTTTGTTGAAGATTTTGGCTTTACAGTTGATAAAAAAAATGTTTTGCAGCTATTGTGTTCAAGGTGCAAAATTGCCCATTTAACGACATAGATACAACATAATAACGTATAGATATATAAGCAAAAGTTCAAACTACCTCATACAACAGTGAAATACATTATAAAAAATTTTAAATTCAGATCAGTGAACAATAAATCCCGCCCTGGAAGAAAACTCTTGTTGATAGTGCTAGAATCTTGTGAAATTGTGCTTAAAGTGGCAAAAAATCCAAAATTAAGTGCTCAAGAGGTTTCAGCTAACTTCATGTCAGCTTATGGGAAATCTGTAATAACCCAAACCATGAGGAATTGGCTACATACATGAAGCTGGCTGTAGAGGTAGAGCGTTAATAAAAAAAATCTTTTATAAATTAAATAAACAGAACAAAAATGATTGAAGTTTGCCTGAGGACATGTAAAAAAACCGAATAACCCAATATGTTTGGGGAAAATATGTTGTTTCCAGGTGAAAGCAAGTATAATATATTAGGATCTGACAGAAAAAAATATGTTGAAGGAAAATAGAAAAGGCATTTAAATCCCAAAAACGACAACCCAAAGTGAAGCACGGAAGGAGCAGTGTCATGGTTTGGAGCTGCATGGGTCCCAAAGGAATTGGTGAACAAGCCTTTATTGACAGGATTATGAATGCTGACAAATAATTAAACGTGTTGCAGTGCAATTTAAATAGAAGTGTGTGAAAGTTAGGAATGGAGAATATACATATGCTTCAGCAGGACAACGATCCCAAGCATACAGCCATGAAACCAAACAATGGTTTCTATATAATGTTCAAAAATTCTCAAAACACCTCCACAATCACAGTATCTTAATCCGATTGAAAATTTAAGGACGCTGCTGAAATTACAAATCTGAAAATCTTCTTGTTCCTCTCGGAATGACTTAATAAGCAATCATAAAAAAGCTTGGGAAGAAATTGGTCCAGACACCAAGAGGTTCGTTGAACCAATGCCAAGGGGACTCAATACTGTGATAAATACGAAAGGGTGCCCTACAAAATATTAAAATTAATTGAGATTGATATTTATTATACTTTCTTTGGATTAGTTAAATGTATGAATATTTTTTTTTGCGCTTCATATTTGAAAATTTTTCATACAATATAGTTAAAAATTTTTACTTTTTTGTACAATTAATGCAAAATGAAGTTTCTAATTATTATCTATAGTTACTTTATGTTTAAAACATAGGTAAAAATATTTTTGTATAAAACATATGGTATACAAATACTTTTTTGGCCACTGTATATTAATCATTTGATTCTGACTCTTCAAAGGACAGTAACCCCAAAAAAGCGTAACTTTTATCAGTATTAGATTCCCAGATGTTCAGGGACAGTAAATTGTTTTATAGTATATTGTACTAGTTTTCATAATGAACACAATGTTTTTTTTGTTTTGTTTTGTTTCAATCTAAAAGTCATAAAATTTTCTTTTACTAGTTTAGTCAACATTTTATCAATGATTCAAGGGTTTTATTAAGCAAGTTGTTAATGCAATATATATAAATCATACTTTCTTATATGGTATTCTTTTTATTCTGTGTTCAGTGAAACCTTTGAAAAATACAGTAATTCTTAGCCAATTATGGTGGGACTAGATTTTTTTTTCTGTCTTCTATATAGTCCCATAAAAATTAAATATAATACTGAAGTTAATGAACTGCCGACAGATGCACAATGTATGTTTAAAAAAAGTTAAACGCTATAATTTGTAAAAATATAAATAATAAATGTCCTCAGTTAAAATTATAATAATAAAAAAAATAATAGATAAAATAAGTTCAATCATTCTCACCTTTTCTTGGATTTAAAGTGTTATTTAATTTGCTTTTTCCTCCAAATAAATTTTCAAGATTTCTGAGTAAAACATCATTCAAAGATTTAAAGTGAGTTGCAATGTTCATCACTATGTCAGTAAATTTTATGTGCATCATTGCAATTATTAAATAGCAGAAACTGAATGTTATAGAACTGAATTCTATCTCACGATTTACGCAATACCACACATATTGATCATAAATAATAACAACAAATTGCCCTACCAAAAATAATTTTAGTAATATGTAAAAGTAATCTTCATCTTTATTTTTAATTAACATTAATTTTATCTTATTCATTTTTCTTAATATTTTCATTATCTTTTCACCGAAATAACAGCTTAATAATATTCCAGTGACACAAGTTAATCCAACACAGATGTTGTCAATTCTATATAAAATTATACTTTTTTCTGACTTTATATTGTCTGCTGATGTTGTTTCTTGGATGGTTGCAAAACTTTGAATAGCAACCAACAGAAAACTGTACATTATTCTGATTTTAGAATTTTTCATAATTTTAAGTTTTTTGTCATAATATAGTTGGTTCATACCAAAAATAGTATGACTAGAAAATAATTTGTAACCTTTGGAGAACATTAAGCAACTACAGTGAGATACTACAGTGTACCCTTTATAACTTTCGACAGAGACATATTAAGGTGACAGTACTTAATAGGTCTGTTTGCATAAATAAATCAATTCACCTCTCAATAGAAGAAAATTGTTTTTTTCTATCATGGACAAAAATGATTATGCCCTTAGACATAAGTAAACAGTTTAAATACTGTTTGTTTAATAAACTAAAAAAGAAAAGAAAATGGGTTGGAATTTTTTAGAGTTGAAAATTTAAAGGACACTTCCATAATTATATAATTTTGAAAGAATGTGCTGATAATTTTGTTATTAAAAACCTTTAAATTAATAATAAGATTTTTATCTTCATTAAAGTACTTCTAGTGTATTTTAAAAAGAGAAAAAAATTATACTTGGCAAAATATTTTATAAAACCAACACTTATATCCATTTAAATATTATCTTATTTTTCTCAATGTAAACAATAGACTCAAGAGTGGGGGTATCAATCATTTGGAAAGATTTACCAGTGTGTGTGCTATCTGACACATTCTCATCCTTTCGCGTTTTATACAAATTTATTAGCAGAAGAAAAATATGGTTATAGTAAGTTAATAATATGTTTAATCAATTCTAATCGAGTATTTCGCATCTATGACAAATATTAGTCAATTTTTTTTAAATATTTACTTCTTTTCAGAAATACAATTTCAAAGGTCTTATGGCACCTGTCTTTACTCCATTCCAAGCGAATTTGAGGTAAGGATTCCCAATCACCATAATTAAACTAGAATTATATCATTTTTAATTTTTAATAAAACAATATAAAACATTGAAAATTTGTATGATCAAATAATAAAAACAAAACAATATCTATCTCAGTGGTGTTGGTAAATAACTATTCAGTATTAAGATTGACATTGTTATTGCCAAGAATCATATACACAGGAAAATATCTAATTACCTATCTGAGGCGGCAGTTAATAGGTTAGGTGAAAATTTCTTATTAGTAAATAAATTCTATCTTTGAGATTTTTTAATGTAATCTTATAAATAATGCTGTACATTTTTAAGAGATACAATGAAAAATAGTTTTGCAGTATAATAAGAGGTGAAGTACCAGTACATCCAATGACCGAGAGATCAATACACATTTTAAGAGTTTTTTTTTCATTAATCAAAAACATGTTATTATTGATTTTTTATTATTAATAATTCTGTTTAAATTATTTTTTAAAATCAGTGAATGTTGAAATAATCAGTGGTTAAATCAGCTTTAAGGTCAGCGTTGAGATTCCTCTTTACTTTTATTATTTTTCAAATATTATTTGAATTTTATATCTGTTATATTTTATCAATTGATGTGTTCATTAGCTATGTTTTTCTAAATAGTTTCTTGTTTACTCCATGCTGTATTTATTTTATTTTTTTACCTAGGCAAGATATATTTACAGAATATATTCCATCATACGGAGCATTTTTAAAAGAGAAGGGAGTTCTAGGAATATTAGGTGATAGTCAGAGATATTATATTAACATGAAATTTATGTTAAATTAATGTTGGACTTAACTTTGATTCATCTCTTAAAGTAAATGGAACAACTGGAGAAGGAGTCTCAATGAGCACTCAAGAAAGGAAGTTAGTAACTGAAGCTTGGGCAGAAACAGTTAAAAAAACTAACCAGACATTAATGGTCCAAGTTGGAGGGGCATCACTGACAGATGTTAAAGATATGGTAATCAACTGTTTGACTATTAAAACATAATACAGTGGATCAAAGATGTATTGGCACACCTAACTTTTTTCATGTTTCATTGTGGAAAAATCCTAAATTGATTAGTTAAACATTTTTATTTAATTGAAAATTTTCAAAAATACATAATTAGGAAAAATATCTGGTGGAAGCAACACACAACTTTCACTTACCTTTCTACTTTGAATAGAAATTATTTTCTGGAAATGTTGAGCAATTATAAAAGTACACTTTTAACGGAGCTATAGTTTAAAGTTTATAGCTAACAAATCATTAACACCATTATAATAACAAAAACCCTATCAATTATATCATTGGTTGACAATAAAAACTTTGGTACTCCATCTGTTTTCATAAACCACATAACTCCAGTTTCTAAGCTATAGATTTGAAAATATATCTCTATATTCAATCTATGAATGATTACAAATTCTATACTTATTAGTTACTAAACTGCTATTTTTCATTGTAAAGTTTACTATAAAGAAATTACGAGATTTCCATTGCCTGTCATAGATAGGTCAAAGGTTTTCACACTAATTTTAAGCAGACAATGTTTGGATTTCAAAAGGATTATTATTTCTGGAATATATCTTATTCCTAATGAGATTTCCATAAAAATTTGAGTGTGCCAATAATTTTTTGACCCACTGTACATATTTATTGGTATGTACCTATTCAGCCACAACAAAAAATAATAAATGTTCAAAACTGATAATGAACTCAGTATTGAACATGCATTATTTTTTTAATGATATAAATAATCATAAGATTAATATCAATTTCAAGAAAAAATAAATATATATATATATATATATATATATATATATATATATATATATATATAATTCTGAACATTTCTTATTTTTTTAAACATACTTGTTAATTTGAAAATTAACTCAGGTATTTTAGAGGGGATTTAAATTATTATCAAAGCAACAAAAACAAATAAAAAATATCACATTTTTCTTTAGTATTACAACTGAACTTTAGAATTGGGCATTATTAGAAAAAACAAATAATAAATAATTGTTTACATGCTTATTTTTTAAGTTTGCAAGCCACTATTTGTTAATTTTAAGATTTTTTAAACTTTGAACATACATACATTTTTTTGGTCTCAATATTAAAAAGTTTCAGCATTTCAGCAACAATATTTATTAATTTTAAATCTTTTTTAAATTTTGAATATACATACATTATTTTTGTCTCAATATTAAAAAGTTTTCACCATTTCCTTATAGTCATTTCCATGTCGTATTAAATTTAAGTGAGATCACTAGGTTTAGGTTAAAAAGCACATTGAGTTTCAGCATACTTCCCACAAAATTGTTTTTTAGCAATAAAAAATATTATACAAAGGTAATTGATACTATACAACTTGTTATTCAATATAATATCAGCCCGATTCTGACTGAAGTAAATCATTAAAAGTTTATACATTGCTACTGACATTATTGAATTTTTGAAAGTCGAAAAACAACACTTTCTATTTAAAAACATACCAAAAATCTTTCCATGAATAGTTTTTTTCACAATTTGTGTTTTCTTCCCAGGCACAACATGCTGAGAAGGTGGGCGTTTCTTCTATTCTTTGTCTTCCAGATCTGTTCTTCAATCCTAAAACTGTGGACGATTTAATTCATTACTTGAAATTCGTATCACATGCTGCTCCCAAAACCCCTCTCTTCTATTATCATATACCTTCTTTCACAGGAGTTAACCGTAAGGATTTTTATCAAATTAAAGATGAGTTTAAATTAAAAGAAAAATATTAGTATTGCTAAGTAACTCCATTTTGCAATAGTTATTATTTATTTTGAATGTACTTAATGTCTTAAAAATTAAATTCACACGCCCACAACTCAAGTTATTAATTTTTTATTTAAATTAATATATTTATTTTAAGCAACAAGCAAGGCTCCACAGTTATTCTCTCATCAAAACTCAAGGTACTTAAAAAAATAAAAATAAAATAAAGTAGGACATAATACAGATCACCAGACTAGAATTTATAACTTTTTAGACTAGAAAATCAAAACTTGAAATTACTGACAGTTAAAAATAATAAAGCAAAACAACGTGTTTATTTTATTTATTTTTTATTTACAGTCTCAATGAATGAATTCCTAAGCAAAGGGCAAGATCAGATTCCAACCCTTTCTGGAATCAAATTTACCAGTAACGATTTAGATGAAGGTGCCAAATGTTTAAGAGTAAATGAAGATTTAACTGTTTTCCTCGGAGCTGATACTGTAAGTTCTAAATCCTTTAATACCACATGTACATTATTTTTACTTTAAATATTACTTCAAATCAATAAGGCTTACGGCATGGATATGGACTATCACTGATCTTGTTCAACGTAGCACTGGAGAAGGTGATAAGAGCAACATCACACAAAAATGGAGGGTGCAGGACGGAATGAATTATAAAATCCTTCGATATGCAGATGATAAAGCTGTTCTTTGAACAGCGTCTCAATCAACAGAAACTCGCAAAGACTGATAAGAGAAGCAGGACAAATAGACAAACAAGTAAATGAAGAAAAAATACATGATAATAAACCAGAAATCTCGAACCAATAACAAAATCTGCATAGAAGGGAAATTGTTTTCAAGAGTAAACAAATTTAAATACCTCGGCTCCACAATAACCACAATGAATGACCAACAATCGGAAATATACCAGCATATAACAAGTGCAAACAAAAAAAAAACTTATTCTCCCTTTCAAAGGTATTGAAATCCCCAAAATCTCAAATTAAGGGTGTACAATGCTATGACAAAGCCAGTTCTAATATATAGCTGTGAGACCTGGACAATAACCATCAACCTAGAAAAAAATATTGAAAGATTTAAGGGAAAAATCCTCTTCACGATAAGCAGAGCAATCTGGGACTAGAGTACTAACACATGGAGAAGATAGACCAATAAATATCTGCTTACAGAAACTGGTCAATCAATATCTCATGATATGAATGCGCAGATGTTAAGGTGGGCAGGGTAGGTAGCTCGGAGCCACATTTATTTGGAAGTCTCTACAAGATAATGAATGACTCAATAGCAGTCAAAAGATCTCTGGCAGGCCAAAAAGCAGATGGGTAGATCAAATCAACAAAGATGCAATACAGTAACGTTCAGATAACTGGGAAGAAATATCACTTTTTATATTTTTCGGATGAAAAAATACTATTTGGATTCTTTTATTAGTCAACACAATTCAGACAAAGCATCTGCTTTTTCTTCTGGATTTTGGAAAATTCTCTCAATCTCAGATCACCAAGGAATATAAATTACTCACAAATATAGTTGGGATTATAAAGCACAAAGAGATAGTTATAATTTATTTATTACAGATAAGCTTTCATTATACGCAAATTTCTTCCATATTATCAGATCTTTACATTTATTATTTTTCTCAGATTTTTTCAGCAGCTGTGATGCTTGGATTTGATTCTGGAATTATGACAACATTAAACTTTTGGCCAGAGCGATTTCAAGAAATACAGAATAACATTAACAGTGGTAATGTGAAACAAGCAATGCTAATACAAGCTAAAATATCAAAAGACATTGAAAATATTTTGGCCTCTGGTAAGTACTGATCATTCAGAATATAAATGTAAATGTAGTTATCACTACTAATAATTTTAAAGCTAATTATAATGAAAATAATAATTCCTATATTACGTTATCATATGTAGAGTAAAAAAAATGTTTAGTATCATAGTTGTCTATTATTTACCAACTTCAGGTATCTTAAATTAAAGAAATTAATCTGAAAATAATATTACTCAATTATATTAAAATATTGTTTGAGTTGATTATAATAAAGATGGTATATCCAAAACATAAGAAAAAAAAATATGGAAAACTGTTTTAAATTATACTATTAAATTAAATTATTGTGATTCATAAAGTTATTGGTCAGAATAAATTATTCAAAATTAGTCTTTGATTGCAAATTTGTTGTATTTAATTAAATTAATTATTATTTGACCTATTAAGTCTCGCACTCTCAGCTTGTACATATACAATAATTTATACATTTTTTCAATTGCCATTTACTAAGGTCTGCCATTATTCAAATATCAAGGATGGTAGACAAAAGATATTTATTTTTGCTACGTTAAAATATAAATTTAAATAACATAAAACTTTTAGAAACAAACTTGGTACCAATTAATTATCACTCGAACTTAGTAACATTTAATGGAATGGATATTTAGAAATTACATAAGAATTACAAAAGCTTATATCATAAAAATTTAAGGATCTAAAACACATTTTTCTCAATGTTGGTTTTTAGTATAATTATAGTTTGTTTTTAGTATAATTATAGTTTGTTTTACTTGCCTAAAATGGTGATGTACTGGGTTTTCCTAGTATCTTATCTCAAGGTATTTCAAAGGTTGGTAAATAAATTTTAATTTCATACTCAATATTATATTTTCAAGATCTGTAGATCTTTCATTTGTGGTTTTATTTCAATTATTTAAATGAATGTAAAATGTAAAAAATAAGCACTAAATAATATATTCTTTTTTAAGGATCTTGGGTTCATCAAATGAAATTGTACATGAAAAATCAACTTCAACAACCTGTTGGTTTGACTAGACCACCTCTTGGAAATTAGAATTACATGAAGAAATGAAAGAATATACTTTTGAGGAACTGACTGCTAATGTTTCATACTTTGTAATCAATTCAATAATACAAAATATTAAAAGGAATAAAAAGTTTAATCAAGGTTTAAGTTAGATAAAAAAAAAAAAACTGGTGATAATAATTATATACAAACCTGTTTTAGTCTCGACTACCTTCAAGAGTGAAAAAAACAAACCTGAAACGCAAGATTACAAAGTGAACATAATCATTACGCGATTAATGATTCAACACCATAATAAATAAGGGAAAAAAAGTTAGATAGAAACGGTATCGGAAAAATATACCAGATGATTCTTAAAAAAGAAAAATAGCCTGGTGCTAATCAGAAAAAAATATAATATATAATTATTAAAAAAAAAAACTTTGATAGGTTTGTTTTTTTATCTGAATCACTCACTTGCTCATGTGATTGATAAAGAAATAAAAAACATTTTTATTGCAGATAAAGTATCTTAAAATAATTTATAATAAAAAGCTGTTTAAAAAGTTGTTTAAATCAGGAGTTGCTAACTCTGAGCCCTCCTACCCTCTACCCTATCCTATAACAGCGATCACCAGTTGGACATTATTCAAACAAAGCTATTCGAAATTTTATCTATTATAACATCTCTCTTATATTTTTTAACTAAAGTATTTAACCTTGTGGAAGACCACTTTATACTGCTAGGATACTTCCTAAATAAATAAGAGGTTGTTAAATAATGAACAAAATTATAAGAATATCAATATATTAAATTAAATTAAATTGAAACTTAAAATTATTTTATCTCAGGTATGGGTACTGATAATCTATAAATAAACACTCAGACAAACTATTATTATTTACACTATTTATACTAAAATTAAACATTGATTTTAAAATAAAGTTAAGTATGGATTGGCAAGCTAATCTTTTTTTTATATGAACTGTTTCACCCCAGCCAAAACTAAATCCTTTGTTCCCTCTCCTCTTTTGGGATTTTCCTTTCTGATGAAAACTACAGAGCAGTTATTTTCTTTTCCCTGAACTAATAGAACTAGATTAGCTTGACTTTTAACTGTTCAATATTAATTTATTAAACCCTTTTTTACCCACTTCCAGTAAAGATATACATTACACTATATAATAATAATAGATATATTTTTATTATTTGTTCTTATTCGATGACCTTTGGACAGATAATTATATGTTATCTAAGATAAAAATATGATTCAAATAAATTTTTTGTAAATTTCCAGATTTGTTCGATATTTGGGTCAATTAAAATATTTTTGATGGCGGTCTTTATGAAAATACTATTGGATTTAAGATTACGCAATTGCACATTAAGCCTTTGATACTTTTTGAATTGTTCAATATATGGTCCCACTAATATGTTTTTGGGGCTCTCTTTATCAAAAATACTGTCAGATTTAATTTAAATAATTAACAATTTCTTAACTGTAAACTAGACAAAATTTATTTTAAATGAAAATAGAGTTTGCTATTGTTAATAACCATTTAAAGAGGACTTTTGAGCAGCTAAATTCAGTTATGGAGTGGGGGAAGATGGGTAGTGGTGGGGGAATGGGTAGGGGTGAGGGAAGCACCTGGTACAGAGGTGCCTCCTCCCCTCCCCCAAGAAAATTCCTGGATCCCCCACTGCTAGAACTATTCATTTGAACAAGTAGTGAAGCAGAAGTAAAATATTTTTTTTTTTAATTTCATCATTATTATGAAATACAGTAATGGCTTTGTATAGTTAGTATTATTCTAATCATTCAGCTAGGAGTACAATTAGATTTATTTCTAATTACAGAATACCATTGTATATAATATGTGTAGATATAAGTGTAAATAAAAACATATATAAACTTCATTAAAAGCATTGACAACCTACAGGTTTTATGCCTTAACTCCATAACAAACCAACAAACACAGTGTATATCATGATCTCAATTCCAAGTCCTGATTTTCTTTCAAAAACATTTTACAGTTTTAACAAAGAATATTGTCTAATTTCTCAAACAATAATCTTTTGGGATGACATCATTAAAAATAAATATTTTTACTTTAATAAAAGTCTTACATTGTAGAAATATTTTTTTATTTCAGAATTTTCTAATATCAGGCACTTATGAATTTCCAAGCATGCTGAATGAAAAAGAATCAACGGTATTAATTTCAAACAAAATTTTAATTAAATAAAATAAACAATCAATTCAAGAAATATAAATTTAGCATTGATTATAAACCTCTTAATATGAATTTATTTATTTTTCTGTCTGGTATAAAAGATATTTCTGACTTATATATAAAATATAAATGAGTTGCCATTTTCGTTTTTAATACTATTTTTTTTTTCTATGGTAAATTAGTTTGCTTTGCTGGGAGAACTATGGATTGAAAAACAAAAACCATTACCTACAGACTTTTATACTTGTATAGCTGTCATCAAATAAGAGAATGTTATCCAGTTGGAGCAGAATGCTGACCTGTCTCCTAGAAATAACTAAATTAAGTATGAAATTAGGCACATAACCTATCTCGAATGCAGTTCATGGATTATTATATATAAATGTATTCAATTCTTTGTAAATAACATTGTTTCATAAAACATGTAATTACATATATATATAATTTTTTTGTTTGAAAATGACATTAATGATTTAGAGAGATTTATGTCTTTAGACATTGCCTCCTAGTTCTGTGTTTTGGTATGTCAACTGTTCTAGATGATGCATTTGGTTAAATAATTCAGAGATCCAAAATTTTGTTTTTCATAGTTTGTATTGCTATTAGAATTGGAAGCATTAAATTGGAGAGTTTCATTATGGTGAAATTGTATTAGGCTGCCAGGAACCGAATGGTCTGATAGTCAACAGCTTAGGTGTTGAATAAAAATAAAATAATAATGAATTTCTAAATTACCTTGTAATTTAGTTGGTAACATGTTAGTCAACATTGGTCTTCCTGATATGAATATCTTCCTAATCTTTCTACTAGTGGTAATGCAAATCCTGTTTTTTTTTCTTCTATGATTTAGAGGTGTTAGACTTCAAACTGAGCTTACACTAACTCCAAGTTAAATAGGTGTAATGGAATGATATGAAAATAACCTGCTGCAATCTATAAGCCATCCTGTTACCATGAATGTGTTGAATTCTCAAAATTAAATTACAAAGCTTCATTTGTGTATCTCCCAATATTCTAACACTATCCGACAAAGCCAGTGAGTGTGCAAGGTAATTAAAAAAATAAATTAATAGTTTTCAATTAAAATTTGTAACTGTACTGTGTATTATACAACGTTTTATTTTGTTATCAAAATAAATTAATATATTATATATGTAGCTTATTTTCACTATTTAACATCTACTTCCACTTGCCTAATTGAGATTACTAGTGTTCGCCCAGTGGTCGAAATTCGACCATAGCCATGAAAAATTTGAGGAAAAGATATAATTAAATACAAAATAAATTAAATAAATAAAGAGAAAATCAAGATTCAAAAATCCTCATTTATTAATACAAACAAAATTTCAATTTCAATCAAAATCGAGCTTAAATCATTTAAAATTATTTATAAGTAATTCAAAATAGACTCATTCAAAAATATTTAATTTTCATTTTAATTTATGTGTTGTTATCACAATAAATTAATGTTATGATTAAGCAAGGAAAAAAATAAATTTAAATAAGCAATTTAATGTAAATAATGTTCTTTTTGAATGTTCTGTTATTGTTTAGTGCATAGCCATGCCCATTGCCAATGAAAATATAAATTTCAATATTTTAAATGAACGTGCTCTAATTGCTGTCACATATAATTGTCCATGCGAAATTACTATACGTCACAATAATACACACATTTTTCCAAAACTTTTATCCTGCGATTTGATTATGGTCATAGCAAATGCAGCTACTAATAGGAACGTTGTTCTTTGCAAGTCAAATGTAAGTATAGTGTCAGAAAATGTTAAAATAATTCTTGGAATTAAAATTCTTTAATTTAAAATAGCCCCCATTAATACTTCAGTCTCATTCCTGTTCCATTAACTAATGCTTGTGCAGTATTTAAGTTAACAATGAGTATAACTATAGAATATATTTATAAATTTAAATTATGAGGTATCATTCCACTAACATTGCATGATATCATCTCTTCAAATAATAGACCCAATTACCTCATTAAATGAAAAGTTTTCGATCAATCAAAAATCAAAATAAAGGTAATCGAATTTGCAAAAGAAAAAGTACTAAATGTTTAAAATGATATATCTCTGCAACAAATAGTCTGATTTCGATGATTTTTTTTTATTTTGTAGGGAATTCAGAAAGCTTTCAAATAAATATTGGTGTTATCAATAGAAAAATGTATACTTTTTGAGTTATTAACAAATAAAATACTGAATTCATCATAAAAATTTATGCAGCTTGTTTTCGGGAAAGTATATTATATACATAAATTATAAAGGTTTCAAAGGGAAGACTTTAGCCAAGTTTCATTTAAATCGTTGAAGTTGTATTGGCGCTACAGTCTAAAGCGAATCACGTTTTTCGGCTGCCATTTCGAAAGGAAAGGCCTGGTGATAATGAAACTTATACAAAAAAAAACTTCTAAATATTTTTGCGACGTGTCAAAATTTAAAAGAAATCAGTGAAGAACTTTCGGAGATAAGCAGTTTTGAACTAACTACCATTTGTATTTTCGTGTACATACTATTTAATATTTTTATTTATTCATAACACTAAAGCTCGTCAATATCTATTAAACAAAAAAAGAAGGAAGAAAATTGGTTGAATAATAGAGGAGTAAAAGGGGCTGAACCGATTTGTGTTTGCCTACTTATATAATGATACTGCAAGTTAGTTCACCATATCATCTTTCATAGGCAAAAGTGATGAATATAATTATTTATTCAAAATAAATGTCTGCTAACGTAATTGGCCTTAATTCTCTATTTAATTTATAATTAAATAAATTAGACTTCTCAGCTATTAACCTATTCAGTGCCTTTGAATGGGTTTAATATCTCATTATTTTCTTTAATCTTATTAGTTCAATAATTTCAGTTAATTTTCTTTTGCTCACAAAATAGTCAAAATACGTTTTATGGATAGTAGAGAAAACCTAAAAAATGTATTATGAAATAGGTAACTTTTCAAGGGACATTCCAATGCCTTAAAGAATATAAGCTGTCAAAATCTATTTTTTATTCATTTTTCTGAATGATGGATCCTCTTATGTTTGTTGCATTATGTAGTAATACAGTTATTGTTACTTTTTAAACTATTGAAGTTCCTTTAGACTATTTTAGGTATATTTGTATGTAAAAAGTTAATGAATGTAAATTGAACTAAATGGAAATTTAACCTGACAACTAAAAATATATTATGCACCAAACTGTCATTCTGGTCTTGCCAAAAACCATTTCATCGTACTTTATGAGAGATTTATCCATGCCACTAAAATATTTCAAGTGGTATTTATAGGTTGGATAAGCATCTGGTAATAACCTTTAATAACATAAGTTTGATAACTTTGGGCCCGATAATAGATTTTAATAGTAAAATATTTACTAGAACTTTTTGGGTAGAAATTTAATTATTTAAGTAGTAAAATGGTAAGTGAGCATTATGTTACCCATCTTTTTCTATCCATTGGCTTATACCAACTGCATTTATTATCATAATGCTTTTGTATGAAAATTCAGAACATTTGGTTATATATGTTTAAAAGAACTCTATTGAGGTGTTAGCCAATTTACTCACAAAAGTGTAAATAAATAATTTATAAAATATACATTAAAATTGATTGATACTTATTCTGTTATTTTTAAAGTTTAAATTAGGTGATAAGTTTTAATTAACATTTTTAACATGTTTGTTTTTCATCGTAGACACTAATAATATAGCTTAATCTGGAAGATATTTTAATAAAACTTATTATTAATCTGAGTATTCATCCATAAAATGATCTTTAATATTAATGAACCAATTTTAAGTTCACCATACCATTTACATTCTTTTTAAATACTTATGGATTTTTCCACTTACTTCTATTGAATATTTACTAGCCCTGTCTGTTAGCACATATTTCCTTCAAGTAAACGCACCTAAAATTTATATTAATACTAACCCTTCAAGGACAATCACACCTATGATGACCCTTTCCGGTTCATTTCAAATTTCATTTCATTGTATGGATTATGTTTAACTGTTGTGGTTCCCTTTCAAGGAGGATTGTACCTCAGAACTGGTTCAATTGATCGTATTATTGAGTGACCAAAAATATTGAAAATAATAGAAAAAATTGTGTAAGCAACAAATTATTGCTTAAAGTATAATGAAGGTGATGTGAATTAGTGTGTTTGAAGGCATTTCATTAAGAATTAACTGGAATGGATATTGCTATGTACTGTTTATGATATGGAACAATTTAATAATATTTTAAAATTTTAATTATGATGTTATAACTTAATCAATCATAACAATTAAAATGATGATTATACAAATAACTATAACATATGATATTAGTATAAAGTTATAATTATTATCATAAAAAGTAGTTGCAACTACTTTAGTCAAATAGCTATACTGTGTTTCTCGCCTCTTTTTGATTTATTAAATATAATTATAAACAAAAATAAAAATATTTTTCTGTCGTTGAAGTGTTAATATATTTTATAAGCACTAAAAGATATTTGTAACTTTTTTATTTCCATTATGGAAATAAATGAAAAGTAGATTTCTAAACTCTTGATAATTATTTTAGAATAGAGTAGTCTCATGAAAAAAATAAATCACTGATTACATTCAAATTTAAAAAAATATATATTTATAATGAAATATAAACATCAGAATTTTAATCCCAATAACAATAGGTTAGTGAACATTCCATTAATTCTAAGTTAAATACTAAATAGCATTTGAAAAGACATTCAGCTATCATTCGTTTCTCCTTCCTTTTTCTATTGTCTGCAACCCACAACATTCAGAAACTTTGTTTCTATAGATATTGAAAAGTAAATTTAGAGATAAGGTTTTAAAACTATCTTGTAGCATAAAAGACATAGTTAAGTTTATTTCTGATGTGTTTACATATTGAGTGAGTACTTTTAAGGAGAAAAAATGCTTTGAGATTATCTTTCTAAAACTAAACAGAGTTAATTTAATTCTGATATGTTTACATTACAATAAGTAACCATAGATGTAACTTATGTTTAAAAAAAATGTATGTACATTGTTTTACAGTGGTATTAATAATAAGTATAAAATTTCAAATATCAGAATTCTTTAGATAAATTTATACTTGCAAATATTTAATAAAACACTCAAGTACTAAAATTAAAATTAAAATATAATCACAATGATTATTTACCACTGACCTTTTTTCAACTTCATTAAACATTAAAATATTTAAGTGATATTAAATAATGTACAAGAGTTTAGATAATGTACAAATAAAACAACAGATTTTTAAAATAAATAGTGACAAAATAACTTGTTATAAATTCTATACAATCATTCATTAATTTATTATTTGTTAAATTAATATAAATTTTATAAATATAGCATATAATTAATTAAAATTGCATTATGATACAATAATACATAAAAATTCATAACTTAAATTATACTCTTTGTTGAATCCCACTAAAAATCAGACATATCTGTATCATCTGATAATACTTGGTTTTCCATTCCTCTTCTCACCATAGGTGTTTTGATTCTCGACTTTACCTTGCTATGTACTTTAGAAGATTTGGGCGTACCTAAGAAGGAATAATTATTTCTGTTTTGTCTTTTCCTTAAAGCACTCCTGGTTATCATAGAAAAATTTGTCAATCTGAAAATAATTTGACATTTAAATAAAAAATTAATACCAAACAGTGAGAATTCAAAATACATTTTCCAGATGACCTCAGTCTCCAGAAACAACGATCGATAGTAAGCTTCTAATTAAATAACTAAACATGTGCAAAGTTAGAGAACAAGTGCAATTACTTAGAGAAAGACTAAGTCATTTTGTTAAAGATAAATTTCTTATGACAATGATTTCAATTAGAGTAAAATTAAAATCTATACAGTCTTTCATTTATATCGTATCTACAAATTATCCTTATATATTTTTAAACATATTGTTAAAAGGAACAAATAAAATAAAATAAATGTACTTACTTCCTAACCATAGGAGTTTGCCGAGTAACATCTGGTAGATCACGTCGAAGCTTCTTCACCAATGGGACCATCTGGCGTCCCTAGAAATAAAATTTGCTCTATTATAATGATTTAAAGTAACTTTGATAATGCTTTATAAGCATGGGTAATGTAGAATAGGTGATAAACTTATACAGTCCAAATTTTTCCAATCATGAGCATTTCACATTGTTATGTTAACATATATTAGTATTAATACTGATGGAGTAATAAAATATACAAAACACTGATTATGTAAGATCTTATTTGGAACAAAAGCAAAAATTTAATGACAAAATTGTTTTGTATACCTCAAGTACAGGGACCCCCAAAGGTCTGTTAAACAGTTTTAGAACCTATGATGTAGAAAGGACATGCTTTAGTAATCCCGAAACATTTGCAGGTTCGAGAACTACAAGATTTGATTATGTGCAAATAAAAATATTCTACATTCTCAAATTGCTTATTTGACTGTTCATGGGGGTCAAGTCACAAGTTCAAACAATTCGAAGTACAGTATTTGACAAAAAAACAGGACAGTATTTATATACATTCTAAACTTATTATCTGAGATAAGAGTACTAAAACATGGAGAAGAAAGACCAATAAAGAGATATTACAGAAACTGGTCAATCGATATCTCATGATAAGAAGGCATGGAGATTAAGATAGGTGGGCATATAGGTCATAGCAATCCATCAGAAAGCTTCTACACAACAATAAATGCCTCAATAGAAGGGCAAAGATAATGTGGAAGGCCAAAAAGCAGATAGATAGAATCAAGCTACAAGTAGATAACTGGAAAGGAATAGTCCAAAATTGACAGAGATGGAGTAGGCTTGTTTAGGCAGCAAAAGATCTACGAAGTCTACAATGCCGCCAATAAAAGAAAAAAAAAATTATTATATATTCTTTTATTTATAAAATTTATGGAACCAAAATCCATTTAAAAGTTTTTCATTTGTCAAAGGGAACTAACATTTTTCATCAGTCAAACTAAAACTTATGTCATGATCAATATGTAAGATATAATATGAAAAAATCCAAATTGAAAAATATTAACACCACTGGCCAAACAATAACTTCTGAATGTCCCTATGCCATTATCTGTCTGGATTGCCAAATTAGCATCTTTTGAGAATGGAATGAGATAATTCCAATTTCATTAGGGAGGAGAACCATGTAGAAGCATAAGGTGTATTACAAAACGCAAGTCTGATTTGAAATTAAAGAAATAAATAAGGAATGCTGCAATTTTATGTTCTATATATGGTTGCAAATCCTGGAGATTGAACAAAATATTTTCAAAAACTACAAATAGAACATGGTATGGAACTTAATATTCGGGGATAATTAGAAGTGATGAGGTTCAGACTATGCCAAATTGGTATGGAATGGCCCAATAAAATAACATTATCTCCTTAATGACTATTCTGCTTAACACCTCAATATATTTATTTACATCTAAGATAATTTAAGTACAGTAACATCAGTGGTTACTCACCTCTGGTTCAAGTTCTGAAGATTTACGCTTCTTAGTTTGAAAATTGTAATCAGTTTCATTTTTATCACCGTCTGAAAAAAAATTGAAATTGATAAACGAGATAAAAAAAATCCTTTCGGAAACAAAAAATAACAACTTGATTCAGTTCAGTAAGGTGTAGTTTGATATAACCATAAAATTGAATTTTCTTTGCAATAGTAAAACGATTCTTTAAAATGAAAAAAAAAAGATGACGCCTTAACTTCATTGATTTCACAATATCAGCTTCCCTGAAAGCATTGTGCAGACAGGTCCTGATTTGTATGGCGCTTCCAGCCCTCTCCAACTTTCACTCCACCAAAAACACGGAAGAGAACTTTTCTTTCAAAAGTAAAGAGTTCCTTTTCAGTGGCCTTCGACATTGTCCAGCACTCCGATCCATAAAGAAGTATGAGACGCACCAATGTCTTATAGAGGTGCAGCTTGGTCTGTCTGAAAAGTATCCACCTGCTTAATCCAAAGTAGCATTTATTGGCTGCTGTTATCCTTCTTCTTATCTCTACATCGGGGTTATTATCTTGAGTGATCACAGATCTCAGATAAGTAAACTCCGAGACCTTTTCAAATTTATGAAGCCCAATAGTGACTGTCTCGCCAGCCTCTATGACACTTCAGATAAAAAAAATTAGCCGTACTTATTCTTCTACATTTTTCCAAATCTAGTAGAATTATACTTTATGCAAACTTATTTTATTTTTCCAAATAAGAACTATTACTGTCTTACAGCAGTTGCTATTTCTAATCCTAATCGGCACCTATCTAGCTTCCTCTGTCCTCAGCCATACCTCGGGGATTAACCACTTCCTCTCTCTTTTTTAATTCTTGTCGTTATTAATGATTTTCTTAATTCATCATGATTATGCTGACAACTTCCAGTTTATCCTAGCTCTTTCTGATTTGTTAGTCGTGTTTTTGAAAATTTAGGATGCTCTGATTCATCCCCTTTGTAATGCCTAATAATATAGTGTTAACTTTCCTAAATCTGTTACATGCTATTATTTTATACTCCTCTGTTACATTCTTGGTGTTACCATAGATTTGAACCCTACCCTAGAAACATCATGAAGTCCAAATATTCTGACTCTCAAGCTCTTTCATTATCACCAGTATTGAATCTTCTTTCATTTCTCTCCATTAAAATATAACTTTGTGTTATCTGCTGGGCTGTCAGTGTGCCTTAAGACAAACTTTAGTACTTGAGGTGCATGTTTCCCATCTTTATGTAAAGTTGATAGCTCATCACTATTTTCTCAGTTTAAACTTATAAATAATAAAACACACATAGATTGTTATCTGCTTCTTAGGATTTTTTGGCTTCTAACATATTAAAGTTTTGTCTGCTTTTCAAATAAAAAAACAGCTGAACCAATTCAGACCAACCTTAAATGATACTTTCTAAATATTTAATAATGTTTTCAGAGCAAATATTATTTAATCTGGTAATAAAAGTAAAAGTTCCAGATAATTGAATTACTTACATCTGATGCTATTTCCATTTGAAAAGCATAGCATACTTTGCTTCTGTTGTATGTAATTCCATTTTCTAACAACTTCTTTCCAGTGGTTAGGAAATTTGCTATTAGAAAAATGCTTCTTAATATCCTCTGGGATACCTAAAATAAATATCATATTAAAATAATGATATATTAATATAAGTTGTAATTATACTACTCACCAATATAAATACATTGATTTATACTGTTTTTTTTTTTTCATTGCATGGGGGAATTATAAAAATAATCCATATATACTTAAGACATTAAACACTTCATAGTAAATGTCATACGCAGACAAATGTTCAACTAGGGGTATTATTATTTTCTTAATAATTATGAAAACTTACTATTATTAGGATCATTAAAGTCACCAATTAAGTGATAAACACAACAGCTAGTTTTAATGATAGTAGCATCAGCAGATAGTATTCTACTAGAGACATGACCTTCTTCAATCAAAGTCTGGTCCTTCCTAGAGGAAAAAAAAAAACATATTTCGTTAATAACAAATGTGTTCATAAGAAATATAATATGTAGTTTGAATCGTATTAGAGAGAGAAACACTTTATTTTCATAAAATATAAAATATAAAGGATTGCTGCCCAATTATATTGGGTTGCTATATACACAGCATACTCTTCTATCCTTAAGACAATATATGAACTTATATATAAATATACAGAAGTATTAGTTAATATTAGTAAAACAGAAATATATATATATATACATTTTATATATATACTTTTATATATATACATTTTATATATATTTATACAACATAGGGTATAAATAATACAGTGAAACTTTCAAATACCAATCCGATATTTCTCTTGGAACCAAAGTATTTCAAGGATTTTTCAAACAAAATAATGCTGTATTGGTTAATTAATCTTATTTAAAATAAATAAATATATTAAAATAATATTTAGAGAAGGGTAGCTCAGTGAGTAAGAAGGGTTACTGTATTCCTACGCAGCTGGTCCCGTGTTCAAGTCTGGCTGTGAAGTGGTTTTAGGCTCTCCATGGCTTGTAGTGCTATTTTTTTTTTAAGATATAGGAAAATTATAACCTTAAAATATATTTAAATTAAAACTCATTAATATTATTTTATAATCATTATTTTTTTCATTACACATTATTCATTTTCATTATTTTTTCAATTTCTCAATACAGAAAGTAGGGAAACGTATTCTTGTGGAAGAGTGAAAACAATTGTGCTCAGAAACAAAATTTCCAATCTCACTTTGATTTAGACTTCTTTTTTCTTCTTTTCCTTTTCTCCCATTTCTCGCTTTTTAGGCTATAAGGAGTTTTCCCCAGTCTAGGAGATAGGGCAGGTTATTAAGCAAGAGCTAAAATTTTCCTGGCACCAGGAGTTGAACTGATAAAATTTGTTTTATTACAGGACGCTCTGCGCAACGAGTGTTTTACACACGTCTTAGTTAGCTCGCTTGGCCACAACTTCCTCAAATGCCAAAGACCAGCAATGATTTAGACATCACCAACGAAATTTGGTGTCTGGTCAGTCTGTAGTTAAATCTACATGACAAGCATACCAGTCCCATATCAATTTTATCAAATTCCATCTACTATTTTCACCTATGCATGTGTAAACATGTTTTCTTAAACATCCCTATATTTCAAAAACAGCTTGTTCTATTTCTCTCAAAATTGGAGAAAAGTTATAGATTAGGAGAAAAAAATTGAAAACTTTAGCAAACCCCATCTTCTCCTCTATCTCAAAACTTTGCTTTTCATTTTAGTACTGAGTTCATTTCATGACACAGAGATACAACGTACCTCCCCACCAAATTAACTTTAAAACTAAACTTTAATAACCTTAAATAATTTTAAACTTAATGTGCATTTTACGTCTTTTTAATTTTATTTTATTTCTATTATTCACAAGCAGCAGATATAAATATATATAATATTAATCAATGGCATTGATAACCAACCAACAGATTTTATGCCTTTACTATAGAAAAGCAACCAACCATCTCAAAATTGGACATTTGATCTGGCCAAAGGCAATGATTAAAAAATGTTTCACTTCTGGATGGCACAAGTGCATTTCCAGCAACTTAAAGATTGGGTTGTTCAATTCAATTTGGCCTAAAATTAGAAGAAATTTGGAGATAAGTATACACTTTACTCTACTGTAAATTTCATCAAATTCCATTTAACAATTGAAATTAATGTATCTAATCGTTAAGGATATAATAGCTGTGAAATGTGATGGATAATTAACATATGGTAAGGGAACTTTTATTTATATTATAGTTGTATTCATTCATAAAAATGTAAATTGTGTTCTAAAATTTTATTAAAAACAGTATTGTGTAATCAAATCCAAGCAATGGGAGGCATAACATCTACTGCAGTTGATTTAATTTGATAACATTTTTAGAAATTGTGAGTGTTAGACATGGTGAGACAATGATTCAAAAAAGGCTTCTCATGTTAATCTTATTACTGAATTACAAATCATAAAACTTGACATATAGTAAGTTATGTTGCTAATAGTAATTGGTGAGGAAACTATACTGACCTGACTTGGTATACATTGTTATTTTATATTTAACTGTTGCCATGTGATTGAAATTCTATTCAAACTTTTAAGTTATATCTCATGAAATTGGGAAAAAATGTACAAAATACTGGTGTATGAATTATGTGAAGTACTATAATGGATGTATAATAATGTATAAATTTTAAATGTTATAGAAATATTATAATTTTAAATGTAATATTTCATAAAGTGACTTCGGTAAATTAATTAAATGTGGGGAGAAAAAAACAGGGAGAATTTAAATAACCACCTCATTAATAAAAAAAAATTAAATGAAACTAAACAAAAATTGAATACAGTAAACTTAGTTTTTGCTTGATTAGTCTTCATGATTCCATGATTAGTTCCTAACGTCAATAGAAAAATAATTTCTTGAAATGATTGATGATAATCCCCAAGTGAGATTTATACCAACAATTGAAAAATGCAATAATTAATCAAAAATACCATTTATCTATAAGTAGATATTTTTTTAATGACAGTAACTAGATTTTATTTTGAAATATTAGGTTTGACAATGTTGATGCTTAGTACCTAATCATGATTAAAATTCATTATGATGACTGGGTTGCTGATTCTGGAGTAACAGAAACGGAACATCATCAATTATTTAGCACAATTCCATTCAGGAAATGGAACTGGTTGGAACAAGTACACTAAAAATTGGAAATGACACATCCCTAACAATAAGTAATAGAAATTAAAAAAAGTAAATAATGCGCAATATTATCTATTTTGTTGGTCCAATGCCAAAGTGGTGTAGCTCTAAATTTTTCTATCTTTCAGTTTGTGATTTTCTGTTCTTTTTAATAATTAAAAAAAAAAAGACTAAATAATAACAACACAAGTAAGGCAAACAGTATTTAATATGACAAAACAAATTTAAATAAAAAAATTAGCTAACTCATACCTTCAACCATAATTTTAAATCCAATTTGACTCATTTAACAAATATGACACTTTGGATTTGAACCAACATTTAAATTGCAAATTCAAAATTTGGTTTGATATAATTATTAAAATTGATTTCATACACATCTCTTAAATCTCCAGAAACCATCAAATCCATTGGTCCATTGCCTTTAATTAAAGTCCAGTTCTTAAGAAGGAAAACAGCAATTTGAGATGAATCTGCTTCTTTAAATTGATTATGTGAATTTTTTTGATGTTGAATAGTGTTTCTAGAAGAAACAGAAATATAATCTTCAATCACTTCTCTATTCCATCCTCGATTTCCAATGAACGGTTCACCAGCATCTAAAATAAAATGTATTAATATGATAAAGCCACAAATACAAGTAGTGTCTAAAGATAGCCAATGACCCCATCGATCCATCTAAACAGAAATTCTTATAGATCCATATTCCTAGGGGCCACTGAATTGCTTTTATATCTTATACATTGACTACATGAACACATCGATTTTAAATTTGTTACAAGTGGCCTGTTGTAGTTAATTACTTTCAAAACTCATAAATACTATAGAAAATATAAAGAAATATTATCTCTGAATATAATATATAATATTATATCTTGACTAGTTGAAGAATTCAGAGACAATTTTCTTTAGTAATAATGTATCGTAATACATAGAAATAATTTACTTTTCCGTTGTCGATTACAATATTCCATTTAACATAATAGACCAAATTTTTGTACAAATTGCTTTGCTAGAGCCTTTTTCTAAACGCTGGCTGAAAAGGTAACATTCAAAATAAATCTCAATCATGGGATTTTCTAAATTATTAAAAAATGTAAAATTTACAAAGAAAAAATGCTTTAAAGAAATAATAAAGTATATATCAGCCAGGAAAAAAATAGTAGTAGAATAGTTAGAGGAAGAAATTATTAAGTATAGGAAAACTAATGGACTATATCTTAGTTAATAATTGTCTGATTTTTAAGATTTTTTTTTTGTAGCTAATTTAGTAATCATTCTAATTATGATGGGTACAATCAAGATAAAAATTCATAATTTTTGAGTTATTTCCGAATAAAGTTTCTTTTCCTTCATGACTTTTTTCCCCTCAAATTTCGGGAGTGAGTGGCTATTTGTCCCATCAGAAGGTGAAGATCTTCAAAATGAGTTGTCAATCATCGAATTTGATGAAGAATTGATGAGGTTATGGCATACTGACAAAAAAACACCTTTTAGAAATAATATGTAAGATAAAAGAGCTGTGCTGAGATAGTTGTCATGTCAATGAATTCACTTTTCATCATGATATTTTTGCCTAGCATTAACTAAAACATTCATAACTGCTCAGGACTTCATCCTAATTTAATGTTTCTACAACCATTAGAAAGCTGAATTATTGCTCTTCAAGACCGTATTTTGGATTTAACACGTCAATAGAGAGTAAATAAATAAAAACCACTAACAATTCTTTATTTTATAACTTGATTCTAAATTATTTAGAAGGGTACAATTTGTGTCATTCCGTGTAGGTTATTATTTGTATTTTTTTTTTTTTTTATCACTACGAAAATTTGTATTCGAGAGTCTTTTGAGCTGCAAAATACAAAATATACTTCAACAATCACATCTAACTTGTTGATAATAATTTATGAATTATTAATTATTGCATATTATATTAGTAAATTATTAATTATTGCATTTTATATTAGTAAATTATTATTTATTCCTTAAGCTCCTCCACATTTTTTATTGTAATCAAACTGTAAACTGAAGTAATTTTTAATGAAGAATAATCTCATTAATCTAAACTCACAAATAAATAAATAAAACTGAGAAGAAAGAGAGGATAGAACATTTCGATTTGCGATATTTTCTCTTAGCATATATATCATATACAGTAAAAATGAAAGTGACAACAAAATAAATTAAGTAATTAGGTAGAATAAGTGATGTGGTTTTATTAAGAAGTCTAAATTTACTCCAAAACAGAATAATATATTAGATGAAAAATGGCTTTGATAGATATTAAGTTAATAATAGGCAATTAAATCCTGAGATAAATGGAATATCGAAAAGAAGAGCTCTATAAAAAGGTTCTAACATTTTTTAAAACTTTTTAGAAATGAATGACCAAATTAAGATATTTTCAGTGACTGTTAAAGTTTACATAATAATTCATTCATTTTGAAAATCAACCTAAGAATACAGCACCAGTCAGATTAGGTCAAAAAGAACAATTTTATGCCAAAAAAAATGGTTAATTTCCTTAATATGAAATTTAATTAAATGTGGATTAGAAAATGAGTTTAGTGATTTTTTCGGAACAAACGGCCAATAGATATCTAATTATTTAAATATAATATCATATCTAGAGTTATTAAACTACATTGAATATATTTAAGGTTATAAATATATCCATGAAATATATATTTCAGTTTTTCTTTCACACAAGTACAATGAAATAGTATTTTATACAATGGCATCGGCTTGATTCGGTGGATTTTAAATACTTTTTACTTAATTTAAAAAAAAAATTAAAAGTTTACATTTATTAAGTAAATTGCATTTAATTTCCTTCGAAACATGTGATTTAAATTAAATAATGTTAGTTTTTGGAAATTATTATTTATACTTTTTGTCACTATCTGTTACCTTCTACAACTTTATTTATTTGATATTATTTTTTCTAAAATTCTCCGCTTTCCAACGATATGTTATACATTTACCTTCTGACTAGTATTTCCGAAGATTCATTTTCGACCTGGATAAGCATTTTTATTTTTTTCTCCTTTATTTAATTATCAAATTCTTCCTAAAGTTATATTTAGCATGTGTTTGAAACTCTAAATAATGTGAGATGATTAATTATTTAAAATAAACCATATTACAGGTACTTTAGAAGGAGACGTATATGAACATTAGGCATTTAAGCTCTGTAAAGTGACATCAATTGGGATAAAACCTGATTGATATTAAAGACCACTTCATTATACAATACACAGAGTTTAATCAAAATCTTTAGTCGTTTTTGAGAAAATTGTAAAAATGTGTTTCAGCGTTGATATAAAGTAGCACTTCAAGAGAGTTGATTTTAAGGAAAAGGTTGCTATCATGTCTAAGGCATATACCTATCTTAAATACGCAATATCAGTTTCGTACGCCTTTTCTTTTTTGAGCTAAACTAATGTTTAGGACTATTTTTCAGGACTTGGTTATTTGGACTCACAAAGAACAAAACGTGTATATCCGTTAAAACTCAGACTCAAAAATTTTCACAATCGCATTACTTACCCTTACTATATATTACATATATACCTAAGTGAAAGTAATAATTAGGTATCAACGTCCGTTTATTCCGAAATTTTGTTATGTAACTTTTTAGAAAATTTAATTAGTGAATAATTTGATGAATCTTCTCTTTGTGATATTCCAACAGTATCCACTACTATTTCATTGTAGTTGTGTGTGTAAAAGAAGAAGTGAAATATAAAAATATTTTATAGATACGTTTATAACCTTAAATATATTTACTGTAGTTTAATAACTCTAGATCTGATATTATATTTAAATATTTAGGTATCTATCGTCCGTTTATTCTGAAAAATCATCATGTAACCATTTAGAAAATTAAATTGAATAGTTAGAAAATTAGAGAATAGTTTGATGAAATTTATTTTTGTGATATTCCAAAATTATTTACTTACAATTAGTGTGACAACTTTTGACCCGTCTATGACAGACAATGCAAATCTCTAAATTCCGTTTTAATAAACTTGGCAATGGAAAATAACTGTTTAATAACCAATAATCTTACAATCCATAATCAACAGATCGTACAATCCATCATCAACCGGTGATATAATAAATTTGACTTTTGTTATTTTAATGGTATTTATGATTTTTGATCTGTAATTTTTTAGCTTAAGCTCGGTTAAACATGCAATTCAAACATTTTATAATAGCTCAACATGGCCAGAAAATAATTTCTATTAAAAAGTTGAGCGGTAAGTGAAAGTTGTGCACCAGATTTTTTTTGTTAGAAATATCTTTATTTACAGTAAATATTTAATGGAAATAAATCGGAATGTTTTTTTTCAACGTTAAGTACTTCTTCAATATAATTTTTCTATCCAAAAATATATGATAACATTCCACAACTGTTTTTTTCTAGCTCATTAACAGCTCAAATAAGTTTGACTATGATACAAATAAAATAAATATTTTCAGACAGTGAAAAAAAAAAGGGAAAATTGGGGTCCATCAGACCCTTGCGACCTGTAAGGTTTATCAAAAGTGCGCAACCGCTCTAGGGTTAAGGGTGTATTTTCTTGGATTTTTTTTTATATCAATTGATTAATTTTTGTCAGTTAGAACCTTTTTAGAGGGATCCGTTCAAATGCCTTGAATTAAATCTCTTAATTTATCATTAGGTGATGTAATTTTCTAAAATGATAAAAAACACTTTGATCTTAACCAAACAGAATCAACAATAGAAATAGAATCTTCATATTATAACCAATTTAACTAAAGCACAAGGTCATAAATTTAAAATTATTGCAATCATTTATAAGTTAAATACTCACTGGAATGCAGCCAATCGAGAATTCGTAAACGTTTATCCCTATCAATATCAGGACACACCTAAAAATAAAAACATTACTAGCATAAAACAAAATAATAATAAACTGATACCATATGAATTACTGCAAATAAATGGAAATTAGTAAGAATATTCTTAAAATAACAATTTACATAAAATCAGTCCAAATATGCTAATAAACTTAGAAAATAGAAAAGAAAACTCAACAAAATCACTAAGTAAAATAAACCCACAATAAAAAAATATATAACCATAAAACTATATGTTCAAAATAAAGCTTACATTTAACATATCTTGTGCCTTTTTTCTTTTCTCATAAATAAGCCACTCCTCATATTTTTTCAAATAATAAAATGCTTCAACCTAAAACCAAATAATAAGTAAGTTGATTTCTAATATTTATTTTTTGTAAATCAGCTAAAACTGATACAAGTGATAACTAAAATAATATAATTACTTTCAAAATAAAATGTAATAAGCCATGTACTACATTTTATTTGGGTACTCAAAATATTCACAAGATTAGTCAAATTCTTTAACATAGTGAATTCTAATTTACACATAATGTTCATCATTGTTGTGTAAGATAAATAATATGGGGAAATTATTTATGATAAAATTGAAATCACAAATAATGTAAATGACTTACCATTCATGCAAATTTATAGAAATAAGAAAAAGAAAAAAAAATGTATTAATGGTGGTTTTAACAATTTAAGATGGATAAGTTTATCCTTCTATACATACTTTTTCAATAGAACAGGGGTTGTACGTAGGATGCTATTGTATATTTCAGTGAGAAGTAGGACTGCTTTGGGAGGAAGTTGTCGAAGGATCTGAGAGGTAAGGAGATCATACTCAGAAGATTTATGGGAAGTAAGATTTTGTAAATTATGTTTAACCTCAGGATTAATTGCTTTTAGTGGTAAGGAGTTCTTTAATTGTTGTGGTGTGGGTGGGATGAATCCTTAGAACTTATTTAATTAAAAAAATATTTTTCATTCCATTATATATATACAAAGCCCTACAAACAACACATATAGATACAAATATTTTTAATACATCAATAGTAATGAGAGAAAAACTTGCATGTCAAAAGACACACAAATAGCAACTTAAAGATGTTATAAACTTACGAGTTGTTTCCTATAACATTATAAGGAAAACGAAAAGAACAATAGTTATATTTTAAAACGATATTCACAAGTTTTTCTCATTCTATTGTCAATATAACATATATTTATTACATGGCATAGCAGGAAGGTACTACAAATTTAAGATTTAGCTTCAATCATCTTATGTCAATCAATCCTTAAAGAAAGAAGAAAAAATTAACATATACTCCTTTCAATACATACAGCAGGTAGTCTATCCATTAGATCACTCAATTTCCCAACAGACACCCTTTCTATTTCTTCATTATATTCAGGAACATGTGGTTTTGGACGATGAATGGCAGTTGAAGTCGGTATAACAAACCCATCATTATCCCTTTCCACCCTACTAACATTAGATGTTAACTTCATACTTGAAACCTGGGGGAGTCTGGAGAGATTGATTCTGGAAAAACAATGATTACTGAAAATTTAATTAAAACAAAATTTATATGTTTAATTATAACTATAAGATAATTAGAAACAAGGTTTTTGTATTTCCTCTCCTACCTTACCATTATGGCTAAACAGGGTCCAAGGCTAGGGGAGAGGATGGCAGATTAACACAAGAGTTAAAAGCTCCTGGCACCAAGACTCAAACTTGTAATCTAAAATTTATCAGGTTGCCAGGCAATGTATATTTTGCACATGTGATAGCCTGCTCATTCTCCCTGCCCCCTCTTTTTCAAATCAGACTAATGTAAAAAATCTATAAATATTAATTAGAATACCTTTTAAGATTAAAGATAACGAATCGCCAATAAATTGAAATATAAATAAATGGAAGCATGGTAGCGCAGTGAGTTAGATACTGTGTTCCTACTCTTCCAGTCCTGGAGCCCTATTCACCTGCTCTATTAATACCACGTATCCCAAGCGATCTACTTATAGAAGGCCCTGTTCGACTTTATTCAGTCTGGCTTTCAATTCACCTGCTCTAGATTTGAGGGCTTTATTTTCAGAAATTATTTCTTCTAGATGTTTGGATCGTCTCTCCAGATGGTTTACAATTTTGGTGAATCTTGTATTTAGTTTGAAGCTCAGGTTTCCCTATTTATCAGGCGTTTATTTAATATTTTTACTTTCTTTGTTGACATGTTTATCAAGCCAGTTTTCTACCACCAGAATTTCTGACGGTGTCAGCTCAATGATGCGGTTTTGATCAGCTTTCACCACTTGTAATTTTTTTAGCCTGATCTCAACTATAACTATATCGATATATTTGGGGATCAAGCTTAGTGTGGAGGACCTGGACAACGTACATCGCCGCAGAAGCCGAAAAGATGACTCGCGACCACCGCCTGTTATCGCACGCTTTGTCAGGCAATCAATTAGAAATGATCTAATTACGAAAAGGAAAGTGAAGAGGGATTTCTCCACGCGGGATATCGGTTGGCAGGAAAATGACTGCCACCGAATTTATCTGGGTGAAGAGATGACTCGCACAAACAGACACCTCTATTGGCTAGCCCGGCAGAAGAGAGCGGCGGGAAAAATCAAATATACGTGGTTTGCTTCCGGAAAGGTGCGGTGTCGAAAAGAGGACGGACATAGAGTCATCCTGATAGATCAGGCCTCGGATCTAGATGTATTTGAATGACTACCTAGAAGCCGTCAACCCCCTAGCCTCATTAAAATAGTCTTACTTCTTCTCTTCGTGCTATCTCTACACCGTCACTCATCAATCGATTTATTTTCAAGTACATTCTCTTTATTTATTTTTAATGTTAATATTACTTTTTCTTCACTTAGTTTCATGTACGATAATCGCTTTTCTGTACTTTCTACTCGTTCTGTCTTCTCGCTACCAAACACTGACTGTTTCTCTCCAAATCCACTGTATGTCTAGTTCCCTAATCACATGTCAAGTTAACTCTCAATCACTTTCTGCCCATTATGACAAATTCCTGCAATACTTTACCCAAAACTTTTATCATATCATAGCAATATCCGAAACCTGGCTCAAACCTTATATTCCTTCATCTTCAGTCTCCTTGCCTAATTACATCCTGCTCCGTCATGACCGGGTAAACCGGACTGGCGGTGGAGTAGCCATGTTTGTCCACAATAGCCTAAAGACCCGAATCCTTGATTGCTCCCCATCTTCCGATCATCCTCATGTAGAATACCTCTTAGTAGAAATTCTCAGTAATATTTCTCCTATCCTTTACGCCGTGGTATATCGCCCTCCTCTCGTGCCATTTGACCCGTCCTTCGAATCAACTCTATTCAACTTCGTTCCCCTCTATCCCAGAATAATTATCACCGGTGACCTCAATACCAATTTCCTCGCAAACTCCAATGACAAATCCTATTTAGAAAATCTGTTTTTCTCACTTCACCTATTCATCGTTCCTTTTTCCTCCACCCACCACACCACCAGATCTGACACTTGGCTAGACTACTACATCATCGACTCAGCACAAAACCTCCTCTCCGCCTCTCAATTGCCAGTATCCTTTCTTTCATCTCATGATCTGATACAAATAACGTATAATATCCGCACTCCTCCAATCCATCCTCGAACTATCACTTTCCGCCAACTGGATACCCTTACTCGAGAAAAAATATTACCTGATCTAGTAACATTGGATTTGAATGGAATATATCATTGCTCCTCTGTCGACACCATGGTTGATATTCTCACCACCAATCTTCTCAATATACTCAATACCCACGCTCCTCTGAAAACCTCCACTTTCCGTCATCGTCCTGCTCCTTGGATGTGTCAGGAAATTAAGGATCTGCAGAAGAGACGCGACGCTGCACGCAGACGCTTCAGACGGACTAGGCTTGCAGATGATTATCAAATATTCAGAGTGCTTCGTAACACGACACAGACAAGGATCCGACAAGCGAAAGCGAACTACTTTCACGAAGCCCTTTCCTCAGCTCCTGATATCAAATCAAAATGGCTTCTACTTCGTAAGCTTTCCCTCTGTGAACCTTCTAGATCCCCTTCCTCAGTTTTCCCAATGTCACCTGATGACCTAAACTCCCACTTTATATCGGTTTCCACCTCTTCTTTACCATCCCCTTCCGGCTTTCCTCCAGAGGTACCTTTTAACGACAATAATTTTTATTTTTCCGACATTTCTCCCACAGACCTTATTACCGTTATAATGAAATCCCGTTCCAATTCCGTAGGCCCAGATGGCATTCCTATCAAACTAATAAAATTATGTCTCCCTGAAATCCTCCCAGCACTCCTTTTCATCTACAATTTCTCCCTGCAGAATTCAATATTCCCGACCTCTTGGAAAAAAGCCATTGTCCTTCCTTTAAACAAAAAGCCTAATCCATCCTCTCCCGAAGATTTCCGCCCAATATCAATCCTTTCCAATCTTTCTAAACCCCTAGAAAAGTTAGTGCAATCCCAAGTTTCCAACTACCTTGAACAATCCAACCAACTTGATCCTCTCCAATCTGGCTTCCGTCCTGGCTACTCTACACAATCTGCTCTGATTAAAATTACTAGTGATATCCAGACTGCAATAGATGACAAAAAACTAACCATACTTATACTGCTTGATTTCTCTAAAGCTTTCGATTCCATTATCCATTCCATCCTTTTCAACAAACTAAAATCATTATCCTTCTCCAATAGTTCCATCTCTTGGTTCCAGTCTTTCCTCTCACAACGAACCCAAGCAGTTTCCATACCTAATCAACCTCTATCTGCCTACCTTCCTTTATCCTCAGGAGTTGCACAGGGTTCAAGCATGTCTCCTCTTCTTTTCAGTTCTTATATTAATGACCTAAATGATTCAATTATCCATTGTTCCCACCACCTTTATGCCGACGATTCTCAAATCTATTTATCCTTTTCTCCCGCTGAGTTATTGGTGGCATTTGCCAAAATTCAAGAAGATTTAGATCGAATTAGTGCCTGGGCCAACTTAAATGGATTAAGGCTAAATGCTGCCAAAACTCAGGCCATTCTCATTGGTTCCAAGCCCCTTCTTAGATCCCACACCAACTTTCCCTCACTCTATCTAAACAACCACCCAATCACCTTCTATCCCTTTGTTAAAAATTTAGGCTTTCTAATAGATCAAACCCTTTCCTGGAATCACCATATCTCTCATATATCCCGCCGTGCAATTTCTACCCTCAAACTATTCCATCACTTCCGCCATCTTCTACCCCAAAATACCCGTAGACTCATAGTTTCCTCTCTCATCTTTCCCCACTTTGACTACAGCTGTGTGGTGTACGATGGCCTCTCGGTCGAACTGCGTGATAGACTCAAAAGACTTATGAATTGTTTCGTAAGATTTGTAATTGGAACCCCGAGACGCTCCCGTGTCTCTCACCACTACACTGAGTTAGGGTGGCTCTTCCCCTCCTTAAGAAGACAATATTTCCTTGGCACTTTCCTTTATCAAATCATTACCGACCATCGTCCTTCTTATGCCTACAACCTTCTCCAATTTAAGTCCTCAATCCATTCACTCACTACAAGATCCCGACCCTCTGACCTATACATCCCTTCTCATAGATCTGCCTCATTCCAAAATTCCTTTATAGCCCGCTCTGTCAACTTTTGGAATTCCCTCCCGATCAAAATTCGACATGCCCCTTCCCTGTATACATTCAAAAACCTCCTATTCCAATTCCTGTTCCAAAAACAGTCTGATACCAGCTAACTATTGATATTATATATGTATTGTGTAGCAATCATATAATCATAACACTTGGTAAGAGATAGTACATGCATTTCCTACTATCGACGTAGGAATTTCAATACATACTATTTTTTTTATTTTTTTTTTTATTCAATTATAAGTAACTGTTTATTGTTATATATATATTCAAGTAAAGTTTTTTTTTTTTTTTATGAAATGAACTCATTGTATCTCTTTTTCGTTCTTCATTTCTCAAAGTGTATGTTTATGTTGTTCAACCCTTAAATATAATTTTGTTCATAGTTCAAGTGATTCGTTCATAGTTTTAATTGTTTTGTTCATAATTTTAAATGCTCTGTACATAGTTTTATCTGTTTGTATATACCTTGTGCACCTAAGGTTTTCTTTACTTTTTATTTTATTTTATCAATTTTATTTATTGTTTCAACGTTCAGGCCAGTAATATTCTATTATTTTGTACATTATTGTTATTCTGAAGGGACTTAGTCCCAGAATAAAGTTTTTTTTTTCTATCTATCTATAACAGACCCATATCTTTTTTTTTTTCATGATTTTTGGGTCATGAATTTCTTATCATTAAGTTTACATCAGCTGTGAAATAATAGTTTACATTTATGCAACAAAATATTTGTTTCATCTCGAGCGATCGTGTTGCAGCGAATTGGGCATTGAGTCATGTTGTAATATAGCAAATATATTGTACTTACAACAAGATGGATTGTAATGATGTGTAAGAGCAACAGCAGGGTTTAATCCTACAGAACTTGTTATTTACCAAAATTCTGGAGCTCGTAATAGTATATATAATTTTATTATGTTCACTTCCTGTTGAATTGAGAGGAAATGTATATGGTTGAAGATTTCATAATAGAAAAAAAATGGCAAACATCAGAGCAACCTGAACAATATAAAACATGTAATAACACAGAGGTATGTTAACTGGTAGCTGTCTCTGGCCAGACTATATCACCGATATAACAGTAATACTAAACAACGATGAATCGAACATGAAAATAGTAAAAAAAATTCTTAAAACCCAAATACTATTGAATAAAACGTATAAATACATGTAATTTAATTATGTTTTTATTTTATTTATTCATTATATATGTATTGTTTGGTTTTTTTTCTCTTCGCTTAAGGATTTTCTCCAGAGAACAATAAATGACTCACGGGCATTGATGACCTTAGCATTTTATGCTTTTAGGTCCAAAAAACAAATGAATTTTCAAAAATGGTTGGCAAGATCACAATTAATAAAGGACTTTTCAGACCAAGGTATCCATATGGATACCACTTTTTATTTATTGGAACTAACATAAAGTTGCCATAATTTTTTTTTTAGTATTATGGCCTGACTATATAAATGAAGATCAAAGGTTGTAACTATGACTACTCCGTAATGTTAATACCAGTTTAAAAAATAAATAAAAAGTCGTGATATCCTTCGAATTGACTATACTAATGATCAAAGGTTGTAGCTTTGACTACTCAGTAATGTTAACGCCCGTTTAAAAAATAAATAAAATGTTGTGATATCCTCTGAACAACTTGTACTGAAACGGATAAAAGTTTCTCCATAAAAACCATGAGTTTTAAAACAGGCAATCCACAATAATCTATAGTGTAATTATACTACGCTTGCACTAATTTAATAACCCAGAAAACAAATTTTTCTATTTAAAAAAAATATATATCAAAGAAAACATAAGGATTAAATTGAATTACTTGCCTATTGGTGCCATTCAAAGTTGGAAATTTGTCAGCTTTGAAAGTAGATTCATTATTTTTGTGAGATCTGAAACAAAAACAGCTAAGGTCACAAATACGTTATAACAAAAAATCCTTTTCCATTCGAGTAAGTAGTAAGATTTAATGCATGTAAAAGATGTTAACAAGTGTTTGGAATCAGAAGATATATTTCAGACATGAAATGAGGAAAGATCTTAAAACCTAGGGAAAGGTTAGGAAGGCTTGCTAATTATATAATAAATACTTTTGTTATTTAATCTCAATATAGCTCGTATATAACTGGTTACAACAATGGTAAGTACTTAATTGTAGACAGCATTAATAATCTCGTGGATTTCAGCATTCATAATATAATCTTAAGATCATGCAAGTAGCAATAAATTAGCCTAAATTCTGAGTATAATTATAAGTATAGGTACCAAATGTATTTATAATATATTTAATACTAAACAAACTGCTCTAAACACGGAAAAATGGTCTAGCCAAGCTCGACTCCGTGCACCACACTGGAATACGCCTTGCAACTGGAGCCTTTAGAACAAGACCAACCCTGAGCATCTGTGTCGAGTCTGGCCTAACACTACTGTATTTTAGAAGACAGAAACTAGCAATCAAGTATATCACTAAGTTATACCCACAAACTATACACCCCTCCCATAAATATGTTTTTCAATCTAAATTTTCAAAAAAAAATTAAAGAAAAAAGGAATACCGCATTACCATTGGCAGAAATAATGTCCCTGATTATAAATAAATTAAAACAAATAAGATTAAATGAAATAGAAAAAAGAAATACCTCCTTGGACCTATATACAAACAAAATTAAATCTCCAACTCACTAAATTCACCAAAGATAGTACACTACCTGCAGATTATAAAGAAAAGTTCCACAAAATAATCATCACACTACCTGAACATCTCCTAATATTCACTGACGGATCTAAATCAGATAAATCTACTGCATCAGCCTTTGTCACCCCTGATACTACCTAGAAATATAAATTACATAATTTTTGTAACAGCAGAAATTAACGCCATCGCAATGAGTCTCCAATACGTTATGAAGAAGCCAGTTGCAAATGTGGTAGTGGTATCGGATTCTCTTAGTACTTTGAAAGCCATGAATAACATGTATCCAGACAATCCAGAGATACACTGCATTTTAAATCTTATAAAAATACTTCTTAGAGTTGGAACAACTGCACATTTTATCTGGTCGCCTGGCCATATAGGCATTAAAGGAAACGAAATGGCTGATACAGCAGCAAAACAAGCTCTTACCCTTCCAGAGCGCGGTAAAGCTTTTTTGACACCATCTGAACTTGCACGACCTCTAAGAGAAATCATATCCCAAGAATGACAAAGATGGTGGCACAACAGCGCACCTAGCAAATTAAAGAAAATAAAGAAAGAAGTGCAACTGTGGAACAGCTCCAAACGCAGCAGTCATAGAGAAGAGGTTGTCCTCACACGGCTGAGGATCAGGCATACTAGACTGATACACCTCCACCTCATAACAAAAGATCATATCCCCAGATGTCAAAAGTGTGTCCAGTCATTAACCATAAAACATATTTTGGAAGAGTACCCTTTTTACACCGAAAGGTTAAAAGATCTCCGAATACCCCAGAATATATCAGTATCTGTGGGAAATCAAGAAGAAATCCTTACTAAAGTTATTGAGTTCCTAGACAATGAAAAAATTATAAAACATATATAACAAGTTTATAACTAATGATCCTTTGCAGATTTATTTATTTATTTCAATCTTAAAAGTCCATTGATTTATTAATTTCAATTAATTTATTGATTTTATTGTTTTTTTTATCTATTCTATCTTATTATCTATAAGTGCCTATTATTATCATTACTTATTTATTTTATTCTATTAATCCTCCTTCTTTTTATTTTTTTAAATATTTTTTTTTATTTATTTTTTTACCAACCACCTGAACAGTATAAAAGTAGTGTTATTTAGTTGATTGGGCGCTGATGACCTGGTGTTTGCGCCTAGACATCCAAACAAACAAACAAATTAAGTTTTCAAAATTCAGAAATGATAATACAACTAAAACTTAAACAATTTAAATAACCATTCACTTTAATCGAAATTGGATTCATAGAATTTATTTCATGATTTTACATTTGTTGAGTGTTATATTGGAATGTAAAAAAGAATTGGGAAAGAAGGTATTCAAATGAGGAAAAGGAAGAGAAATGATGGTTATGTTAATGTGAATGTTTATGAATCTCACTTAATACTGAGATGTATTAATTAACAATTGTTAATTGCATTGCTTGTATTTGTGTTCATGTGTGCACGTGAGTGAGGGAAAATTAATACTTAATCACTGCAATTTTAACTCACAAATATCCAGACGATTCATGAGCAGTTGAAGGAATATTTTGTTCCCTTTCACCAACTTCACTACAACAAAGAGAAGAAAGGTCTTAATAGTAATAACAATTGATATGGAAAATTAAACAAATTTGTTCCTGGCCATTATCCCATACGCTCTAAAATTCAGCTCACAATCATTCTTTCTATAATCATATTTCTTTCTATAATTTCTATATCATTCTTCTAATTTTCTAATTAGAGTGCTACCATTGGGTAGTTTCTCAACAAGTGTTTTCATGTCCATTATATCCACAACTTCAAATTTACTAAATGTATTCCTTTAATACAGTTGTAAATATAATATAAAAAAAATTTCTAAATGAGGACCCATTCTTCAGCATATATGACCTACAAATTCTAATGATCTTATATAATTTGAAACGAACTAAGAGTTTCAGTTTTAGAACTTGGGATATTGCTTTAAAATGGTTTTGGGGGAGGGGGGAGGGGAATAGTTTCCTATTGTTATCCCACTCACCCCTGCCTCATTAACTTCCTTGTTGATTATGAAATTTAATTTAATTTCTGGCTTATGTAGCATTATCTTGGGGATTTTTCCCTTTTTTTAATCAGCCTATTTTATTTTTGTACTTAAAAATAAAAATGTATTTGTATATTCTTCGTTTAATATATACATATACATGGGGCCGGGTTAGCCATAGGGATTAAGGCTCTTGCAATAGGTAATCAAAGTTAAGCAACGTCGAGCGTGGTTAGTACTTGGATGGGTGACCGCCCAACAGGGAAAGCCGTGCTGCCGAGACTCTCCCATCCTCGGTATGTGAGCCCCGTCAGCCTACTGATGACCCTACTCCGTGTACTTAAATCAGGAATCGGGATGTGGTTTACTAGAATGTTGGTAGTCCCCCTGAGGTGTGGTCCGTGGGTGCCTGTCTCAGGGAAAGAAATATAGGTCCTCATGCATCTGATGACTCTGAGCCATAATCCATGGATCTAGACTGATTTGTCATTGTTCTTGAACCCGAGTGAGTGGGTGGGGGGAAGAACACTACCAGGTTGGCCCCAAAGCAATTCGCCTATAGAGCTATGGGTTGTCTGTCGCTGCATCATGGAGACCATGGTTCGTAGCAATGTGAGGTTAGGTGACCCCCTCCAGGCTATCTGTGCTCCCGCAAGCAATATACGTCTGGAAGGAGACCACATCTCTCAGCCAAAGATCTTTATGGTTTATAGTGCCAAACGGAAATACATATTATATATATATTTATATATAAGATGATATAAATATAATTTATATTTTAATGGATCTTCCTCCGTTTTCTATAAATTGATTTGATTTTCAACTAAGTTTGTCATATCTAGAATTCAGTGAAAATCACAATAGTATCAGAAACATTGTAATCAGAAAAAAAGGTATCTGAATGGATAATAGCATTAATAAAAATATTACTGAAATAATTGCAAAAAGTATGGATCAGTGATTTAAACAATATAATTAAATATAAGAAAAAGCACCTCAAACCTTTTATTACCGTAAGGTTTTCCATTTTTATGTTATGAATTTTGTTGAGTTGCACATTCATATTACTATTTATATTTATTTTCCACGTTTTTCTTTTATTTCTTTTTGTAACCTCAAATGTCATTAATCTTACTTTGTTTTGCTATCTTCTTTTTTTATATTCAATAACCAATAGCTCTGTTTTAAATTTTATTTTATTAAATCTAACAACATAAAATTGAATTTGTTGGTTTTGTTTTTATTAATTATGAAATCATGGGTAAAACATTTTTTTATATTAATAAATGGATATAAAAAGTGTTTTGCAGCTAAATTCATGGATAAACATCATTTCAAAAAATAAATTTTGTCCTTACATTGATTTTATTATCTAAATTCATTCATAAAGCTAACAATTATATATTAATTTTGTTTATGAATGCAATCATCTAAAGAGGATCCTAAATCATCTAATACTACAGCTTTCTAAGGGTCAAAGGTTCTTCCCCGTTTATATTTATAACAATCAATCTAACTTTGGTTATTCATTTTTTAGTGAGATGTTGATATAATCATTAAGATTTAATTAATACACGATTTATTTTTTCAAAGACCACATATACTCCGAACAGGTCTTTTTTAATTATAAAATATTTCTCTTAAAGTTTTACTTCATCTATGAATTAAATTACATTTTATGAATTGAATTTTATTAGAAGTAAATAGCGGTATCTACTGTTTAAGTTTGAAAATTATTATATTTTCTTTACTTAGTTTGGTCATAAAGTTTTTGACCAGATATGTATTTTTTGGAAGGATTTGCTCAATATTGTTACACCTAGGGGACTTTGTCCCAGAATAAAGTTCATTCTTCTATCTATCAATCAATATATTATATAACATTTCAACATTTAAAAAAAAAATCTAGAAAAAAAGTCTTAAAATCATTAAAAAAATGTTACAGTATATTTTTCTAAGGCAGTAAATGTTTTAATCAATTATTAGACGTTATTCACAATTTCAGTTATTTTCATATTTTCCTTTTATCACAAATTTCTTTTCTTTTTTCCTTTTGTTCATAATTTTCTTTAAAAATTAAATAAATTATCTGTAATGTACATCATATATACACTTATTTATTTAATTTTAAAAATTATTATTTCATTTAAAGCTTTTATTTGAGCAAAAATTTACTTCCTCACAAATACAATACATCAAAGAAAATAATAAAAAAAAGATAAAATTAACCTTCAACCATTTTCTCTTATAAATATCTTCGTTATCAACAAAAGGAGAAAAAACAAAGAAATTTATGATGAAAAGAAAATATGAAAACTAAATTTGTAATAGTTGTTTTAACAATTACTGCTATAAATTAGTATACTAAAAAAAAAACTTAATTATTTTATGACCTTTTTTTTAGATTATTTGAAAATGGCAAAAATACCAAAATGATATATAATACTTCATTATTAACTACAGTCAACCATCAACCTACAATTATGATATAAAATATATAGAGTTAATACAATATTCTTATAAAGATTTTATTTATAAAATTTGATAAGATAAGATTTGGTGGAGTTTATAAAAAATTAATAGTATATTAATTAAATCTTAAGAAATATTTACATTAAGTCAGGTTCAACGTCATCAATTCTTATTTTTCAACATCTCAATTTTTATGTTAGATTGGGTTATATTTCATTCAATCTTATTCTTTCATATAGAAATGTAATGGTAGATTATATTATAATACATTGTTTTATTTTTAGAAATAATAAAGGTTAACACTTTTTCTTAACCTCCCATGATTCCACCATATTGAAATTTCCTGTACTACTGTATAAATGGCACTCTACTTTCATTGGTGGCACAAGATATTATGATCACATCATAAATGTAATCAGAGAATAGCTCAGTGGTTCAAAAGTAGACTAAAGTGACTGATACATCTGGTAAGAGCCCCATCTCCACTGAAGGACCTGTTGGATATTTTAGTGATACCTTTAGAGTGAGGGTAGCGAGTGGGAGTCAAAAGCAAAGCTGTAATTAAAGATAATTATTGCCCCGATTTTAACTGAAAAGGCCCAGTATGGAGTTTGTCAAAATGGTAACTCACAATACAAATAAAGGGAAGTTATAATATTAAATTGTTGTCAATCTTCAGCTATTCTTAAAAATAAAAATTAGATGTATTTCAACAATCGGTATGAAATATAACCAAAGCAATATGTATAAGTCAGTTCAAACTGTAATCTATATTTATTAACAGTCAGAAATTAAGTTAATGTGAAAAACTATGCCTCCTTGGACAAGGGATAATTAGAAACTGATCACTTCTATAATCTGTCGAACAAACAAGTGGTTAAACTCAACATTTCATTTACAATGAAATCGTGTGATACTGGTCTCCACATCATCCAGACAAGGAACTTGTGAACCAGTGGTCAAAATTAAGACATTAATAGAAAATTGATAATGAATCATTGCGTAAATAAATTATCTACTTACAACAATGAGCCAGATTCAATGTCAGTTGTTGGAAGATTCTCTCCCCTCCCACAAATTTCACTGAAACACATGAAAAAAATAGAGATGTTATATATGATTTGTTTTTCTTCAATTTTTTTTCTACAAGTTTCTATACTTAATAACTTTCAGAGATTGATGGCATACAAAAAATTAAGCAGTTTAGTAAAATAAGAGAAATACCTATTAGCATAAGAACGATAAAATTTTGAATAAACACTTGGTTTTTTTGAATTGCTTTTGTTGGAAACACTTCGCAAACCATAATTTACTTGTGTGTTGTTTTGTGTTGAACAAAAACTTTTCTTCAAGTCTCTATACTTAGAAGACTTTAAAAGGCTATCCATCATTCGATAACCTTCTGTAACACAAATATGACAAATACTACATACGAACAACGATTATTAAATTAACCCATATACTTCACAATAACCTTCTAGACAGTTTGTAAGTTGACAACCAAACATGTCTTGGCGCGCATAAAACAGTGCTGCCAACAGAAAATTAAAAAATGTTCAAACATAGCCCATAACGAGTAGAAATAAGTTAAATCTATTTGATTAATATCATATTTACTAATTTCTATTCGCTACGCTCTTGTCTATTCTCAATCTGATAATTATAAAATATACACAGGTACCGATCATCACAGGCGGATCTACAGGGGCGCTTCGAGCTGAAGCCTCCCCCTCCAAAATGGTAAAATGTAATCATGTTTCATGGTAAAAAAAGTTAAAAAAATATCTCTTGCAGTATTATTTTTCGTGTAATTACATTTAATAGAACTTCAAAAATCATATAAATATCATTCATATATGTAGATAGTATCTTTTTTTTTTAGAGTAGTTATCGTTATACATATATATGAAAAAAAATCCTTTCGGGCTGAAGCCCCTCCCAAAATGAAATCCTGGATCCGCTACTGCGGACCATTATAAATATGATCCATAATCCAGAGTTGTCAATAGCAATTTTGATCACGTATTGCTGTTTAATCAGTACTCGTGTTCTAAATCAATAGAAAAACAATTATTTTTTATTCAAGGGATTTTAAGTTTTTGTACAAAATAGAGTTGCCAAGTACCCTACTTTCGATAATACAGGTTTACAACGCATATAGTCTGTCATATTGGCCCACGTCCTACTTCGAAATCACAGCTTCCTCGAATGGCGCTCCAACTAGCCCTGGACCGAGGGCCCAAAAATCGACCTGATCGCAGGCTAAGGTTTGATTGTAAATTAAGAATGTGTATGTTATTCTGAGTAAAAAAATCCTTGTCTGCCGTTAGAGAGCCGCTGCTTTCAAAAATGACGGCTGATTTAAAGAATATTAGGCCAATAATTTGACGATCGAAACGGGAAATCCGTTGCGAAAAGTGTGAGAAGGGTTATTATTTTTTTAACTTGTATACGTGGGTTTAGACATGTAAACAAAAAAATTTCTAACGCGAGTCAACAAGGGAAAACTTTTTACAGGCAAAAAAGACAGCTTTTTTCGGCATTTTATGTTTTTTTTTTACCTATAACTTCTAAACGATGTATCAAAGCGAAAAATGTATTCTTTAATAAATTAAAGAACGTTAAATTTTGTGTCAAACGAGTACATAAACTTTATAATTTGGTTACAGAGCCTACAGAAGAAAACTTTCCCATCAAATTTCAACTCGCGGTAATTAGATGTCCCGATTTTAATTTTTGACGAGAGATCAGATCCAACTTTCGGCATTATTCAATTTGTTTTTAAATTTTTAATAACAATAAAATCGGCGGGATTTCTGGTACGTTGGCATATTTATATGGCTCGGCGTTATAATGCAATACATGTAGGGAGGAGGCAGTCCAGACAGCTTACTGGGTAACACTAGTAAAGGATATCTAAGGTCATTTTTTGTCAGAAAGGATTTGACGAAAGAAGTTTCTGCTGACTAGACTTCTAATGGAAAACGGTGGAAATGGTTAGGGAACGCGAGGTAGTACAACTTGAAGAGTTAGAGGGCTATGATCACAGGAGAGTTCATTTAGAAGTGCAATGAACGACATTCGGGTATAATAGCATTCACACAAAACACTAGCGGATTATAAAAAAAGAACAAATAATGGTATATCTTTAGCAATTATATTTTTTATAAAGAAACTTTATATTTTATATACATTTATTAATATAAAGTTTAATAATAATAATTATTTGTTTTATACAAGAATATAAGCAATACATTAACGATATCAAATGAAAAATGTAGTTGAAAAAATACCCTATAAATATTAACTAATAGACCCTCAAGTAGAAAAAGGTCAGAGACTCCTAGTTTAAATTAACAAAAAGATCCACAACTTATAAAAACATTCAATAAGTAAAACAAGATAACAAACAGTAAAAAACATAAACAAATGATAAATAAGCTAAGTAAATATATAAATAATAATGGAGGAAGAATGATCAAAGAAGATAAGGTGGGGAAAAAATACTATCAAATGAAAATAAAATACTTATAAAAATTCAAATACTGCTTATAATGTAAACTAAACAAAAAAAAATGCTTAAGCTATTTTTTTAAAACTTAAGTAAGTCTTTTATTTTTTTAATTTTTAATTAAAACTAATGGATTTGATAATGAATAAATACTAAAATAAAAGGCATAAAAAACACTTTAAATTCAGTACTCAACAGTTTTTATTAAGAAATAGAAAATTACTAACTATATATACATTTTTGTAAAAGAAAAAATTACAAATAGAGCCATAAAAATAGATAAAGGTATGTGTGATTCACATTTTACAGATGAATTTTCTTCATGTTTTTTTTCTTCACGATCACGTGAAACAATTCTAGAGTAAATGCCAGCAAATGCTAGCCTGTCACTTGAAAATTTTAAGTTTGAGGTGAAATGGTTGGTGTCAAATTTTATTTTGGAAACATCTGGCAGTGATCCAAATGCTTTTTTATTTAATTTTGGATTTGAATGATTGAATGACACTAATACATCAGGGAATGTAAAATCAATAAAATTTTTCGAAACTGCTTTTATAGAAATACTATTAAATGAGGTTGAATGCAAATATATTTTTCCATAATTGGAAGTTTCAATCATGATTGGTAAAGTATTACCACTTTTCTTACTGCAACTAGATAAAGAATAATTTAAACAAGGCATTATAGAGCATACTTGGATTCCAGCAAATTTAGCACCATAAAAACCCCTTTCACCATCATGAACAGCTAATCTATAGTGATAATGATAAAATGAATCATTTTTAGTGTATGATGGATCAGACATATTCAAGTAAGCTTCAGGGCGATACGTGAATGTCATATTAACCTTAAATTCACAGCATAGAGTACCTTGACACATTGTTTTGTTCAGTATCTCTGTTAAAATCAAATTGTCCTTAAAGTCAGTTTCACTGCCATTACTACGAACAGGAGTCAATAAAGTAGTTTCATACAACGATAGGTCTTCATTCCATAGCTGCAGATCACTCTCATCAAACGAACTCTTTAGTAACTCCCACTTGTTCCAACTGAGACCATCTAGAGAATAAATAAGAAAATTACAATTACAAAAATAGAACTGGACATGGTAGGATCTTAGTAAACTAAGACTATTTCTTATTCTTTCATAATAGTCTATTACTTCATTAATTTTGACTTCAAGTTTACAAAATATAAAACATTTAAAATGAATCTAACACAAAATTAAAAATCTGGTGCGGTGCGCGCATCATACAACTTTCACTAACCATTATCTTCTTAGTGGAAAAAGTTATTTCAGACAAATGAGAAGTAAAAGTAAAAATTATAGATGCTATATTTTTTTATATTTCATTGTGGGTATTTTTATTTTTATAAGTATCCTTATATATGCAAATTTTAATATTTATATCGCTGTAATCTATACAATTAAATATTAAATAATACCAACAATAGCATTTATGAAAACCTCATATGTATATTTATATAATATTGTCAGAGTCTGTATTATATTAAGCTCATGTTGCGTATGGAAGCGTGTTCTCATGTTTGGCGAGAGCTCGGGTGCGTTCCTATTCCTTTGGTTCCTCAATTACAACTATTCTCCGTTATGATCTCTTATTTCTCTTTTAGTTAATTATCAGATTCTTTCATATGTTATATTCAACTATCTTTTATATTAGAGATAAATGTGAAATGGTCACTTTTTTCAAATAAAAAAAATTAAAGGTGCTTTAGAGGAAGCTAATATTGAAAATTAGCCATTTAAGTTCTGTTAGAGAACATCAATCAGAATAAAAACTACATTTTATTTTAAACTGCTTAATTTTACACTGATATGTTGAATTTAATCAAAATCGTTAGAGCCGTTTTCGAGAAAATCATAAAAATGTGTTTAGTATATAAAGTGTACCACAGTATATGAAGTGGCACTTCTGGTTAGCCGATTTTCGCAAAAAAGTTTCTGTAACATATAAAAGCCTTACAATATACAATTTCACTTTCCTACGACTTTTCGTTTTTGAGTTAGTGTTAACGCACACTATTTTACGGGACTTGGTTATTTGGACTCAGGTGACTTCAAAACGTGTGTTTCCATTGAAAACTAATATTCGAAAATTTTCACTTGCAATACTTTACTATATATTTCATATATAGGTAAATGAAAGTAAAAATATCATTAAAATTCACACATGGTGTACATTGACATGGTAGGTAATGCTTGTAAATGGAGGAGGTTAATGTGCTGACTCATTAAATAAAAATTGAGATAAACAAGAAATTTTTTTTTTTAATAAAAACCTTGAGTAGGTGGATTTTAAATACTTTATATAATACTATTTACAAACTTAAAAATGTTTTATAAAGTTTACATTTACTTAGTAAATTTCATTTAATTTCCTTGAAAACATGTGATTTATGTTAAATATTATTAGTTTTCAAAAATTATTATTTATAATTTTTTAGCCACTCTCTGTTACCTTCTACAACTTTCACTATTCGATATTGTTTTTTTCTAAAATTCTCTGCTTTTTCAATGATTTTTAAAAAAAGACAAAAATATTGATGGTTTTAGCAATAGTAAACAAGAGAAAGAAAAATTACATTCCTTTCCAGCAATTTATTGACCACACATTTAAGACTAGAAAAAACGTTCACCATTCTTCAATCAACAGTTTACATCAATCAAAAAAAGAACACAATACACAACTAAATAAAGATGAAAGAGTCTCCCGATATAATATAATAACCATGACGCCATCTAACCGTGGATACAACATTAACAGAAGCTTTTATAGATTGTTATAAATTAATCTATTAATATCAAATACTACTTTCTAATTGTAAATATTGAGAAACTGTTGAAATGAGTATCATTTTAGAATTTTCAAAGTAACCAACCACAAAATATCTAAAGCTTATAGTGATTCATGAGATAACATTTCACTAACCATCTTTTCCTTTCTTGAATACCTTAGCAGTCAAAATTTTAGTTTCATCTTGTTCACTGAAAACATAGACAAGAGGACCTTTTCTCCCTGCATATATTCCACTGCCAGTGCTTGATCGCTCAATTGAGTTTATTCCTGCAGCAAGAAGATTGGTGTCAGTCATATATGACCAAGCAAACTGCATCTGTACAGCTATATTAAAAAACAATAATATAAAATTAAAATGAGAAGTTATCTCGCATATTTTTTAAATATAAATTTAAAAATCTTGAACAAAATTAGAAATAATTAGTATATAGAAGCTAATATTTATAGGCCTTCAGCTATTTATAATTCTTCATAATGTTGATTTCAGAAATATAAGCTGAAACACTTTTCTTTTCTTTTTCTTAATATATAGAGATTTATCTACAGTATAAGTGCTGATCTAGACCTCAAATATTTTAAAATTCAGCAGGGATTCCATGAATTGAATTCATGTCTCCAGAAGCATAAACAGTGGCAGTGCTACATAATATAAAACAGAGATTATCTTTTATTTAACAAACTGTTTATTATTTATGTTAAATAAAAAAAAAAAAAGAACATATAATATAATCTACAATATTACAGTGTTAAAAACAATTGATGACAAAACACTAATAAACTGCAGAAAAGATAAATAACACGTTTCTTCAAAAAAAAAAAATTAAGATTCTCCTAGATATATGAAAATAAAAACAATATAGCTGCAGCAACTGTTTAGGAGTGGGATTCATCGGTCCTATCACCTATTATGAAAAAAAGTATATCACAAAATTCTACCAAGAGAACCATAAAGAAAAGATGCATTAAAGGAAGAGATGAAATCAAAGAGAAGATTAAAGAATTAAAGAATAGTGTAGCTCCAGATATAATTAGTCCATTTAACATCACCTATCCATAAGGAATCCATATTCATTAAAAAACTTAACTGATGATTGTTACAACAAAAGCCAAGATATTTACATGCATGTCATAAATACCAGATATGATGAGAGGAAGGATCAGCAAGGATCCAAATTTTAACCTTTTAAATTCACATTAAAGTAAAGTACAGATAACATTACACGTATTATTAAAATTACATGAATAAAATTTACTTTTCTTCTTCTTCTATTATATAATAATTATGTAATATCTATATATGATATTTTTGTTGCATGCTTAAAAAAAGGCTTCGGTTGAATTTTAGTGGTAAATTTAATATTTGAGAGGGGTCAGGAAAATTAGACTAGGGGCCAAGTAAAATTAATCCTGGGGGCCTAAGTTTCTTTCCACAGCACTTAAATTTACACAATTAGGTATTTAAACTTCATACCTTATCTCTCCATATCCACATTAAAACTTCATGTCTCAAAATGCACTGTTGCAGTATACTTCGTATTATTATTATATTCGCTATCCAGCAAAAGTCTCAATTATAAGTATTGAGGAACTTTAGTAACTATTATCATTTTATAATGCTTAAATTATGCCAAAAATATCTACTGTTAATTGTACTTCAAAAACTTTAGTAAGTACTTCATAATGATATAATGCTTTCTAATTGATCTAGTTATTTAATTTAAATAATCTTCACGATCAGAGCAAAGAATTCAATGAGATAAAACTAAATTTTAAAACATGATAAAATATAAAAGAAACATGAATAAGTACTCACAAAGCATAGATGGTAATTCAGAAAACCACCACGATGGGTAAATAATATCAGTTATATTCTTTTCATATACAAGAGTCAAGGCTGGTTCTTTATAAAATACATCAAAGCATATGAACATTCCAAAACGAACTCCAAAATCTGAATCGAAGAAAACTACTTCCGGAACTTCAGTAACATTTAAATAGTCCTCATTAAACAGATTATATTTTCTGTACCTGGAAATAAAAAATAAAAAATTTTACTAAACACATTTTTCTCAGATTTACCTTTTATTAAACAACTTGTTGCAAAGTCTATAAGAGAATAAGAGAGATCAAATCATCTGAGTCAGATCACCCAGAATGCTTATATAAAAAAAAAAAAAAAAATCTGAAGCAAAAGAAACCAATTAACAAGGTGACTGCTAACTTAATATTATTTGACTGTACAATAATCAGCTTAAGGATTAGGTAATATTTCTTGGACTTTGTTGTAATAATTAAAATCTTAATAAACTTGAAAATTTAAACTGAATAGAAATTTTTATAATAAATTCAACAATGTCAGTTTTCTGATTTGAGGTGTTAATGAATACATTTTAAGTTAGCCACAATAGTGTGACAATACTGTCTTTAACTTAATTGATTTATATCTATTAATTCAAAAAGTATACAAGGAAAAAAAAGAAAAAATATGTAGAAATATAATTTGGAAGAAAATACAAAAATACAAAACATAGAAAATAACAAAAATAATACGTGATAATAAGTGAGTAATTAGATGTGAGTAATAATGAAGAGTAACATTTATCAAAGTGGACAAACGAAATAGGTGTGAGTATCTTTACTAATAAAAATAAAATACTGGGCAGACAAAAGAAAACTTACAATTATTAATCTTTAGACTAAAAAAAAAAAATGAAACTCAGTCACATCACCCCAATAATAATATTAATAAGATACCTTAAAATATATAAAATATGCCATAGTTAAATATTTTAGATTTTGAAGGTATTCATATTAATTTTATTAACCATTTTTTCTTTTTCATGATCTTATTTAATAACCTATTCAATCACTAAGAGTTGTAAATCATATAAATCTTCCTATCACATTACCTTGCAACAATGACTCCGTGTCTATCAAAAACAACATTTGTATTGTATCTAAGAATCTTGCCATCTGAAGATTTATCTTTTTCATGAATAGTAAAAGAAACGTACACTTCATTGTCCTTAGCAGCTTTTGATAACTGCCTTAAAACCTGAAAATCAAGAGTAATACATATCAGATGAATTGAATTAAATCGGAATAATCTCCATAGAAGTTATTTTCAAATAAAATAACAATCAGAAATTGAACACAAAAAAGTTCATGTTAATAAATCTATTCCTATAAAATAAAGCTCAATACATTTTATGAATCTGGTTTTTGATAAAGATACAAATAATTAAAAAAAATAATTTAAATAATATTTATAACCTATAATATATGTATAATTGATTTTATTATTTTTCAAGAAGTAGACAATGCCGGACCATTAAAATATATATGTTTATTGTTTGAGTTTAGCTGTATAATCTGTAAGCCTTAATTTATATATGTATATCATTCTTTTGAAAAATATGAATTGATAATATAGGATTCAGTGAAAACAATTGAGGGTCTGTTATATATAAATAAATAAAACATACATTATTGATTTTTTCAATAAAGATACAAATAAATTAAAAAAAAAAAGATAAATAATATTGACTAAATAAATAATAATTAATCAATATACAAATAATATATATTGACAAAATAGGACATCAGAGACCTTCTTTATTAAATTAATTAAATTTATTAATGAGTAGTCTTTGAAGTACCACAACTAACAAAGACTTTTGTTGGCCAGTTAATTTAAATTCAACTCAAATTTGAAGGAAATTTTGTCTATTTTACTATGAAGCAAGTAGTAATTATTTAAGTAAAATATTTACATCAACATATTTTTAGTTATCACTTCCTTAAATGAAAAAATGACACTTAAAAAAAAAACACATAGATTCAATTTCCAGCTTTTCAGGATAGAATCAGATATGAACTTTTTTGAGGTCTGCTATCATCAATTTAAATATTTTCCATTACTTAAAGAACATCTGTTAAAGAACACATGTTTATACATGAAAAATGTCCCATGAGTACAAGCACTGAAATTCCTTTTGTGTAAAATCGAGGAATAATTTCTCACTACCAAAATTTCTTTCCACTTCGAACTGATTAAAAAAATTTTAATTCAAAAATGGCTTTATTTAAAAGTATTTTTATTTTAAGTTTTAACTTCCATTCTTACTAACAATATGAATCAGACTACACTCATTTTAACATAAATTCTGAAACATGTAGAAATGAACGTTGTCAAAACATTAAATTTCTTTTTTTATTATATTTTGTATTTTTACATGTTAGATTATGATCTGAATAGAAATTTTGGGGAAACTGTCCTACTTTCCAGACTTTTTTTAAATACAAAGGTTTTTTCTCTACATTTGATCCTCCGTTAAATTTTTATGATCATTACCTCACTATAGGTATTATCAAGTAACTGTTTCACAGAAAAACAATGAATACTTACTGGATGTGAACTAGAGTTGTCAACAGGTGCTATTCCAATTGGAATTTCAATATAAATAGTGTCGTCATCATAATTCAAACCAAGTTCTGGGAAGACAATGATATCTGCCTAAAGAAAAACAAAATAATAGTTCTTTAATATATAGAATGTATGAGCTGTATTTATGTCAGCCCCACATACTAAAAATATTGAAAACTAAACACAAAAACAATCAGCTAACAACAGGTGGCTCAGAATTCTTGTAAGTTATTTCACTCAGTTTTAATATTTTTTTTGGTGTTTCATTTTTTATGCAGAATTTTCTTATTAGTATAATAGATGAAATTGATGGCTAAAAGCACAACAATTTTATGTCCACTTTTTTTATAAATTTCACTTTTTCACTTTTTAATAACTTGGTAGTAACTATTCTGGACATATATTCTACGTCCTAAAGTAAGATAAACGGATTTTTTTTTCTATAATTTAAAATCAGTGAATCAAAAATTTAAAATCAGACAAAAGACACAAAAAATACAGCTAATCTTAGAATAATGCCAAATTAATAATAAACTTAGTGATTGAAAGCATATTTCCTTAATATCACTTACTTTGATTACTTACTTTAAATTAGAACAGGAACAGCACTTCATTTGAGGTATAATATTTTTGGAACTCTAAATACGTATAGAACAGAATAGAAGTATCTTCTTTTAATTAAATTATGGAATATAAATTTTCAGGCTGATCGTTGAAGACAAAGGCGAATATATATATTTTTTTCATATGAGCATTATTTATCAAATCTGGCTGACCCCAATCCAAATTATGGTTTCGGGTCTCAAAAAAAAAAAAAAGCTGGAAAAACTTGGAGTTTTATAATGATATGAAATACCAAAAATTTCCTAGACTGAGGAAAGTTCAATTAGTTAGCCAGCAGGCAGGGATCAATTTAATTTTTATAATCTTCTTTTAAACTATAGTAATGTTAAAAAGTATGTTATCTGACAAGTTTCAGATCATTTAACTGCCTTGAAAGTGTCTGAGGCCATCATTTAGAACTTAAATTTAGATTTTTTAAAATGAAAAATGTATCCCCTAATTTTAAACATCAGATTTTTGATAGCTCATCTAAAAATGGAGGGACTCAATACATACCTGACGCCATTTGAAAGACATTCACTGAAGATCTGTTTCATACCAATGTATAGACTTTCCAAAAGGACAATGTATTCAAAAGCATTAATGAAGAAAAGCATCAATAATTTCTAAACGGTAAGTATAAACTATACCAAATAGTGGATACTTATAATAATGTTTGATGATGATATTTGTGATATAGTGAACATTTATTTTCAATGACAACTAAATACAGTTTTAAACAAAAGAAGTTGTGAGTTTAGAGGATAAGAAAGACAACTATTAATTTAATTTTTTTTAGGAAGGTACAAGTTATGAAATAAATATTTACGTACATCTTTAGCAGCTACTTTGATGAGTTTCGCATATTCGTTTGCATTTTTGAACAAGGTATCATTTCCGTCTTTTCCAGAGAATGGATTATACTCCACGACAGAAGCTTGATAAAAAACATCCTCAGGTCGGGACTATAATAAAAAAAATGTTAAAAAGCTTAAAATTTAAAATTAACTATGTATGCTTAACTATTAATTATACATTAAATATATTAATTATCGATTTAAACTAACTTAAATAAAATTGAAAGAAAACATTTTTGTCAAGGCAAAAGGAATCAAAGTAGTTAAGGATAATTATTTAATTTTTAATTAGATTTAAAAACATATCAGTTCTGAAAAAAACTGTAAGGGACAATCATATATAGTGGTCTAATTGGAAAAGTATTCTTGAGAGAGTATGGTCTACATTTTGCATCAAACACCTGATTTATCCTCAGCCCAATCTATGATAATTATTTAATGATTTATTGACACTGAAGGAACCTGACAAAGCTCACCAATTTTCTTTCCAAAGAACATTAGTTGATCAGGGCATTCTGCATTTAAAAAGATGACTACGATCCCAGTCAGGGTAGTTAGTGTACTGTCAATCAATAATTTAATAAATAAATTGTCTATAAAATCATAAATTGATTCAAAATAAGTGATATTTATGAACGTGTGGTGTACATCTATATAGAGAAAAAGTTTTTTATCTTAAGAATTCCTGTCTTCTTGAATCTAAAAATAAGTGATGGCATCACCTGGAATCTAAAAATAATATCTCACAACCTCTTAAAAATATTTTTATATTTTTTTAATTAGGATATTGTATCCATCAGAAGATAATAAATAAATATATCAAAAAGTAAATAAGAACTAAATAAATTTAAATAAAGAATTAAATTCAAGAAGGTGTCATCAGTTATTTTTAGATTCAAGAGGGTAGAAATTCTTATTATAGATCAAGGTGATAATAATCAGTAAAAAGATTAAGAACCTTTGCTCTAGATGCTGAATGTTATCTTAAAAGCATTTGGAGTGGCTCTGGCTCTATGGATTGGACGAATTTCTATGATTTTCTAAGTTTTCAGGATGATGACTCTTCAAATTAGTTGGTTCAAATCACTAGCGGATCCAGGATTTCATTTTGAAGGGGCTTCAGCCCGAAAGCTTTTTTTTCAATATAATGATAATTATTTTGGAAGGAAAAGAAAGAAACGAACTACCTTAATGAAATGGTGCTTAAGTTATTCTTGAAGTCCTGTTAAATGTGATTACTTCAGCCCTGAAAGTCCCCTCCATAGATCTGCCAGTGTTAGCCACTATCACTAGCTTAAATAATTACATTTACGCACTTATGTTTCCCGTGGTTTCAGAAATGGGTAAATGCAGCTAAACCATCATTAATATAAGGGGAATTAGAGAAAAGAATACGAAAGACGAATAAGAATAAGACGAATAAGAATAAGAAACACGAAACATAGACATTTTTTCTGTAAATGAAAATAATATACCACAGGAAAACAGCATATATACATATAATTGAATGAAAATGTACTTTTTGTTTCTAATAAATGTATTTTGTCTACATTTTCTTCTTTAAATTAAAAAAAAAAAATTCAATTTTCGGATCTAATGAATTTCTGTAGAACTACTTCCTTCCCGTTTATATCTCGGATAATGTGAGTTCCAATTTATAATATGTTTTTTAAAATACTATTCTAGAATTACTTGTCCTCACAATTGTTTAATAAAATAATTGCAATTATGAACAAATAAAACAATTTAATTTCCTTGTACACTAAACCACTAGTGGATCTAGGATTTAGTTTTGGCGGGCTTCAGCATGAAAATTTTCTTTTTTAAATATATAAGGATGGTTACAGTAGGAAGAAAAAGAAAGGACCTTACTGCCTATATGAAATGAAGTTCGTGAAAGTGATTTCTTAACTACTAATAAATGTAATTACAAATTCAAATGTATAATACTTTCAGAGGTAATTATTAATATTTTTTTCATAAGATATGGTTATATTTTACCATTTTGGGGAGGTGCTTTAGTCCGAAAGTTCCTCTCCCCCTTCTCGTAGATCCGCGCGTGGTTCAAATACATAGATCTTCAATCACAATTTATATAAAAGTAGTAATAATTCACTACAGCTCATCTGTTTATTGCCAAATCGGAAAATAAAATAAAAGAATATTTATTTATCAATTTCAAAATTATTGAAAAGCATACTTGAAGCCCGTACATATAAATTATGGAATAGAGCTGAGGTCACCAAACTACAAGCAGTGGGCTCGAAAAAGTTTCTTTGATTACATGGTAAAATTTTAAGAATATTTAAAAAATACGAAATGCAGTAAATCACTCATACACGAGGTTACTATAAAATTTATTGCATGAATTATTTCTATTAGAAAACTCATTTCACAACTGAAGTGACAATTAGGTGAATAAGCCTTTTTTTTCATCACAAGCCATGGCCCGCTGGATATGTTTCTCCCTAAAAAAATATTTACTCTAGATACCAGACTGATTTTAAATAAATATTATACTTGGCAGATAGCTACAATATGGGCACAATTGGGCCCGACTGACGTAGCAATATAGGAGTAAATATTTTTTTATGGAGAAATAAATTTTATATTATTTTTTGCACAACAAAAAATCCTTAAATACGAATTTTTATAGCAATCGAAATATTAAATTTTTCTGCACGAAATTTTGGTCTAGATTGGATCCTTTGAAATTTTGCCGACAACCACAAAAATTATGATAACTTTAGAACGGCTCCACTGATCCACACAAAAATTAAGAATTTAGGAGTCTATATGCTACACAAACTGGAACAAAAATCCCTAAACCAATTAGAACCAGAGATAAAAAATAAAAATGATTAAGTTTTTTTTAAATTTCTAATTTAAAAAAAGGAATGAAATCTAAATGTCATTGATGTGGGTTGGAAGAGTAGTAATTCAGCTGTCCAATGGTTCCACTGATGTTGAATTTGAAGAAAATCCTGGGATGTTAAAAAAAATTTCTCAGAAAATCAAATATTAGATTTTGAAATTTTTGATTACTATAAAAATTGGTATTTAAGATTTTCAAAGGACACTAAAACCAAATTAACTAGCTTTTTCATAACAAAAAATTATTTGACCTACTTTACTGGAAGCGCATTATTGTTTTTGTAACTTATGATGCATTACACTAGCGGATCCAGGATTTAATTTTGGGGGGGAAGCTTCAGCCGGAAACCTTTTTTTTCATAAAAATAACGATAATTACTTTAGAAAAACAGAAAAAAACTAACTACCTATATGAAATGGTGTTTAAGTTATTCCTTAAGGACTTTTAAATGTAATTACACGAACAATAATACTTTAAGAGGTATTTTTTAATTCTCTTTTCCCATAAAACATGGTTATATTTTTCCATTTTGGAGGAGGGGGGGGGGGCTTCAGCCCGAAAGCCCCCTACCCCCCCCCCCCCGTAGATCCGCCCGTGATGCATTATAACATTTTAACGTACTCTTCAGAATCATGGACGCTGACAAAGAAACATCAATCAAGGATACAAGCGTCAGAAATGCGATTCCTCCGAAAGATTGAGGGGAAAACGAGAAGAGACAGAGTATGCAACACCACCATTAGGTCGAACCTCAATATTAAGCCGGCCAATGATGTGATTGAGGAGAATAGATTGAGATGGCTAGGACATCTGCGGATGGAACCAACCAGAATAGCTAGCGAAACCTATCAAGCTAAAGTAGACGGCAAGAGAAGAAGAGGACGGCCTAGAAGGAAATGGGAAGATCAGGTGAAGAGCGACTTCCAGAGAAGAGGTCTTCAATGGAACGATAGAAGGCGTCTTGTGGAAGACCGGAAGAGCTGGAGAAGGCTCTATAAACTTCCTCCTCACACTGCTTAATGCGGTTCAAGAAAATGGATTATGATGATGATGATGATACATTATAACCCATTTAATACAATAGGCTATATTTGTATTCCTATTCTGCACAAAAAAAATATATCACCTCAAAATCCGGGCAAAAAGAAATAACATAAATTTTGTTTGAAATGATACAAAATATTTTTTCTCGGGTCCCATTGCCCATTGGAACGAACGCCGAGATATTTCTCCAATATTTTTCGATGTAGAATTATCAAAAACCATTTGGTTTGAATCGATGACCCACTGACTTATAAGATTACTGGACACATATCCACAATTATTTACCTGTGGATCCTATATTGAATTATTACAAATCTCGGGTTATTTTATGAAAAACGTTTGATAGAGGAGAAGTATGCCGTAATGAAAAAGTAAATACTTTCTTGTATATTCAATTCCCAAAACATTTTACTCTATAAGGAGATCGCAACTGCGCCATCAAATCCCCTTCAGGACATTCCAACAAAGGCTAAGAAGTGACCTTTTGTTGGTAGTACTTCGTTTTATGAAAGATTTTTCCCCTACCAAGAAAAAAAAAAAAGTATACCCCATCAAGAAACAGTGCTGTCAATGCGGGTAGTATTTCTCGATTTCGAATAATATTTTGGGATGAAATGGGAAAAGTAAAGATCCCGAAATGGAACTTCTTTATTAATAACTCAACTAATATATTCATTTCATTTTGAATGGCTGTAGAAGTATGCACAACATAAAAAAAAAAACGAGAAATACCTCGAATAAAATGAGAGAAAAAAAAATTGAGAACCCAAAAAAGGACTACTTTTAAAACAAATCTATTCACATACAAAATGTTTAATTTCCAAACTTAATGTTGAGGTCGAACATTAAAATCTGGTAAAACGCGAAAGAAATGTCGGGACAGTGAGGAAATGGTTGACACCCTAGTGCCACTTCTCTACCACCAATTCAACTTGTGTATAAATATTCAACTTACGTATAAAACATTCTATTCGCTTTATAATAGCGTTAAAGGTACTCACAAACTTAAAATACACAACAGAAAGCCGCGAATAAAATAAAATGGCTGATGGATGAAGAAACAGTTGAGGCCCCTAAAGGGCACTTTCATCACACCAATCACTACCGTTTTCAAGCCTTGCTTTCAGGCTGAAGCCTCCATCCAAAGTAGACAAATATTTTTTTGTCACATTAGTCCGTATTTGTTTATATGAGTTATCTGAGACAGAGACTTAAGGTAAGAGTGAGCAGAAGGGAGTCGCATGGCGCAAATTGCGTCAACAAAATGTTTGACGACATTTACATTTTTACGACTTTTTTCATTTTTGAGGTGGGCAGGGGACACATTTTGATGAGATTACGAATTTTCGGAGTAAACCATATTTTTATACGGTTCCAATTATGGGAATTACTTTCAACAAGAGAAAAATATTTCTAATTATATTTTCGCTTGCAGTCGTTTTAAGAAGGATTAATAAAATTTCTCAGAAGAGGGCATCGATCTTTGGGTAGATGGGCACCAGAGACAGAAATAATTACTATATCTTCTCTTTATAAATGATAATATACATACTTCAGCTACTAAATTTAAGCTCATGTCAAGAAATGATGTAAACATTTTATCCCTGAAAGCATTATTGTTATTAACACGTTAGGTGCGGTTACGGTCCCCGGGTTCCGATATTCGTATCGATTTCAGCCGGGACAGTTTTGAATTTTGTTTATCTTACGAAGTTTCTAAAATGGTCATTTTTAAAAATATTTGAATGGGTGTTGGTTATATGTAAAGATAAATATAAACGTAAATAATCATTATATCTGATAGATGCCGGGGACCGTAACCGGTAGCTAACGTGTTAATACTATTAACTAAATAGCAATTTCATTTTCAATGTTGCATTTTAATTTTAACTTCATTCAGTAAAAATGAAGTTAAAATTAAAATGCAACATTGAAAATGAAATTGCTATGCATTGTTGGAAAAAGCGTTAAAATATTAATGTTGTTGCACAACGCCCCAAGGTCGATGGCGCAAGAACCTTATTTCCTCTTCTTAATAACGAAAGTAAAATTTAACAGATCGTAGATCATATACAATTACACTTGCTGCGGTCTGTTCTCTGTTTTTCTCGTGTCCTTAGTTTGAAAATTTCCATTCCAAAACTTCACAACACTACCGAAATGTGGTCTCTTCAAACATTTTTGTGGCGCAACTTGCGCCAAGTAAGCCCCTTCTGGCCATCCCTGTTGACGTTTTTTTATAAAAAAAAAAAAAATATTCCGAAATAGAAATTCTCTAACAGAAATATTTGTTACCTGTTCTGCAATCAGCGTCTACCTGTAATTTCTGATTACACCCAAATGATTTTTCACAGAGCGTACGGAAGGAAACTTTCCCATCAAATTACAACTCGCATTTGATATACAGATTTTAATTTTTGATGGGAGACCAGATCCTAATTTCGGCATTATTTACGCAAGCGAATAAAATGTGCAATTACGTGGAAATCTAGACTAGTTATTATCGATATATATATATAAAAAAAAAAGTTAGCCCCACCCCAAAATTAAATTTTATATCCTCTAGTGACACCAATCAACTAAATTTACATCCAAATTTTAAATCTTCAAAATTAATTTGAAGGAGTTTAATACCAGTAATGCGGCTGAGTGCGAGACGCTGGGATCTCCTAGAATCCTGCCTTTCCTTCCACGAGTGGGAGAAAGGCTTGGCTCGGAGTTCTTTTGTTTACATACATTTACTTTTATTATTATTATTAGTTTCTGTATTATTTATTGTAAATAGAGTGTGAATGTACTCTCTGAAAACTATTATAAATGTCCTTAGTTGTGACAGATTGTAATATTGATGAATGAATAAATAAAAAAAATTGAAGGAGTAATGTAGAAGTTCAAATTTTGATGGGTGAATCAAATGCGAAATAATGTTGATACGAAATGATCTAACATCAGTTAACTAGCGAATAAACGGAGGAGGAGAGGGGAGCTTTCTAACTAAAGCCTCGAAATTAGAAAAATATATATATTATTTTTTTTCCGGCAATCCAGTCTTACTTTATTTACTTTACTTAATGAAAGATAATTTGATAAAATAATTACGGTGTCCGAGAAGGGAGTAGCGAGGTGTGCTTTTAACTTACCTTACTCTTTATCGAGCCCCTGGCTCCGTAAAACAAACCCGTGTAGCCTAAAAAATGAGGAAGGAGAGGAAAAAAGAAAAAGATCTGAACTAATTACTTTAAAAATCACAATATATACTTTTTAAAAGTATAATCACCATGTCAAGAAAAAATATTTTAAAAAACTATCTCTAAAAGCATTATTATAATTTTTTTTTTGTACAGATCTTCAAGAGTATTTTAATATTATCGTATATAGTTTCTATCTATTATGCCTAGAGTATTCACCGTTATAATTATTAAAAAATAAAATAGCCCTAAAAATTAAATCCTGAATCCGCTACTCCATTATTTAAATATCTTTCAAGGCATAAAGTTTTATATAGAATAATGATGGTATTTAATAGAAATAGATTTAATTTTTATATATTTTGTTTCATAAGTTGTCAATTATACGACTTTAAGATGCACATAATTAATTTTAATAGAAAAAAAAGCAATCGAATCGAAAGATGAATTAAATTTAGCCACACAAAACACTCTTGTGAGAAAATATTTATAATTCTATAATATTTATAATTTAATTTATAATATTTATAATTATTTATTTATAATTCTTGTGAGAAAATATTTAATTTTAAATAAACGTTTTAATTTAGTAGTTTTCAAATAGTGTTAAAGTTATACGTTATGATATTCGGGATTTTTTTTAAATTAGGAGATGACTGCGATTGAGTATGCAATAATCCTGATCGCGGTTTCTCTTCAGATTCTTGTCCGAAATAAACACCTCACTTGAGTTCTAATATTGCACCTAATGTGCACTAGAAATGCGCAATTTACGTAAAAAGCAATATTTTCCATTTTCTGAAATACCACATGTGACGTAATGATTCCAATGTAGTTTTTGATGCTGAATCATTCTGTGATATTAGTTTTGGTATAAAACGTAACTGTTTTTACTGAAAGTTTAGAGCGTTTGTATAGTAGGTGCTGGAGAAGTCGAAAACGACGAGCAGTTTCTTGTCGTTTTAGTCTTGTATGAGGATTTCAAGTGAATCGCTTGTTCAGATGTCCTAGGTATCGGCTTTGTTCAACACAAAGCCGACACGAAAAGTGCGGATTTGTTAAAGGATACTGTAGGACAGGAAGTCATAGATTTACGACGAAGAGTAAAAATAATTTGATGGAATTTTTATTAAATCCAGTTTTCTAATCAGTAGAATATCACGGAAAAGAATCTGAAGAGAAACTGAACAAATAAAAATCTCCAGTGGATTAATGAATGGTTCCAAATCCAATAATATTATAATAAGGGGTTTATTGTTGTTATAATTTATAAACATTTTTATATGAAATACAATATATACATAGAACAATTTAAAAAAATTATTTTTCTTAGTTTGTTAGTTCAAACCTTTTTCTATTTTTTTTTTCAAAATTATTTAGGGGAGTAACGGCTTCTCCCCCTCTTCTCTCCGCTCTCCTCTGCGTACGCACATCTAGTGAATGGAAATATCTTATTCCTGTCTATTATGAAACAAGTTTGAACTTTGGCGGTCCCAAATGACCCAGGGACTCGTGGCTATTTTATAATTATCTTTATTTTATTGTTCTTTAATTTTTGTTTTATTTAATTCAGCTGATAAAAATGTCTTAATTATATTTATTTGATTCATGTTGAAAGTAACTAACGGCTTGTTAGTTACGAAATGCATTTGTACCGGAAATAAAAACAAATAACGGAAACATTTTTTTGGACAAGCACATAAAGAAGTGCCCTTCCAGAATATTTCTGTACAGCAGCAAATTTTTTATTTCGAAATTGAAGAAGAAAAGTTAGGAATAGGAACCCTAACGAATCGAATTACCTAGATGAATATAATAAATAAATAAACTTCTAATATTTAAAAAGGCGCCATCTACAATAACATTTACACTTTTAAGATAAGTTCAATTAATAAAAGTATATAGTATGCTTACCTTAATGGAAACCGCAACTGTTATCAAGTAGCAAGATAAAAAATACAGACCAATCATCATAAATGGGAAGTTACAAACACTGATACGAATAAAGCTGTGTGATACTCGAGGTTAATCATAAAACTGGCTCTAGATCATCCTCTTGTTACCTTGATACCGCCAGAAATGTACGTATCTGAATCACCTAGCAAATTATATCGATTCTTGTCTGTTAATCACATACTTTGTTGCGCAACATGATAAGACCCTGTGAGTGTTACCAAGAAATATGAAGTTATCCCTAACCCTATAAAATAGTTCCACAATTCCAGAAATGAAAAATTCGTATTTTCTGATTTTTGGGGATCGTAAGAACTTAAAAAGAATCTTTAAAAAGCTTTTAAAAAATCATTATAAAAAAGAAAAATATTAATTTAACATTAAAAATGAAGTGAACGTGTTGGGGAAAACCGCTGACCAGGTTCCCTTCTGTAAAAGGCGCGTGATAACAGAAATTGAAATTCATCGATAGCTAGCGAACTCTTTCCGATTGCTGATTAAATTTTAACAAAGAGGAAAAACTGTAGAATCAGGAGCAACTGTTTGTGTTACTCTCTCTCTCTCTCTATATATATATATATATATATATATATATATATATATATATATATATATATATATATATATATATATATATATATATATATATATATATATATATATACACACAAGTGCTTCAAATCAGATCAGTTACCTCGCGTTCGATTGAGTAGTAGTCTTTGCTTATCAAAACAGGTCACTCCCAGCCTAATGACGTATGTGCTATGGGAGGGAAATTTTTTTATCAAACCAAACAAGGTCTTCATATTTCTCTTTTTCTGTTGGCATTAGCCTTTTCGCCCACTAATCCCCAACTATGATATATTTTCCATTCCATCTCTTTAACTTCAATTTAATCAGATTACTGTTTCCATTTAATGAAAAGAACTATTTAATCCTCCACAACTTGATGATTAAGGCGCGGGAACCATATTGGGGCCACCCAATGTTGACAGATCAGTTTTGTATTTTTCACTAAACCTACCTAATAACATTAACGTTAACTTTGAATTTAATTGTTAATTTTCTATTATTGTGACCAACATTGTCTCCATAGAATAGAGGAGGAAAATTATAAAGATGCACTTATATATATTTGAAATACATTAGGCCCGGCAACCAACCTGGAGGGGCGTCGGCCATATGTTGAGGAATATAAAAAGTTTATTAATAAATCAATCTAATTTGAGTAAGGTAACCAGACGCTACCCCGCTTTTGGTATGGCAACCCCAATTTTTAATAATTTGTTCCACGTCGATTTGGAAAAGTCCTAATTTTCGGATAGAATGCAGAAGCTAGTAGCAGTAAAAAAGCGTTAAAAGACGTTTTAATTTAATATTATATTGTGTAGTAAATATACTTAATCATGTTACTTTCTTGATGGCATGAATATGCTGAATATGAATATGAAATGAGGCAACAAAACCTCTGGGGCTAGGAGCTTCAAAACTTCAAATTAAAATGGGACCAATTAGTTTGGTCTTGTTTGTCGAATAATTTAAATCAGTTCCAACAATAGTATGTAGGATTATCATGTCATAATAAAGGTTAATTGTCCATGGGGACATTTGTTTATAACTTTCTTATACTGCACATTTGGTGAATATTTAATAAATAAATAAATAAACTAATTGTTGTCTACTCATCTCAATTTCTCATTTCCAATCAAATAAAATGGTAAATGCATTTAGTAGATAAAAAAAAAAAACTCCTCTACCTCTCAAAAAATCTAAATCTTAGAGGAAACTTTGAATTTCTTGATAAAGTGAAGGCAAAGTGCAATACTAGGCCTCTGAAATAATTTAAAAATTAACTTGACAACAAGAATATTTAAATTTCAAGTTATTGTATTATTTATTTTCTAAAAGAATATTAACTATAAACTGTTCATTGGAACAAGTAGTTAAGTGGAAGTAAATAAAATACAAAAGCAATTTTTTTAAAATTTCATCGTTATTATGAAATATAGTTATGGCTTTGTTTAGTTAGTATTTAGCTAATCATTCAGCTAGGAGTTCAATTGGGTTTATTTATAATTATAGAATATTGCCATTGTATATAATATGTGTAGATATAACTATAAATTAAAAAAAATATAAGCTTAATTAAAAGCATTGACAACCTACAGATCTTATGCCCTCAACTCCATAACAAAACAAACACAGTGTGTATCATGATCTCAATTCCAAGTCCTGATTTCCTTCCAAAAACATTTTACAGTTTTAACAAAGAATATTGTCTAATTTCTTAAACAATAATCTTTTGGGATGACAACATTAAAAATTAATATTTTCACTTTTAAAAAAGTCTTATATTATAGAAATATTTTTTTATTTCAGAATTTTCTAATATCAGGCACTGATGAATTCTAAAGCATACTGAATAAAAAAGGATCAATGGTATTAATATTTAGTTCAATTAAGTATGAAATTAGCCATACAACCTATTTCTAAGGCCGCTCATGGACAATAAGATAAAAATTTATTCAAGTATTTATTAAAGTCTTTGTAAAAAGCAATATAATTCTTAAAAACATGTAATTTCCTACATCATTTTTCTTTGTTTAACAATAACATAATGAGTTTTAAGTGAAATTTATATCTTTAGAATTTATTATTAAGATGGAGTAGTCTCTCTCTTACCGATATTTTCAGTCTCCTTATATTATACTCCACTACATATATGTTAGTACATAATATTAATCATACTATTGACAGCAGATATCATACTTCTGCTGGTTATTGTAATAAAACAGTCTCCAGCATTGAGTCCATTAATAATTAAAAAATGATTCAATAAAAGAGCAGGGATAGAAAATTATTCACACTTCTTTAAACATATTTTATGTAATTATACTAATATACTTAACTACCAGAGGTATATATATTTTTTAACTGACTAAAATTATTATAACAATAATAAATTAAATAATTAAACAAAATAATGAAAGTCATAGTAAATAAAATTTATAATAAATTTGTGATATTTATCACTTAATATTCAAAAGTTTATTATGTCTTACAGTAAAACGTGATTAATACGTTGATATATGCTTATATTAAATTTAAATTCTTAGTTATTTCAGTAATGAATTCCATAAAACAGGTTTTTCCAATAATTAATAAAATATATTTATATAACAGTTTAAAAATTATCCCTTATATAAAAATTAAACACATATTTACATTCTCTCGATACAAAATTTAAGTCTGATGTCTCAGTATAAGCAACATGAGATATCTCAATTTTTCAGGAAATTGAAATATATGCAATATTTTATTTATTATCACCCACTGAATCTGAAGAAAACAAAATGTTATGAAATTCAAATTAATTTAATGAGTCCAAAATAAAAAAGATTTATACATATATATTACAGAGGTATATACATATTTACATATGTTTTTCACTCTCTTGAAATATAACAATGTGAGAAGCATCATGTTGCTTTTACAAAGAGGATATATTAAAATTATCGGTGGAAAGGTAAACAAAACTCTTTGTCAATCAGTAGACGGTTAATATTTACACCATTATGGAAGGCCACAACTTCTAATCGATTATTTATTACATCACTGTGAACAAAAAAATAATAAAAACAGAAAAATAAAAATAATTTTAGAAAGAAAAAAAAACTTTAAGTTATATTTAGAAGCCCAGATGGAGGACTGGTTAAGGCAAGGATCCCAGAATTTTCAGTTTCGAACAGTGTGGATTCAATTCCCACCTGGGTCAGTTAATATTTGTTCCTTGGTAAGACAGGAATACATTTTGATATTTCCACTCTGGTTAATCCAGGTTGGCAACAAAAGTATCAAGGGTTAGCAAAAAGGCCCTCCAGGCACACGTACAAGTAAGTGGTAGTTGAAAAATATTCTGAATTAATCAATATTTTATTTTTTTATTACATATCTATTTTGGCTAATATAAACTCAATTTAATTGAACAGAATAGATCTAAATTAAACAAAATATATATGTCTATTTACAAATCAAGATGTAATTCATTAAAAAAATAATATTCAATCCTCATTTTAAGAACAAATGATTATTAATTGATGAATAAAATTACTAACCTATCAATTATTTGAACCTCAATTTCTTGATCCAACAGTAGTGATTTCACAAATGATTTTCCCTTATCATCCATACCGCTTTCGACAAATATATTAGCTAACGTACAATAAACAGCCTAAAACAATAAAAATAGATTATTAATATTAACAAGCAATCAAATATTTACTTAAACAAATTATATACAATATAGTTTTTATCTTCATAAAACTCTTGTTTTAATTTATTATAAAGAAACAAAAAGCATTTGTTTATTTCAATTTGCGCTCCCTAAGTAGTTACTTTTGTTGTTACTGATCCAGTGATTCGAGTTATCACAAAATCTTAGGAATCATCCATTTAAAAAATTGTTTGTCAGGTTATAGAAGATTTCCAGAATAAAAATTGTCAGTTAATTGCATAAAAAAGTCATTAAGTACATTTTTGATAGAACTAAACTTTTCAACTAAAAAATTCACACCTTTGGAGTCAGCCCTAATGAAGGTCTGAACTCCAGGTCGAAACATCGGCAAATATCAAAATAAATATTATCATTTATTTTTGCTTTCTTATTTGACTGATCACCCCAACTATTCTTCTCTTCATTATTCATGACAGTCAACCATTTACCCATAACTAAACTTTTAAGTTAATTTCTATCTTATTAATAAAAAACAAAACAAAGTAAGTGCATGAAAATGACACCAACTCTTTATATATCAGATATGTTTACATTAGGAACACAATGTTCTTATTTCACAGAGAGAAAATTCATGAAAGTACTTAATGATTTATCTTTTGTACTTCCTCACCATTTTTATTGGTATATAAGAAAATACGGATGTATGAATACACTTCTCTAAGATTATCATTCTATTTAAAACTGAATTGAATAATCCAATAAAAAACAGGTATAATAACTCACATTATGTTTAAAAATTAATAAAACCTCTCATTGTTACATGTCCATTTCCTACCTCATTTCACAGGCATTATATTCTTAACAATTAAATTAATTTTAATTGTTAAATGAAAATTGAGAGCAGACCATTTGTAAATTATTCTTCAATATTCCTCCAATTTAACGCCAAAGTGAATGAGCCGTTATTGAAATAAAGCCATACAGAGGAAAATATCTGCGCCAATTCATGAGCAAATATCAGAGATGGAATTTGATACCGGATCATTTTTCATTATAGATAACTTGCCTCCAACTTTAAATCTAATACAATGAGTCATTTTTGATACACAAGCGTACCATAATAGGTTTACCATAGGCGTACCATAATGGATTTGAGCATCTGGAATATCATGAAATGGATATAGAACTATCTAGCTACCACCCAGCACAATTTCTGAAAGGTCCATCAGAATTGTATCAATGCTAGAAGGTGATATGCCTGTCATAAATGTTTGACTACAGACAAAGTGGACTGACACAGAAAAAAATGTATTCCTTGATGCCCAAAATTCAGAAATGAGGAGAAATTTTCAATTCTGAGCACAAAATCTTTTTAACCTGTAAAGCTTCTCTACCATTTGTAGGAAAGAAGCAATACATTTTAAATCAATGAAAGATAGTATTTATAATAATGAATTTAAAATAACCTGGCATGGTAGGTGAATAAACTGTGGTTCAATTTCTCGACACTTATCAAGTGAAAGTTCTTCTATGACACCAAAATCCACAAAAAATACCTGAAACATTTAGTGGAAAAAAAGTTATTCATGATTACATAATTTAAAAGTTAAAATGAAAATTGTCTAAAATAATTGTAAAAATAAATAAATTTAGACTAGGATTAATGAGAGACCACATTAATCATAATAATGAACAATGGAGTTTCATCACTTCATAAATAAATGGATCAAAATATGGCCTAATTTTTAAATTAATTATTTTTACAGGTCAATAATTGGGAGCAGGATAGCTCAGTAAGACACTGACTTCCTAAGGTCCTGAGTTCAAATTTGGCTGATGACAGATAATTATTTATTTTATATTATCAAACATAGATCGCCCATGGGATCAGGAGACCCTCCTGGGGCACACCCAGCCTCTATAAACTGGGTACTCTTAATAAAATAATTAATTAAGCAAGAAAACCTGGCAATTGAAGCATGATCCTAGTCCGACCACTCCCGCACACAACTGTTGAAACAGTACTTCCTTACAATGTACAGAACCCATGACCATTCATGGGTTGTAGTGGTTAAGTTATATATAAATAATGAATTTTTATTTTATTTTTTTTTTAACTTCAATTTATTTTGACACTTGTATTTGACAATACAATTTAGGTATTTGTAAATACAATGATTTATTTACAATCATTATTTTATACCTTTTTACTTTAACTTATCTATATATATATATATTTTTTTTTAAAATTCCTTATTATCATTAATTTTGCTTATTTAAAATAATTTACCATCACTCATTGTTAATGGTAACAAAAACGGATGAATTTGAACAACTATGAAAGAAGCTGATAACTAACTATAGGAGAAAAAAGAAAAAAGATTTTTTCAGGTTGAAAACAAATTCCAGAAATAAGGGCAATAATTTAGAAGTATATACACAGGTCGGAAGTTGAAGATTTCAAAAAAATTAATCTTTAATATATATAGAAAGTCCGTAGTTAATAGTTTATATTTTTATATTATTTAGTAGAAAATAAATATTTCATAGAAATTAGAAATAGAAAAAGCATCTTTATTCTGGGACTAGGTCCCTTTAGAATAACAGTATTGTTCATATAAATTAACCATAAATCTGGCCAAAAGATCTATTACAATGAATAATAACAAAATACTAGTAATAAATTAAGTATAATAGCTCTTAGGATACAATAATGAGAACAGTTGGGTAATAGGGGTTCAATACTATAATATTGGAGCTAAAACAATAGCATAATAATCACTAAATGAAATTAGAAAGGAACACAAAATCAATTTTATAGGCAAAGCATTGTAGTGATGGAATATAAAAAATAAAATAAAATAAATTTTATTATTAAATAATAAATTTAAAATTTAATTAGAAATTAAATAGTATATCTATCCAAGGATATTAAATGTGAACTGTGCATAGTAAATGCTGTATTTTATATTATTTACTATTGATTTATATTTCTGTGGCACTTATGAAAAGTATGTCAAGTCCAATTTTGTGAATTGTTATGGGTGTCACCACAAAGCTAAGCTTTGTCTCTCTTCGCTTGTGCCTAATGGGCTAAGTTATGCGGCCAGAGATTAACATTACAGAGATGAACATTTCTTTGTGAATCATGGGTTTAAACTCGAAAATTGAACTTGCACCTGTGAAAATTCCAAACTTTCAATTACCTTTTACCATAAATATGGTTTTTGAACTCAACACACTATGCACAGGTGGCACAGATTTATAGTTGATGTAATATTCTTAAAGTTTTCATCATTTATTTCAACTAAAAGTAGGATAGTAAGAAAATGGTTGTGATGCGCACACTGCGCCGGATATTTTTTTTAACTCTTGCTTTCTCTATTTTTATAAAATACAGGTTCATAGTAGCAAATTCTCTACAAGAAGAGTTTCTTGTTATCAGTAATAATTTGAATAGAACAATTCAAAATACGAAGTATCTACTAACAAAAAGATAAATAACTCCAATTAAAATTTTTATTTGTCAATTTAAAAAAACAAAATATACAACTAAAATAAATAATTGTTTAAAAGGTAATAGGCACTGCAAAACATAAAGCTAGAAAGAAGGCAGTCTTGTCTTGTCAGAAATTTACTCTTTCAATAGCAACTATTTCAGGGTTACCCTTTTTATAAGAAGATGCTTTATATTTTAAATAATACTAATTTAAAATAATTGCCAATAGTAAGAAACTCCTGATGAAAAGAATGTGCTACTACTGCAAACTATATGCCTAGAGAAAACTATATATATTTCTTCAACTCGATATTTAAAGAAACTAATGATTTTAGAAGGAGTGAGTTAGCTCAGTGGGTAATGCATCATATTCCTAATTTCAGTATTCAGATATGGCTTTGGTAGATTACTTATTCCATAATATCAGATAGGATATACCCAGATTCTATAAAGTGTCTGATTATCGGGTTGAGGTATAAACCTGGAGTTTGAGCACGATTGAAGAATCTCATTGAATAACAGTTGATTAAGAAACAGAATTTCCTTATCATTTACAGCATCCAAAACACTTTATAAGCTGTAGTGAAACAGACTTCTTTATATATTTTTTTAAATGATATTTTTCTTATAAAATAGAAATAAGAGATTATTTACCTGTAAAATACCATTATCTAAAACATCACGTACAGAAGCTCTCAACCACATAGATTTTTCACTGCTATAGGCTACCAGCAGCTGACCGAGGCAAGGAGGAGTAGAAAGTAACTTAAACTCCTTTTTGGCTTCTGGTGAATTCAAACTTTTGTTTAATGAAGCAGCGGTTTCACATCCTTCAACAGTATCTAAAAAATAAGGAAAACATTCTATTAAAATTTGAATGAAATAAAATGACAAATCATAAATGAAGTACAAACTTGGGAGTTACGATCATCGTCACAGACAATCAACAATCAAAAGACCAACAGTTAAGCAAAGTGATAGATAAAGTAGTAATAATAAGCCTTTAAACTATTCTGGAGACAGAGTATGAATAAAAGGTAAACATATCTCGCCTCTTCATTGATTTTAAAGCAAATTATGACAGCATCAAAAGAAGAACTATACAAACAATTGGATATTTTAAGAATACTTAGCCAACTAGTAAGGCTCATCAAATGATCAATGAAGAACAAACAATGTTTATTACATATCAACAACAAATTTGAAAAATTTAGCACAGGTAAAAAGTTAAGGCAAGGAACACTTAGGTTTGTTTACTTTTAAATTTGACCTTTGAAAAAGCAATACAAGAGAATTCTCTTCAAATATGAGGGGTGATACACAACCATATCTACCTAGGAGCAGAGTTGCAGAGTAGGCTAATGCGTGTACACAGCACCCCGCATTGCCTAGCCGGATGAAAGATAATTAAATAGAATAATTATGAGTTCGTGTCCCAGTGTCTGGAAGGCTTTTTAACTGTGTCATTAATCCCAGGGGATGTAATGGGCAGGCCACCATCTCCTGACCTGGGAAAACCCTGTATAGCCTAAAAGGCGAGGAAGGGAAGGACAAACAAAAAAAAAACATCTACCAGCTTATGACCTATGCATATGACATTGACATTGTAGGGCAATACTAACAACAGTGATGTAAGTACTTTTAACATTGTTGGAGTCAGCGAAGCAACTAGGGTTAGAGTCGAATAGCTTAAAAATTAAGTGCATGGTGTCTGGGAAAGCATCCATTAAAGGAGAAACAGTGGAAATAGGCTCATATAAATACAAATAAGTTGCTCAGTTTGCATATATTGATTGGATTGGAACAGGATAACACCATTAAACAGATCAGAAATAGGATTGTTTTAGCAAAATGGTGTAACTTAGGACTTCATAGACGCTTGGTGAACTTCACTTTTCCAGAAAAATCAAAATACAAGGACCTTTATAAGTCTTTCAAAGGCCAAACACTCCTTTATGGTTCTGAGATCTGAACTCTTAAGAAGAACAGTGAACAGGAGCTCCAGACTTTCAAAAGAAAAGTACTCCATAGGATACAAGGAGAAAAGAGAGTAGGGAATGAATGGAGAAGGAATAACAAGGACTCTTAGATTTATACCTAGCTAGATGTTGCACAAGTACTGAGTATAGGATAGGTGGCTGGCTGATACAGAGACATTTGGATTAAAAAGGCTTCGATACAGTGTTGTATCACTCAATAAGTAATAATAATTTTTTTTGTCCAGTCATGTGGTTTTTAATTTATAGGGAATGGTAAATCTATAAAATATCATCATCATAGTCATTCCCTCTTCTACCGCCGTTCAATGTGAATGTCCTGCTTATAGAGTTTGGCCCAGCTGTCTCTCCCTTGTACCAACTCTATTCTCCTATTCCAATGTATTCTGCGCTTTCTGTATGCCACCTTTACACTATTCTCCCAGGAGATGCCAGACTTTCCTCTGGATCTTTTCCTTTGCATTCAGGTCTCATAAGTCTTCGTGGCATTTCTATCTAGATCCATCCTAAGAAGATGTCCAAACCACATTAGTCTGTGCCCCTCCAGAATGGTCTCCATCGATTCGACATTGAGATTAGACAGTATGGTGGCGTTCCAAATCCAATCTCCCTGTGTCTTTCTTTCTATTTTACGTAGATACCTCAATTCCATGGTATGACAGGATAGGGAGGAATGTCGATTTATAGAAAGCTAGTTTGGTCCGCTTTTACACCTCTCTTCTTCCCAGGAAACCCTGTCTGACCAAACTGAACATCATCCCTTCCGCTTCAATTCTTTGGGGCACTTCTTTGTATATGTAGCCACTCTCATTGAGATGAGCTTTCAGATATTTAAAGCAATCGACCTGCTCTAATCTCTATGAAATATATTTTCGGTTAATTGCATTAAATCACTAAGTGCATTTTTTATATAGGTTAACTTTCAAATAGGTTTTTGTGAATTTCAAACATATTTATTTATACAAAAAACATCATATGTGCATGTAAATGAAACAAATCCTTTAAAATTATCATATATAGTTACATTAAGTGCACAATTTTCTGATTTCACAATGGAAAAATTCATCAAAATTCTTAATTATTTGAGGTTATAAACTTTCATTTAGTGAATTTTTGCAATAAACCGACAATATTATGAACAGAAGACTAAAATGAATAATAAGTAATAAGAAATAAGATTTCATAGATAATACAATTAACTTTCAATTCCAATGAACCCAGTCTGATTTCAATAGACTGTGTGTGGTTTCAATTAAAAATCAGAATGGAATTGAAAAACCTTATGAGAGGAATTAGTGGAATTTGATGAAATGTCAGAGAAATGACAGGAAGTAACTACTGCCTTTTAAGTTAGTCATGTGCACTTAGCACATTTACAAATTAAACTGATTCACTAGGAAATTCTTAAAAACTATTTCTATAGTTATTAAGTATATAATAAAATAAGTAAGTAAACAATAACCAAAACTATTTTTAAAGTAATTTTTTTTTAAATATACAAAATAAATAATTAAAATAAAACTTTAATAATTATTTTCTAAATTATTCAATTGATTTCAAAATTTACAATACCTGAAAAATTCTCAGGGAGTAAGGCATAAAATATATTACATAAAACAACATAAGTAACCTTCATGGTAACAAAAGAACCAATAGCCGGTAAATTTGGTGAGTTTACAGTATCTGTATATAATTCCGCAGAATCTTCAGTCCACTTATCTGAAATTAGAATTTAAAATGAAAAAAAAAAAACATAAACTTCCAATTGGAAGGGTTATTAATTATTACTACATAAATAGAATAATTATTACTACATCAATAGACTAATTATTACTACATCAATAGCCAGAAGTAAAATAATGTCCTTATATACTGAAATAAAAATGTTAAAAATACTATACCTGCATAAAGGGAGCACTGTGAAAAAAAAAGGGAATTCAGGACAATAAATATTTTAAAATATTTATTACACAATAAGCTGGCACTACAGCAAGTGATAGATGAAAGGGGGCACCCCGTATGGCAACAATGTCAGGTAGGGCAAAAAAAAAAAAAAAAAAAAAAAATGAAAGGGGGTTTGGGGTTGCTGAGTGGGCTAACACTGTCGTTCCCCAGCAACCTGATATATAAGATAATTTGATAAAAATAGTCACGAGTTTGCATCCCAGTGCCGGGGAAGTCTTTTAACTTTGGCATACCCTGGCCTGGGAAAACCCTATACAGCCTAAAAGGCAAGGAAAGGAAGGACAAAAAAAAAAGTTGTAGATGAAGAGGAGAAAGGGTGACCAACGCGTGGCTATAACGCGTCCCCACCCTCTCGCTTGTACTGAGAAAAACCCGTTATAGCCTAAATGGTAAGGAAGTGGGTACAAAAAAAAAAGGTGATAGATGAACTTGGTCCTCAGTTCAATTATTGTGGGTATTCTGATGTATGCCTCCCCTGCCTGGAATTAAAATCTCATCCATTACTCTGTAGGCCCAGCTGTACTTTACCAGAACCTATAGGATAGTGCCCGATAATATATTGCAAATCCTTGTAGGAGGAATACCTTGTCTTACAATAAGACAAGTTAAAGCACTAGATGAATAGGGAAGGCTCGACCTACTCATGTTACATCAGGGCTTCCCAGCAAAGCTTGTTGAACTTGAAAAGAACTCTGATCCCGTATACTTCACTCACAACTTACTGGAAACTACAGAGAACTGCTGTCCTTATACCTTTAAGGCACTGAGAGCCAAACTACTGGGATGAACAGCATTGACAATTTATTCAGAGTGCAGCTACTTACTCAGCTAATGAGCAAAGAAAAATATCAGCCCTTCAAGGACTTTGTTCCCATGTTAAAGATAATACAGGGAGGAAAGTAGATGTTGTAACTAGAAGGCCAACAATAGCCATCAGACAATAGCCAAACCTAACGATAGAGCAAACTATATATCAATTTCAAAATAAATTTCTTATCTTTTAAAAAACAGCAATGGGTTATTACACATCCTTGAACATGTAGTTGGTTACACATTCCCTTAACATTATACTGCTGCACATACACATATTTCCTATTAGGCAGTATAGGATAGAAAAAAAGTTTATGAAATTAAATAAATGAAGTTAGAAAAAAAAATAAGCTAATTGGGGAAGAATAAAGTTAAAGGAATTCAGAGTTTCTTATTCTTCACTCTGGAATTTCTGGCTACAGGATAAGGTCCCCAAGTCAGAAAATATTTATTTCTCGACAATCCAGGAAATGAATCTTAACAGGGAATCCTTCTGCTATCATTAAGAGTAGTTTTCGTAATTGTTAGTGGACTAAATGTTGCAGAATAAAATTTACTTTATTCTTCTTTTAATTTTCTTCACTACCAAAACTGCTCCAAGTTTTAATAGATTCGATATTAATTTAAATAACTGTACAGTTAATTAACTGAGTAGAAAAAAATGAAATGTCAGTTTTTTAAGTATGTTATAAGGCAAATAAAGATAAAAAATCTTTAACAATATTATTTTAATTCAGAATAACTTCTGTTAGCTTTAATACATTTCTCTAATACTTCTTCCCACCTCCTAGACAAATGTTAAATGCATCGATGAAAACAATTATCACAATAGATGAAAATAAATAACAACCACTGATAGATCTAAAAAAATGAACTGAGCATTAATAGATTTTGAAAATTTTAATTTATTGTAATTTTGCTATTTTTAAATCCCTACTACTGAGGACTCCTTATCTTCTTTGCTAGAACTCAGGATTACCTTAAAGAAGTACTTTATTCATTGAGTAGTTATGCTGTCATAATAAATTGAGTTCATGTAAAGCAGCTTAATTATTAATCATTAGTACAATTCTAACGATTTACAGATTAAACTTGACAATTTGATAAATAGCAATTATGCATATCAAATACTCATAATATGAACTAAATCAAATAATAAACAGCATTAGTATGCAAGTGGATAATGAATTTAAGACTAAGATGTCCATTTTACATTACATCACATCAATACCAAATATAATAAATATTAAAAACGCCAATAAAGCACAAATAATTAATATCAGTGAATAAGCAATAATATTGAAATAATTTTTGTAGTTAAATTAGTATCTTATAAACTTATTTTTTTTAATTATAAATTTCTATTTTTTTAATTTGTCTATGCTAGGTAGGGTCATTGGTAATATTTTTTTACACTAAGTAACAAAATCTCATTCTTTTCAAAAATCAATCGGGTTTCTACATCTCTTCCTGAATCCTGCAAGATTTCTTAAATAGTTTGGCTCGCATTAAGTTTCCTCCTTATGGCCATAAAATGTTTACAAACCACAAGTATGTTATAAAATAAAGGGAAGATTCTAAATCAAATAAGGCATGGTAAAGGATTTTTACAAAACAAAAACTTTTGTTCCTTTTGAAGGGTCATATTTCAGAAACTTAAACTGAATAGTTAGAACATTTTGAAGAAAATCATAAAAAAAAACACACAATCATTCACTTTTATGTCTATGATAGAACAGAAAGAACATATATAAATATATATAGCAATAAAACTTACTTAGATTTAGTCGAAATAGAAAGGTGATAGTTTCTAATAAATTTGTAATATAAATATTAATACTATTGAAAAAAAAGATTAAAGCTACAGAAACAATACGTGAAATTATTCAAACTGAAGGTGTCCTTGACCAATGTACACCATTGGTGGTTTGAAAAATCCAGCAGTAGAGATACACCTTGGAAGAATAGGGCTCTAAGCGATCATCAGAGGATATTGATAGTACCGATTGACTGTCTATGAACGTTGATGCAGTTTGGCAGGATATATGGGAAATCATTACAGCAATACCCAGTTTTGGATAACTGTAAAGTTGTTATATCTTGATATATAGCAATCGGCCACACACTTTCAGTCAGACTAAGGAAAATTCAAACAATGTTCATGAGGATTAAACTTCTGTGACACATAACATACACTCCAGACCTTGCTTTAAGAGATTAGTCACTTTTCATTAAATGACCCACTTTCCTAAAGAGAAATAATTTGATACGTACATCATACCTCTTCGCTCTATTTTGAATAGAAATTATTTTCTGTCAAAATTGGGCAATTACAAAGTTTCTAAAGCGCATTTTTAATAGAGCTAAACGTTAAACCTTACAGCTAACCTGCAACAGCTCATTAAGGCCATTAAAATAATACAAACGTTATTTATTATATCGAAAATAGCCAATAAAAATCTTGGAACTCAATATTTTTATGATTATGTGCAATTCAATCATATCTCAATATCGGTTTTTGTAAACCACATAATCTATCTCTGACCTATATGTGCCTAAAGAGATTTGAAAGTACGTTTAATTTATAAATGATTACGGATTGTACTACTATTAAACCCTTATTTTATTCCCCACAGTAAAGTTTACTAAAATTTAGTTACAAGATTTTTATTGTCTACCATCGATAGGTCAAATATTTTTACACTAATTGCAAGTGATTAATGTTGTGATTTCATAGAGAAAATTATTCACTAATTAAATTTTCTAAAATTTTACATGCTATTTTTATCTTAACTGATGATAGATATTTAATTATTTAAATATATTATCAGATCTAGAGCTATTAAACTACAGTAAATGTATTTAAAGTTATAAAAATGTTTTACACATACATGAAATATTTGTATGTTTCACTTCTTCTTTCATACAACTAAAATGAAATAGTTTTTTATATAATTTCATTGCCTTGATTCATTACATTTTATATACTTTTTTTTTCAAGCTAATTAATTTCAAAAGTTTATTTTTAGCTAGGGAATTTCATTTCATTTTCTTTAAAATCAGGTGGTTTCTGTTAAATAATATTAGTTTTCAGAAATTATTATTTATAATTTTTTCGTCACTCTCCATTACTTCCTATGACTTTGTATGTTAGATATTGTTTTTTCCTAAAATTCCCCACTTACCAACGATATATTGTACATATACCACCTGATTAATATTTCCGGAAAATCATTTTTACCCCACAAAATTTTTTTTCTTTTTTATCCTATAGTCAATTATAAATTTTTTTCATAGTTTATATTGAGTCTTTTTTAATTAACACTAACAATGATAGACAGTTAATTATTACAAATTAACCAAATTAAAGGTACTTTAGAGGAAGAAATTTCGAAAATTTGGCATTTAAGCTCTGTTAAGTTTTATATTTAAGGGACATCAATGGGGACAACATCTAAATGATGTTAAAGACCATTTAATTGTACAACAATATACAGAGTTTAATCAAAATCTTTAGAGCCGTTTTAGAAAAAAATTATATTTGTAAAATCAATGATATAAAGTGGCACTTCCGGTTAGACGATTTTCAGGAAAAAAGTTGCTGTAACATCCCAGGCATATACCTATCTTAAACACGTGATACTAGTTTCATACGAACTTTCTTTTTTTAGCTAAGCTGATCAAGTGACACACAAATATAGACAATTTCACGGGACTTGGTTATTTGGAGCCAGGAGACCTCAAAGCATGTATTTTCGTAGGAAACTCAGATTTGAAAATTTCCATGATCGCAATACTTTTCCTTTCACTATTACACATATAGGTAAGTGAAAGGAAAAAATTAATGATTATTAAGAGGGTTAAATTGCAGTCAAGTTTTTCAATGGCCACCCCAAAGAGTGATACCACTGTGGAATGAAAAAATCGATATGGTTAACAAAAGTGGATTACAATGGGCTATGTAATAAATATTAATTTTGTGTTAAATAAAAATATCAACTTTTAGTTGAAAGAAGTTCATTTTTCTTTTATACACCCATTACTTATAAAATGAATAATAAAGTTCTGGTTCCAATTCATATATGTAATACGTCATATAGCTGAGATTTTTGAAGGCCCCTCGCACTGGGTCGACTGGTTTGAACCCCAACTTGCTAATCTTACCCATGCACAAAAGTTGCGATCTGCATACAAGTCATAAGAAACAAAGCAATTTGATATAACTTTATAACTGGATGCATGCAAAGGTTTTTACCAATCATGAAATATTTTCAGTTGCATGTATGCAAGCATGCTTTGATACATAAGATTGAATGACCAAGAAATTAATATAAAATGTATTGAAAAGATGTAAAAACACTCAGTTCATTTCAATAATAAATAAAGCTTACCTCAAAGTTATTAATATTCTAGAGCAATTAATATTCTATCTTCTGGAGTCACAAATTTTCTCATTTCCTGAGTCAATCGTCTTTCTGGAAAGAGCAAGTAACCTTAACCATTCCAGGTTAGAATTTTAGGACTTTTTGTAGAATGTTATAAACTTACTGTTTGATTAATTTAATTGTTCTGTTATTAAGAACAGGACTTAATATTTCTCTGTATGAATAAATCACAGATGAAAGTAATACTCCCTCAATTTCAGTTGTTCTTAATAGATTGTGGTTATGAATGATAAACGATTGTTTCTTTCATATCTGCACTATTTTTTCATATAACTTCAAAACTAGCTCTGTGATTATAAGCTAGTACAAAGATAGGCCAAAATTAGTAGCACTTGTGACAAGAGGTTTCATTCTGATTGCAAACTGGTTTTTACACTACTACTGAGTCAATTTGCAACTCGGATTGCAAACCAGTCAACCTGCATGCAGGAGGCCTAACTTTTAAAATTCAAGACCCACCTGAAGAAAAAATAACAGGAATGAACGGGAGTAAAGAAATATTTTATTTTATTTCTATATTTAATCTCAATTAATTTATATTTAACAAAAATTATGAAAAGTATTGATTTTTTTTTATAGATATAATGGCATAATATAATTAAAAGAATATTCTTTAATATCCTATTCTAAAATTTGTATAAATTACACCTCATCTTACAGCTATTGAGTTTATGGATAAAACATATATTTTTGAGCCATACTCGAAAAATTATCATGTAAAATAAAAAATAAAAAAAGTCTTGTTTTCTCCATTACTACAACATAATTTATTCACAATAAAAAAATAAAACAAAAGACATCATTTATTTTAATTCACAAAAATAAGTAACTATAAGTGAACAACAAATTATCCCAATATAATCTTGTAAAAATTAAAAATATCTGAATTAAAATGATGTTTCATGATAAAACTTAGTATACAAAGAAAAAAGTAAGTCAGATCAAAGAAAAAAAAGTTTTATTTTTCAACAACAATAACACTAAATTAATAATATATCACAGACTAATGTAAAATTCAATAATTACAAATTACTTATATCCAGTGAAAAGTAATTAATGGTAAAAATCAAATTGTTTTGTAAAAAAAAAAAAAAAAAATACTATCCTTAATTATTTAAATGTATAAACATATATAAAACAAAAATACTATCCTCAATTATTTAAATGTATAGACATTATATACGTATGTATAAATATAAACAATACATACAAGGTAGGACTGTGATTTTATTATTTATAAATCTTACCACCTCTAATTCAAATTTAGTGAGTTTTATTTTTTTTTTCTATGAATTCGAGCAGCAACTAAGAAATAAAAAATAACAAAATAACAAAAAATGAAATGTTATCTGCTACATATACCTCTGGATACTTTGGTATGTAATTTTTTGCAGCTTGGCTTCCAACAGAATCCCTTTTTAACAAAAAAAGAACATATTCTGTCATCGTCTGTAGGAAAATAATTGCCTGGAATCACTGAATCTTCACGAAAACCATTCAACACACTTTCATCATAAACTTCATTTGTTTCTTTACCAGTACTAGAACCTTAAAAAGAAATATTTTCATAACCGTTAAAAGAGAGATAATTAATAGGAGTGCACAATTCACTTAAAGCAATAGCAAATATCTAAAGTTATTATAAAATGTTATTATTTAAAAAATAAATGAATACATACACAGACATTTGACCAGTCAATTATCATTAAATATCAACTGTAATTCTAATGAGGAGTAATATTATATCTAATTATAGCTATATTTTTTCACCTATGTCAGGAGTTCTCAGACCCAACTAGGGGAGAAGGGAAGGACAGCCAGGTTTTCCAAAGGGGACCAGGCCTACAAGGTTTTGTTTTTTTAATTCTAAATTTATAATAATAAAATAATGTATAGAAAAATTAACATTTGTTATATAATAATATGTAATATCTTTACATATTTCTGTGGCCTATTTTCAGCACTTTAGTTGGGTTTTAGAGGTAAATTTGATATTTGATAATTTGACAGGAAAACTATCCCTAAGGCCATTGGTTTCTATACAATAGCCTTTGGAGTTTCCTCCCTTTTTTCAATTAGAACCACTTTTACTAATATTATGCTATCCCAGCTGACCCTGAACAGCCATAATCCATAGATCTACACTTATCAGTCACTATCCTCTAACCCTAGTGAGTTGGTGGGCAGGATGCTGCCAAATGGAACACAAAGGGGTCGATCATCAACCTATGCGTAGTCTGCTAGTCTCAATGAGGCCATGGTTTTCAGAAACATGAAATTGGATGACCCCTTCATTCAGGATGTTTGTAAAATAAATATCTTTAGGGTCACATTGCATGGTCAAAATAGTCCCAACAGGAAAAAAAAAAAAAAAAAAAATTAAGTACAAATTATTACCTGCAGGTATAGCTACATTTTCAATAGGTCTGAATTGAACCATTCCATTAGAAGAAAAAACGTCCGAAAAATTTGAGTTGGTGGATAATTTCTCAGCTACAAATGAATTATTGTCAAGCTTGAGAGGAACATTTGTACTAGCTCCTGTGATATCAGCATTCATTAAATGGGCTAATCTATTTCTAGGCTTATCCTTGGTAGAATTCTCTTCCAATGAAATATTTTTCATAAAACTAGAAATATCATCTGGGGCATTAGGTGAAAGCTGTTTTGTTTCATTGCGGATTTCTAAACTAGAAGGCACTGAACTACTTTGGGCAACATTTGAAACAAGGAAGGGGTCTAGGGCTTCATCCGAAAAATAATCAAGAACATGATCATGATCAGAAGGTAAATGTTTTAATTCTGGCAAGAGGCGTGAGATGATCCATTCACTGATATTTGTTTCCACTTCCAAAGCTTCATTAAATGCATACATTTCCACAACAAATAAAGGTGGAAGAGCCTGTATCTCTTCCACAATTCTAACAGTTAAACGACATTCTCGCAATGTATTTTGCAAAAGCCGGCCTATATCTTCATTCCATTTATCTTCGAACTTCTTGTCCTAAAAAGAGAAACAAGGTTAAATATCTGAGATCTTAAGAATTTATGTAAACATAAAACATTTAAATATAGAACTATTAATAAAATAAATCAATTATAAAGGAAATATGATAAAGTAATGAAGATGTGTTTATCTCATTTCATTTAGGATATGACAATACTATTTTTTGCCACCTGTGGAATGTTTGACAAAACTTAGCTCATTCAAGTCGAGAATGTTAAAAAATCATGCAAGAAAAATGTGGTCAAGGATTAAAAAAACAATCCTTTTCCTTAAAGATCAGGATATATTTGTTATCCAGATATATTTCTTTTTTTTTGGCTATGGAAAAAGACAAACTGAAGTGACTATAGGTAACAAAGTATGGCTCTTATGTAGAACACATGAAAATATATATATTATACCTGTTTCTAGAAGGATATAGTACAAAGAAAAGTTTAATACTTGTAATAATGGACAGAATCACTTTCAGAAGTGATAAATAAAAAATAAATAAAATAAAAAACCTGTACCGCTACAACTTGTGAAGGATCTTGGGTTCAGTATTATGTAAGAAATTACTGTTTCTTGGTCAACAGTTGTGCAAGGCGGTGATATGACCAAGATCAAACTTATATGCCAAATTTTCCCCTTAATTATTTAAGAGTATCCACTTTATAAATACTGAGTATACCTCAGAAGGATCTCTCAACAACAGGATCGAACCACAGCTGATAAAGCAAAATAAATAATTACCTGCCATCAGCTGGATTCAAACACGGGAGGAAAGAGGGAGGCCGTGAGCTTTGAAAGTCAGTGCCCTACCCACTGAGCTCCTCCGCTTCCCAGTAGTGTGATAAGACAATAAAATTCACACTCTTCTGTTTATTATTTTATTTGTTTATTTTCTTTACCTGCCAGTCATATGCATACAATCAAACCATTATATATCTATAACACCCTTTCCTATCTTTGTCAACATGGTTAAGGAACAATATAAAAAAAATCTGGTGCACGCAACACACAACTTTTACTTACCGCTCAACTTTGAATAGAAATTATTTTCTGGCCATGTTGGGCTATTATAAAATTTTTGGATTGTATTTTTAACTGAGCTAAAGTTAAAAAATTATAGCTAACAAATCATAAATACCATTAAAATAACAAAACTACTATTTATTAAATCACCTGTTGATATGGATTGCACGATCCGTTGATTATGGATTATGTGATTATTAGTTATTAAACTGTTATTTTCCATTGCAAAGTTTACTGAAACGGAATTAAGAGATTTCCATTTTCTATCATAGACAGGTCAAAATTGTCACAATAATTGTAAGTGGATATATTTGGAATATCACAAAAGAAAATTTCATCAAACTATTCACTAATTTAATTGTCTAAAAGGTTACTTGATCATTTTTTGCAAAAAACGGAGGATAGATACCTAATTATTTAAATGTAATATCAGATCTGGAGTTATTAAACTACAGTAAATATATTTAAGGTTATAAAAATATGCTTTATACATCCATGAACTGATTTTACATTTTACTTCTTCTTTCACACAAGTACAATGAAATAGTTTTTTAAACAATGTCATTGCCTTGGTTAGGTGGATTTTAAATACTTTTTTCAAACTTAAAGATATTTTAAAAGTTTACATTTAGTTAGTAAAATTCATTTAATTTCCTTGAAAACATGTGATTTACGTTAAATAAAATTAGTTTTCGAAATTATTTATATTTTTTTTGCCACTCTCCGTTACCTTCTACAACTTTTTATTTTAGATAATGTTTTTTCTAAAATTCTCAGCTTTCCAACGATATTTTATATGTATACCTTCTGACCGGTATTTCCGGAGATTTATTTTCGATCTGTATAAGCATTTTTATTTTTTCTCCTTTATTCAATTATTAAATTCTTTCAAAAGCTATATATAGCATTTTTTGCAAAATATTTCACATAGCTGCAAATTATTTCACAATGGTTTATTATTTCCATACAATTATACATCTAAAGTAACATTGCCTTCCTAGTTACAAAGAAAAATAAATAAAAGGTGATTCCAATTAATGGACTAAACTTTTTTTTTAATCATTAGAAATATGCTAAAAAAATTAGCATTACCTAAGTAACACATTCAAAATCCAAAAAACAGAAAAAGGATATAAACTTTTCAGCAGAACATGTTAAAAAAACTAGAGACCATATCTTTCCTCCTAATTGTCCGATTTTAATGATTTTTTTTTTTTTTAATTCCGTAAATATTTAAAAAACCATATGCAATATCGACAAAAATTGTATACTTTTTGAGTTAGTCGGAATTTAATTTACCATCCCTGGTAACTTTTTTTCCAGCTTCTTTTTGTTGAAGTATGTTATATAGATAAATTTAAAGGCTATCGAGAAAATGACTTTAGAGAAGATTCATTGAAATCGGTACATTCGTTTAGGCCCTACAGTTTATAGTAACGCAGGTTTTTCTGCATTTTTATTATTTTTTTTCTGCTTTATTAACTTATCAAATTCTTTCAAAAGTTATATTTACCATTTTTTTCGTAACTCTGAATCACGTGAAATGATTAACTTTTTAAAATAAACCATATTAAAGGTACTTTAGACAAAGACACATATGAACATTGGGGATTTAAGCCCTTTAAAGTGACATCAATTGGGATAAGACCTAATTGATATTAAAGACCACTTAATTATACAATGATAGACCGAGTTTAATCAAAATCATTAGAGCCGTTTTGAGAAAATTGTGTTTCAGCGTTGATATAAAGTGGCACTTCCGGTTAGCCGATTTTAAGGAAAAACTTGCTGTCACATCTAAGGCATATACCTATCTTAAATACGTAATATCAGTTTCGTACGACTTTTTGCTTTTGAACTAGACTGCTAACATACACAAACACACAGACCATTTTTCGAGACTTGGTCATTTCGACTCAGGGTACCTCAAAACGTGTATTTCCATTGAAAACTCAAGATTCAAAAATTTTCTCGATCGCAATACTTATCCTTACATATATTACATATATACATAAGTGAAAGTAAAAATAATGTCTACTTGATGAAGAAATTTTTATCATCCTTAAGAATTAATAATTATATAACAACAAATAAGTTACATATTTATAAAAGATAATAAAATAGATTAATTAATTAAAATAAGTAGCTATGATAAGAAAATTAGACTTGACCATATACCTTTGTCAAACAACACTGTATAGAATTAGCATGAATTTCACACAAGTCTTTAGTGATTTCAAAGCAAGCATCTAATTTTATAATTTTTATGTTGTATCTATCCACATTAATCACCTTAATCCTGAATTGAAAAAAAAAATATTTTGATATTTAATACATAATTTTGTTTTTAAATGGACAAAATTATAGCTAATTTTAATATCTATTATTTAATAAATAACTTTAGTAAACCTTGAAATAAGAACGAATTGCAATGTAACATTATTCAAGAACCTAAAATTAATTCATTCCAAATAACGAAAAGATCACTTCTTTTTACATTTACCTGGTGTTGCAGACCTCAATAATTACAGCTCTAAATATAACTTTTTTATCATAACAACAGATGAAATCACCAACTTTTGGGTTATGCAATTTTTTAAGCATATGTTTGGAATGCCTAAGTCTAAAACATAACAGATTATTTTTAATAAGAACATCGTTAGTCAAGAGGACAGAAGTAACTTTAATTTACTTACTCGAGTTTTTTATACAAACTATCAATTTCTGTTGAAGGGTTATAAGTAAGCCAAAATGACCAAGGGGAATTTCCATCAAGGTAAAACATTTCTAGCATTTCTTTTTTATTTGAATGCCACTGAATACTAGGCTTAAGAATATTTGATAAGTTGTTAACGTTTTTAATTAAAGTTCCATTGGCTTCATCAACAGATTTGCAGCTGGATGCAAGAACATTTACGGCAGTACACAAATCAACATATTCTACCTTTGATTCCTTTAGCTAAAAAAAAAAAATTAAATAAAAAAAAAATGGGGATACTATTTCACAACAAACTTTTATAATAAAAGTCTATAAACACTTGACAAGATGATTAAATTTATATTCCTTTTTTTTTTTTTTTTTTTTGATCACCAATAAAACTATGATATTCTGAGATAGTTAGGGGTAGGTAAAATATTATAACGAGAATGTTTATTTTATAGCTGTGGAATAATGAAACAGAACCCATCCTGAAACAAAAGTCTACATCCCCTTGTAAACCTCAAATTAAATAACGATCAGCATAATGTGAAAACAAATTTTAAGCCTAATTCCTATGGTTAATTAGAATAGAAGATAAAAGTATGAAACAAAAATACAAGTTATCATTGTTAACTCCAATTACTTTTTTTTATTGTTTTTTTTTTCTTAATAAAAGAGTTTGAAGAAGAAAGGAACTAAAGCAAAATTACTATAGTAGGGTGAGAAATCAATTTCATGAAGGTCTTACAGTGAATGTAATTACAATCAAGAGAAACAAGCCCTTCCAATGTTGAAACAGTAAATTAAAGATCATAAATTAACTAAACCAATTAATAAACCATCTAATAAATTTAGAAGTAGATTTTAAAAAAAAATTAGAATGCCACAAGTGGAATTATTTAAAATGCATTAGTTGTAATCCATAAAAAAGATTGGAACATTGTCTCAACAAGGGGAATTGCCTACTTGCATGAATTGTCAATTTTTATTTGTCTATGAAGATTTGGTTCTAACAATAAAAATGTAAAAAGTCCCAAATTTTTCTGCTGCATATTTCCACAGACAATCACCATGAAAAAAAAAGTGAAAGGGATGGAGTTGCATCATCAGGGTGAAGATACAGTTATGTCACCGTTTATCAGAACCTAGCTCTTACTGTTTATTATCTTATACTTTTTTTGCATAGAATAGTATTTCGTGTTTCATGACTTCTATCCAAAAAATTTCTTTCTATTTCCTTTAACCATTTATTTCAGAATGGTATAGTTTACTCTGGGTCCTCCTCCAGTCCTCACGACAACTCCAATACCCTCTATAATTTAAATTTTTTTTTATTATTATTTAAAAAGTACAAAATTATTCTTGCAGCTCAAATTAACACAATTTATTTTCAATATAAGAACCCAATTGATGTTCACCTGATACCAGCAAGAACAATGTTGAAGCAATATAGGTTTTCCCATTGGATGGCAAGGAGAAAGGCACATATTTCATTTAAAAATGAAAAGAAGTTATTGGAATTCACAAAATTTTCAAAGATAAATATTTCAACTAATATGAATGAGTATGCATTGATAATATTCATAAATTATAGAGAAAAAATAAAGATATGCTACAAACATCGAAGCATAGGGTCTATGAAATTTGTGATGGTGAGTAGAAGTATTGAGTCGGCTGAGATAGGGAATTTACACTATACATATGAAACTAAGGACAGTTTGCCTGTTTAGACATTTTAAAACTGCAAAAAAATTAATTAAAGAATCAATTCGATTTTCTAACGAGCCAAAGCATACAGCTGAATATCTAAAAGAATGGTTGCTCTAAAATGAACTCCAACAATTTCAGACTTCTTCCGTCACTTCATATTTCAAGATATAAAAATTCACAATAAAAATTATTTTAAATATATAACAGACACAATAGAACTAACAAAATAATAAAAATTTAGTTACATGACTTTTGATACTCTTTATTTTTGTGCTTTCTCAAACAGAGATAATTTATTATTACTAACCTATGAACCTATGAACTTTTTAAAATTAAAATGTTAGGTTATTACTAAATACACATGAAAAAGCTAGTGCTATAGATTTTAACATTTTTCCTGTTTTATTTTTGTTCCATTATTTCTTATCGAGTTTATTTTCAGATGAATATAAATATTAGGGTACTAGTTCATAAGAGTTCCTCATGAATTAAATGTGATTCGCAATCACTTCGGTCACACTTGTTGATGAAACGGCAAAAACAGTCGAATGCTGCCAAATTTTATATCAGCTCTTGTCCCAACCATAAAAATCCGCTTATTCCCAACATAGAACTTCCTTATTAATGAAATATTTATTAAAATTATTTATCTACAAATTTGTAAATTATTAATATTTTATCTATTACGATTACTTTTTCACAGCTGTATAATACATGTATAAGTTCGATTAAGGTTACATGAAGCAACCTAAATCTCAAATGTAAGTCGGCTCACACTGTATAACTGAAGTAAATTAAAGTTACTTCCATCCTTCTGACCAATGCTGTTAAGAGTATACAAGTACTTAAAAGGTGGGAAAGTTATTAGTTACTAACTCAAGAGATCAGTTGCCTTCTTGATTTTTGGATAAACCCGGATGCATTCCGCACTCCATGAACAAGTGTGACTGAAGTGATTGTGAACCATGCGGAACTCTTGTGATGTAGAATCAATATTTGTTTCTGACTATACATAAGATAAAAAGAATTGAAAGCAAAATTATCAAATTAATAAAAGATCAATGATGCTCATTTAACATAAGACAATCTGAAATAACAATGGCTGAATAGCACTGGAGATTATGTTGTCTACCAAAATAAATATCAATGGTAGACAATGAGTCTTATAACTCCATAAATCGGTTGAAACAATGAAATTCTAGTTTCAGAACTGTATAAAAAACGAGATTTTAAAAAATTTACCTATATGGAGTTAAGAGATTAACACTGCTATAATTCAACAAATCATTCTTATATAAAAAAAAAAAATAAAAATAACTTGGAATTATAATTCAATTGAATTAAAACTGATTTTAAAATAATATAAATGATACATCATCGAATAACTAAAATCCTAAGGATGATATTATCAATCAGAAACTAATAACAAAGATATTTTCCAATTAAACTAAGTATATTATTGAAGAACAATACTTTGATTAAAGATTGTTATCTTTCAGTTTGAATTATGCTGAACAGTTATACAAATATCTCATGTTTAAATTTAAATTTAAGAAATTAGTTGAACCTTGAAGGTTTATCTTACCTCAGATAATATACAATCAATAGGATGGAGCAAATCTTCTAAACATTTTATTTCTTCTTTGACAAAATCTCTAATTGTTTCCAATTGCTCATGTATATCCTCCATATTTTAAAGTGTCAAGCCAAACAAAATGATATAAACAATATGAAAATGCTAATTCTTGGCACAACAAAAAGGAGCCTCTACCCCAATATTCTTAATCTCGTTTAAGAAGGTATTACAAATTATAAACAATGTTTAGTAAACACTAGCTAAAAAATAAACATCTATCAAAAATGTAATCCAAATTTAGTTTTAAACCGGGATTAGATAAGACCAAAGAAGCAACAAAGAAATGAAAAGTTGAGTCAACATAATTCATGGTAATAATTTATCTAATATCGTTGTACCATTGTATATCACCATTGGCAAATTCAGCGCTGAGCTCATCAAAGACATTGGATCCTAACCTAGGAGATACGATGTCATCTGCGACCTATCTAATTTAACATACTTTTCAGATCTGCATTGTGCTAACAAATTGAATCAATATTACTAATTATAAATCATTATTTTTTTAAGGAATGGTGGATGATGGGCGAGGACCTTTAGGAACTTCTTAGATGCGTCCTCCTGCGCAAAATGCTTGTGGTATAGCACACCACAGCGTCATGTACTCTCGGGGACAAAGTTTATAGATTGTGCTTGGCTAGCGGCCACATATCCGAGGTGTGGCCAAGGAAGAAGGAAAGAATAGACCAGACCTGTGCTAATTGTTCTCGTGAAAGAGCTCCATCAAACCTGTCCAAAAACTGGGCGGGAGGCCGAAATTGTCCAGCAAACATCAAGAGGACCTAAGAGATCACGCGAAGAACCCAGTATGAATAGGATCTCCATTATTCAGCTCAGTATGTGACGACGGAATATTATAACAGATGATATCATGGCGGTTCAAGAACCGAGCTGCCGTGGGAGAAATGTGGTAGGATTTGGCCTCACATCGAGAGTTATTGCTCTAGGCATTGGAGAGAGGAGCCTAGTGCTGCAATAATAAGCACTAATCCAAAACCTCGATGTGATGAGTCCGGAGCAGTATACCGCGGTGGAGAGAGTAGTATGCTACATCAGATGGGGCAGCATAGCCTTCTCCCTTGCTTCGGTGCACTTACCCAACGGAAGTGATATAGAAGAGGGTATATCCGCCATGGAAGCGATCTCTGTAAGATATAAGAATGTGATAATCTGTTCTGACACCAACTCCTGGAGCACGGCCTGGGGTTCCAGTCGAATAGACCGAAGCAGTGGCAGACATGGTGAATTCATGACAAGAGGCCAACTGGTTGTGGTTAATGATCTGTCTGACACTCCAACGTTCTCTAGACTATGGTGGCAGAGTTGGATATATATTTCGTTAGCCTTCCCGACACTGATACGACACATTGTCGACTGGACCCGCTTATCGGAAACGAGCTCTGACCACAATGCAATCATATTTGACCTGTTATAGAATGCAAGATGCTCCCACAGACAGAGGATATGTGACCCGAAGAGAAGACTGGAGCTTCTTCCGGTCAGCGCTGAGGGAAAGAGGCCATCATCTGGGGGAAAGCTTGTGGATCCTTCCACTAGCTTTCCCCCAGTGCTTACCGGAAGAAGCTCCAGCCTTCTTTTCGGGTTAGTTAAATAAAATAATTAAAATTAAACAGTTATGTAGGTAGATATTTTTCATGGTTTGTAACCTTCCACTATAATATAGCAGATTTATCCTAATCTCAGCATGTATTGCTGCCCGTCCGTGCTTTATTCAATCCGTTGATGAATTCAATTAATGAAATTAACACTAAGTTTAGGAACTTACCCAAATATATCAAGTATGATCTGCTCGTATCTTGCAACAATCCTATTTGGAAACCGCCTAGCGTTTTCTCATGGAAGGGGTTCATTATATAAGACAGGATCTTTTATGCTACTGGGAGTAATATTGTTTCTTTGTAGAAATCACGCTCAGACATAGATCATTTCTTTAGCATTAGACATTGAATCATGTTTTCTGAATCTCTGGGATTTTCCTTTCTTTTTTTATTTTCCGAATGAGACCGCGCATTGTCATTACTTAGTGGTTATCGCCATTCTTAAATAATTCACTTGTTATGCTGTCGATTCCTGGAGTATTTCCTCTTTTCAATCGCTCGATGGCCCTCTACACATCAAGTAGATCGGGTTCATCTATTTCATCCTATGCTAAGTCTTCAGCTTGTTCCAAATCCATTTTTCATCCCATCGGCAGTTCGTTTTGATGAATTGTTTAGAATATGCCTTGAATATGTTTATCTCCATCATCGACAAATCATTTCACAAAGCATGGAAAACACAATTATCTGACTCAGGGGTTTCCAAAATACGCCCCGAAAGCGCTTTTCACTCGGCATGCGAAAGTATCATTGATTACATGGTAAAATTATAAAAAGTATGAAATTTAGTAAATCACTTGAACGCGAGGATACAACAACATTTATTGAGTGAATTGTTTCTCTTAGAAAGCTTGTTTCACAACTGAAAAGTTATAGAACAAAAATTTGTTTATCCCCAAAAGTGATGCGGCTCGCGGGACTAAGTAGAGCCCTCAATCTGGCCAGCAGTCCAAAAAGTTTGGTGATCCCTGATCTAACTTAACTAACAGGGACATTGTTGCATAATGAAACAATTTATTTTGTTTCTCTTGATACCAACAGAAAATAAAAAATATAAAACACAAGAAACAATAATACTGTCGTAGTGAAATAACTATTTATTTATTTGTTTATTTAATAGTTTGTGAAATGTGTAAGGACCTTCAAAAAGATATAAATTGTTTTCTTCCTCCAATCGTTTACTCTTTGGTTCCCGCGTTTTCAGAAAAAAACAATTTCATGTTTTTAATATGGTTTGAATGTATGGTGAATTAAATTTTCTTAAGAATTTTAGTTTATGTATATGATATACGCTGTATAAGTTATATATCTTACTATAACTTTCGGTTTTTATATTAAATTATTAATATGGTAATGGAAATAGATTTAGTGTCTACCATAAAAGAAGTTATTGGGGACTCAGCAGTCAAAGTTTCTATCAGAAAAGTTCCCTCTTATATTACATGCTTTGTCCCAGAAGATCGTGATGTAGTTTTAATACACAGAATGGTAAAACCTTATCACTTTTATGTTAATTGTTTTCTTCTTCATCAATAAATCTTCCTGTGAAATGTTTATAGTGTTCAAAAGTAAAGGAGGTACAGCAACTTCATGAACGCTATGGTAGTGACATTTCAGGTATGTTATTCTCTGCAAATTTGAGTCATTAATATTCTCCTTGAATTCAAGAATTTGATTCCTTTTAATACATAGTAACTAAACCTTATACCACTATAGATGCTGATATAACTGGTCAGCCTTTAGAAGCTCCCTACTCAGATATAGATAATGATACCTTGGGATTATTTAACACATTTGATGATGTATTTATTGAAAGAAATGAGGAAGATGATCATTTACCACTACCCCTGTGTGATGCTAGGTTCTGTTTCTTTTCTATTTATCTTGAATTAATTTTTTTATTTATTATTATATTATAATATATTGTAATAAATATTTGTCTATTATTTATTATAATATATTGTAATAAATATTTGTCTATTATTTATTATAATATATTAATATTAATTTATATATCAATGTTATTTATTTTTTTTAGGTCTATTTTGAGTCATTGTCGACTTAATGTGAATTCTCCCCTACCTATATGGATACTAACGGATGGTAGTGATTTAAAAAAAACAGTCTTATTATCTAGTGAAAGTGATGGTGAATTTATCTCTAGAAGTTGGGCTTGGGACCATGGTTGCTCATCTGATATAACTCTTGATTCATTATTAGCGAAGCATGTTCAGTTTTCTAACAAACCGTTACACCAGGTTTATTTTGAATTATTTCTGTTACCTTGATATTTATGATGATTTATATGCTATCATGTTTTTAATATTTGAGGTTCTATTTATGGATTGTACCATTTTTATTAAACTAGATACAATAGAATTCATTTAAATTGATATGTCATAATGTTAGGATAAAAAAAAGTATATATATGATAAGATAAGATAAGAGTTTGTAGATTTAAATTGATGTTAGATTTGTGTGTGAAAAATGATGCAAAAAGCTTCTCGATGTCTGTTCCTAATAAGGTTTCCATTAATGAAGATATTAGTGTGTGGTAAAAGGAGGTGAATAATCCAATTATCTACCTGGTTGATGAGCTGAGTTATTTCAAATTAAACTTTTTAGTATTTTTCTTTTCACCTCTCTGACTTCTTCATTTATTCTTTTTTTTCAAATGATTTAATTATTCTTTAAGTTTTAAACAATTATTCTGCAGTCATGTAAATTTTCTTTGTAGTATTAAATGATTAAAGTTGTTTTATAATTTTTATCGGACACATAATTACATTTATTTTAAGGTCAATGATTATTTTAAATTTACAAAATTAGTTTATTTGGGGATCAAATGAGCAAATGCTCTAAAAAAAGAAGTAGATGGAATTTTTCTAATTGATGTAAGTACTTCTAGGTGCCAACTTGTACTTTTTCTTAACATTTTATTAACCAGTAGGTTTTATGCCTTTCACATGGATTTGACTTCAGGTAAACACAGAATCTAATTCGTTCCTCAAAGTCTTCGACATAAAACGTGAATAGAAATTTTTGATTCTGAGAAATAAAATTGTATTCAATTCTTGCAATTTATGCAATTTATTTATTCCTTTACCTTCTGTAGCAAGAAATCAAAATTGTTAATGGAACTACTTTGTAATATAATTTAAAAGTTTTTACATTTATCTTACTTCTACAACTCAATAAGAATTTTTGTAATAATATATAATGTTCCATAAAATCTGAATCATATTTAACTTTTTCAATACAATTGTGCTATCAGATCAATAAATTTTCAGGCCACCTGTCATGTGAAATGTTCTTTTGATGTTTGTAAAGTATTAACTGAAGATTCCTCATCCATTCAGTCGTCTACTACTCTCCATGCTTCCTGGACTAAATTAAGTTTAGAGCCTCCTCTTCTTCATAGATCTACTGAAATAAAACTTGTAAGTGAATTTTTAAATTTTTTATTTATTTATTTTTTATTATTTATTTATAGTTTTTATAATAAAAATCCTTCAGCACATTGGACAGAACTTAGACGACCAGGTTTACACGAGACAGTTTAGCAAATTCTATTGGTTACTTCAGTCGCTGTGAGGAGTATAAGTAGATTTTTCGATTTGTAATCATATATTTCCATTCATTTACTGTCAAATATATACCAAGAGAGCTGTGCATTTGACACATATGATGCTCAACCTCTCCCCTTAACGAGTTTATCCAATTTAATACAATATAACAATTAATATATAATTATAGTTTAATATATCCTATCGTTGGAAGAATTAGTAATTTGAATTTTGTAATAAACTTTTAAGAAGTAATATACTTATATAAAAATGAATTGAAGTGTTGACATAATTTTTACAACTTATTACCAAATTAATATCAATTATTAATATTTATTTAGTAATAGTTATGTGTTAATAATGTTCCATTATTTATATATTTATTTTATTTTATTTATTTTTTTCAATAATATTAATACACAAATTAAAATAATATGAAAATAGACTTACTATTAAATTATAATTACAGGAGTAAAAGGTAAAATATTATATAGTTTAATCCACTTTTTGATTTAAACACAATTTGAAGGGTAAGGCTGGAGAACAAATTGACTACTAGCTTCAAGTTGTTAATACTTGTCATTAAGACAATTGGAGTTCAATCTAATAACTGCTTTGTGTGAAAATTATCAAAATATTTTTTTAATAATTAATCAGAATAATTTGTGTAAAAATAATTATAGCTCAAGCCAATCTAATTTATGATTGGTGAATTTATTAGATTTTATAACAGAAATCTTGAATTACTTACTTTCATAGTACAAGAAATCAGAGTAATCTTGTATCTTGATGATGATTGCTTTTTATTTATTGTAGAATTTTTTTTTCAGCATACTCGTGTGAGAATCGGTCATGGTAGAAAGGGATTACTTTTTATTTGGAGACAGATATCTTTGTTGAATGAATACATAGACCTCTTGTCTAAGTTAGCATCTGATAACCTATATGCAGTTCCTGTTTTGAATTTACCTTCTAGCAAAAGTGTTTTGGTAATATGTTTATCATATTTGTTTTAAGTTATGTTAAATTATGCAATTTCAATTAGGAAATATTGTATTATTCATTATAAAATTAGTTATAATGTCTAATTCTGTCCAAATTACAGTTTTAAAAAATGTATAAAAACTTGTAATATATTTGCAGGATTGTTTGGGTACTGCTGCTGATGTTTCAACACTTCATTCTCGCATTCACAAAATTTTGAAAGAACCTATTAAAGGATTTAATTCTGTTAATTGTGATAAAAAATTGGAACAGGTTATTGAACAGTATTCTTTGAAGGATAAACCAGGAACTGATCTTACGGATCGATTATGGTTACTTTTTATTGGTGAGAAAAATATTGCTCTTTTATCATTGCTTATATATGTAAAGTATTTCATTTTTAATATATATTGCCATGTAAAATTTAATATTATCTTAATATTTCAATTTTAAAATTTTAAAATCCTTCCTTTGATTGTTGATTTATTTATTTAAAATATGGAAAATGTGAGGAAAACTAAAAAATAAATCTGGTCTGTCCGCTTACTCAACTTTCCTACCAATTTCTTTAAAATTAAACCACTATAAATTAGTCATTTAAAAAAATAAATTAAAAAAAAATCATGCATTTAAAATCAGTGTATAAAATTCGATACGCTGAAACTGTTATTTCTGGTCCAATTTGGATTTTTTTTTTGTTTTATACAGATTTGTAGGAAATTTAATTACCTTTCAAAAAATGAAATAAAAGAATATTTTTTCAGACTCAGGTGGTTCTGAAACAAAGATCTACAGAAAACAGCACATCGCATAGTTTATCCTATTACAATTTGTTGATCTTTTCTGTTGCAAGCAGTAATAGGAAAGTAATGAATCCTGTATGGAAAATCAAATAGCCTATATTATTGCTAATATTTTATTATTTTGTAGAGAATTTATACCTTATAGAATATATAAAGTTTACCTTAAAATGTTTACTTTCAGAGTTCCAACTTATGTCCAAATAATATTTTTGTTCATTACTTTTTTGTCTTATTTGCCTTTTGCTGCTGTAATTATTATAGTTATAAACTTCTCCGTTAGACTTTTAGAATATCTAGGGTCTCCTTTTTCTATTTAACACTTTAAAATTGAAAAATATTCAGTTACGCAGGCATAATCACCATTTAAAAAAAACATCTTTTGCACTAGTAGTGGACACACCGACATTCAATTGTTCTATTAATGGACAGGGGGTCGGTACCAGTAATGGACATAGCTCAGAAAAATTCTATAATCTTTACTTAACTATAATGATAACGATAAAGATAAGATAATATAAATGTTCAACTTAGTTTTAGCAAAATTGTTAGTAGGAAGATATGAAACACATTAATCTCAAGAGCTCTATAAAAAAAACAATTATAGACATTCTAAAATTTTCATTTGGGAACTTTGTTCATACAGTTGTCAATAGAAGGCATTGCTCTTGAATATAGAAAAACCTGGAACCTTCAAATCAACAAGGAAGCTTATTATTAATATTTAAAGTCCAACCTGTCCATCACTGGCCCTCTGTTCATAACAGGCGCTTTCACTGTAATTAGGTTGTGTTTTATAGTTCCAAAGTTGTTTTAATATAAAGTGTAATTTTACTAAAGTTCTTTTACCCTTCAAAAATTACTGACTGAAAAAAGTGCCTTGCCTGGATGTGTGTAACTCTGTTTGTAAGTACTGACCGTTCATTGATAGAATTTTTTTGAACACATAATTATTTTCTAGTATACCATCCAACATAAAATTTAAATATTATATTATGTTTTAGAATGTTCTACATATCAAGAACTATCAGGGTGTATAAAAGAACTTTTTATTGAATTAAATAAGAAAAATGGACCAGTTCCATTTGTAAGTATAGTTAGTCATATTTATATAATGGTTAATTGATTGATAATGTGGTATCCTTAAAAAAATTACCTCTAAAATGTAGTTGATATAAATAATGTGGTATTTTTTTTTTAATGTTGTATTTCATATTATAATAAGATCTTGCCATAAGCTTAATGCTGGCTGCAACGGACTGCAGGGCAAGTGTAGCAGCGGGAAGTGGAGGCAAAGGCCAATCGGACACAGAGGGGTAGAACCTAGTTCAAAGCTATCTCTGCAAATTGAATCCAGTTTCCGATGGACATGATTAGCTACTGCTGCACAACCTCGAGTCTGAACCCGATGATTAAAACAATGTACAATGTTTGCTTTCAGTATAATTTAATAAATAAAAGAGGTGGTCTCAGGAATTTCTGAGAAACTCATGGCACTTTTACTGTTTAAAAAGCGATTCTGGATAATATATTCGAAGAAACTGCTATTACTTTTTTCCATATTAGCTATTTCCTCCTCTATCTGGTATTTATTTCGTGTTCTCATATAAAGCGGGTGACTGGTGTCGTACAAAACTGGATTATTTTGTACTAAAGATATAAGATTTTCCATTTCAGAAATTTTGTAGAAAGGTACACAATAGGAGCTAGAGGACATAGGAAACTGTGTTATTAATACAGTTAATAGGAATGAGCGGTTCACATAGTGCCCTATGCCTCTGCTGCCTCCCTGCTACGCATGCTCAGCACTCAATTTGTAACCAAACCAATAAAATCCATATGTTAGCATTCAGTTTGTATTTTATCTTTTCTTTGCTGTATATTTAGTCTGATAGTTTGTTTAAAATTTCTTCGTGTAGTATGTCTTTCAAATGTGCATTTATTAAAATTTTACTTCCTCAACTATATGAGGTCAAAAGCTTTTTTCTTTTTTACTCAGATAATTTATAAAGGAAGGAGATGGTCCTGGGTGGCGGTCATAAATAGGCTAAATAGTGGCAAAGCTATTTAGCCTATTTATGACCGCCACCCCGGACCATCTCCTTCCTTATAATACAACGGTCAACTATTGAATATTCAGATAATTTATATTCTCAAGAACCACTGATTCAAAAATATTTTTGAAAAATGTCATTTTCAAGGCTTTGATCAAATTACTCTGAGTCTATGTGCAATGAATTGTGTTAGCTTGAGTAAAAAGCAACCTTAAGCCACTTTTACAAATTTCTTTTGTTTTAATACTTTTTTATACTTTTCTAAAAAAAAATAATGATAGACTCTTTTTACAACCTTTTCTAGTTAGTGTGTATCAAATTTTGCAAGATAATGACACAATCAGATCATAAAATACTTAAATGCTGATCTGCTGGACATGATGATGGTTATTGTATGCTAAGGTGAATTTATTGTTGTCTTGGTGAAGGTCTGGATCAGGCTTTTTAAATCACAGGCACTTTCATAGTTGAGTATAATTATATTTTTTTTTTTCTTACAGTTGAATTCTTCAAACATATCTCGCCTTGGAAGTGTTCTGCAGCGAGAAGGAGGTATTCATGATCCTCTCGAATGTTTGGTAGAGATTGGATTGGAAAAATTGAAGAAAGAAATGCTGTTGATATTCTCAAAGGCACAAATTGCTGCTGGATATAATCTTAATGTCCCTAACCTACCCAAGTATTTGTTTGTTTTTTCAATATTTAATGCATTTATATAGAAATATTTTTTGTTTCACATGTCGATCCAATGCTAAAATGGAGTTTCTATAAATTTTGTGTTTGTAATTTTCTGTAGGACATTTTTTAATCCTAGACCAGGCACACTTATTTGAGTCACGTATGACTTTGTCAACACTACAGTTTTCTTTGACTTATGATTATATACCCACTCTTAACCTGAACTATTATACATTAACACCAATTTTAATTATTTTTAATGGTATTAGGGATATTATAATGTACATTTAATTATAATTTTTTATTTTATATTACAAAAATTGCCTATAGAAGATTAATAATTATAAAAGAAGTTAATATATATAAGATAATTATTATGTATAAGATCCAGAGCCCCCATATCACCTGATTAACAATGGTGGCTCTGGATAACACATTTGATGAAATGTATAAAATAAAACGAAAGAGCACACATGGAAATTTATATAAATGAATTGCAAGGATGGTTCTGATGATGAGAATATGGATCCCAAAATGTCAACTATAAGTAAAATGTAACAAATACAAAATTTGTTTGCATTCATGGAAGTTTTTATTGCCAAACTCTGCCAAAAATCCAGCCTGGATGGGTTTATTTTATAAGTTTATTTTTTGGCAAACCCACGGAATAAATCTTGACCTTTCACTCTGTTTAGAATAGGTTGGTTACATGTAGGATAATCCAAGTTTTGCAGAAATGACCAGATAGGGGGTGAAAAAAATGTCTAAGCACGGCTGACCTTAGTATTCTGAAATTAGATGCATTTCTATAGAAAGAAAAACATAACTAAATGTAATAATGCGATTTAGGATTACCCCATAAAATAAACATGCTGATGTTACTTTTTTTTTTTTATAAAGACATTTATTAAAAAAAAAATGTGTAACAAAACTTAAGAACATTTAACATATTATTAGTATTATTTCATTACATTATTTTCACTTTCTTACCGCTAGATCAAATTTTAATGTAGTTTTAAAATATTACTAGGACAAATGTTTGCTATACCTTTTAACAAACTTTTATGTTTAAGAGCACTTTTTTTTTGTTTTGTTCAGTTTTGGCCCTCAATGTCTTTGTACCAAATCTTGGCACCTTGTGCAATTACAAAGATTTTATTTTGTGTAGACTCTTGTGCCATAACATCTTTTATAAATTTTTATATATCTTACCTAATGTCTTTGTGTTAATCACCTTTAAGTTTTTTTATATGTACTACATTCTTGACACAAAAAAATACAGTATATATAATATATATCTTTTTACGCTATTATTTAAAAGTTTAATTAAATTCCATTCCCTACCTTTCCTTTGTACCCATATTTTTTTAAAAAGTGTTTAGTATTTTTTGCATTTTCCATTGAAAACTCTTTCACTTTCCTTTTTTAGTTTCTTGAATAAGTGGAATGCTTAACATTTTCAAAATTCCAGATATTTTCTTGAGAGAATATTAAATTGTCAAAAAAAAAACTTTTAAGTAAAAAAATATATTTAAAAAATAAACAAATAAAATCTTAGTCAGACCAATACTAAGGAAGGTGCAAGAAACATTTTTTTTATTACTCTTTTTATCTTTAACAGTAAGACCTTTATTTCAGTTTAGTAATCATGACTCAGTGTTAAAAGAATCATTTGAAAATGCAATAAAAATTAGTATAAGATGGACTAAAACCTTAATTATTCATCAGAAAATGCCTTTAGCTTTGAAAATATAATCATGATGATATAAAAGAAATCTGTAAGTAATCATGTCTTGTTTTGGTTGTTTACAGTTTTAGTGAAGTTTCCAGTTCCGATTGGTTGCCTTTCACAAAAAAGTGGCATACTTGGTTATGTCAAGTCCACTGTGCTGTAGAAATTCTATGCAATATTCAAGAAGCTTTGGCACTACCTAATAATGGAATGTTTTCTATAGCAGCTAATATACTGAAAGTATACACTGGAAAAGAGTCTCCAGTTCAAAACTATTCAGGCATCATTGAAAATCCAGTAATGGAAATAAATACAATAATTCCTGTCAAAAGTGTTGAAAAAGATGTAACAAACAAGTATGTTGGACATTTTAATCATGACTAATATTACATTTTATTTATACTGAATAGGTTTTAGTAATGAATTTCAGTTAATAAAAACTACTTTTTCAGGTATAAACTTAATTTTATTTTTTAAATAAATAAATATGTAATTTAAATATTTTAGGTCTCCAGAAGAATGGGTATTGACCCTTACAACTTCGACAGATATTCAAAAATTCCAAAGTGTTTTCTACAGAACTATGAAGAATCCATTCCCTTGTTTGGAAAGTGATTTAATTGATGATGATTGTGATACAACTTCTACTACTTTTTCTCGTTGGTTTGAATTTCATTCTATATCTGAAATGTTTTGTGTTTAGTTTCAAATTTTTTATTTGTAAATCCGAAAATTTTATTGTAAATAAACTTTGATTAACTCTAGTTACAGTTAATTAATTTTATTAGATCTTATATGTTATAAATGTAAATATTATACATTTTGGACATTTTATTTATTTTATGCACTCTGAAATAGTTTAATTTTCATTTTCATGTGCTTTTTCATTGTATTTTTAAATTTAAGATGTAATATTTATATATATATATATATATATATATATATATATATATATATATATATATATATATATATATATATATAAAGTGAATAGATGTCTTTACAAGTAATTAATCACTGAAAATTGTTATTGTTTTTGTTCGTTTGTTATAATTGTTTTTCAATTTATTCATAACAACAAAACAACAAAATATATCTCTTCCTGGTTATGGTTTTTTTTATGCATTTATTGTAATCTAAAATGACAATGTGAGTTAAAATTTTGTTCAGAGCTGCTTGTTACCTAATTAATTGTTGAGCACCTAATTACCACTTTTTTCTTCTAAGAAATATGGAATCATACTAATTTATTTCTTTTCCAGGATTATTCAGGATGTATTGGTTCAATGTCTTTTATTTTATAGATTCTTTAATTTGTTTAATTTTATGTAGGTTATAAATCAGCTAATTATTTTGAAACAGAAAGAGTGAATATTGCATTATTGTTTAATAAATTAGAAGATCCATATAATTCAATTTATATTAAGACTGTTTCAATATTGTTTATGAAATAAATAGCAAGCTTTTAAGAGTATACTGGCAAGAATTTTTACTTTAAAAAACTACAATCCTAATCCTAACTTTTTAAAAACAAGTTTCCCTCTATTATAAATGATTTGTATATGCATTTCCAGAAACATATCAAATCTTGTGGTAATAACAGTAATGAAAAAATTGTTCGATATTTTTCATTATACACAGAAAAAATTGGGTTAATTTTAAGTAGTGGCCCAAAAAATTCATTATTTACAATATTTATGTAAGTATCTCCATTTGTGGTCTGTAAAATCTCAATCTATAACGACATCTTTTTCTTTCATATATATACATACTTTATATCATATAAAGTTATTGGACATTACTTTTCAATAGATTAAATTTTGTTTTTCAAATTTATTGTTTCATTAATTTATTAGCATTATCCATTTCTAAAATAATGTTATTAGTCTTTATGCATAATATTCTAATATTTTCGGACACCTTTCTGGGGGGATAATTACCTTACATGAAATGAAAAAGATTTAGGTAGAGGGGTTGAACATGATCCTATTAAAGGAAGCCATGCTGTAGATAGGGTTCCACCTCCAGAGAAATAGTTACCTAACCCAGTCTTCTTCTGTGAAAAACAATGGTAATAACACAATTTTAGCATATCGCTTTTTCCTTTGATTTTTTTTTTTAAACCTATTTCATATTTATTTAACCTATATCGATCAATTAGTAGTGATTAGTATCCTTTGAAATACTGACAGATTTTTTTTTCTTTAAATTTTATTTATATTTGTATATATCATGATTTTATTTATTTAGCATTGATATTATATTATTGAAGTAATATACATTCATCATATGCATCCTTGTGATAATTACATCATTCTGGTATTATTAATTTAGTTTTAGGTTTTATTTATAAAAAAAAAAAAAATGTATTATATCATTTTTTCATTATGTTATAATTACATAAATATAATTAATACTATTCTTAATATAATATTGTATTTAGATTCTCAATAACGAATCCAATGAACTAAAATTTATTTGTTTCGTACAAGTATTTTTAATTGAGAAAATTTATTTAATTTTTATTTTAAAGTTTGTTTTACTAATTATTTTTCCATGAAAATAGGCGTAAATGAAAAAAAAAAATCCTGTCAAATAAATTTATTGATTATGTCTGATTAGAAAAGTATTTGTACTTACTATATCTTGCACTAATGTCTGGATTCTTGTATTGCAAAAAATGTGCTTTTATTAAATTAATACATAATTAATGGCTTCCAATAGCAATTAGAATTCCATTCTTAAAACAATATTAGATCTAGCTGTAAACGTGAGAGTATCTAGATCTGTAGTAATTAAGTCCCCTTATTAGTAGTGTTAAAGGTCAGATCCTGGTATCTTTCACTGTATTTCATTCAAGATGTGACTTCCTAATAGTAAATAATTTCTTTTTCCTAGGTAAAATATTTTGATGTTATATGTGATATATTATTTAACTGTTTTTGTTCTTTTTAACCCTAACTGTAATAATTAAAATTTATTTAAAATAAAGAATTTAAATTGTATTGATTGTTGATTCAACAAGTAGCAGCTGCTTCAAAACATAATGAGATTAATTAAAAACAAAAAAACTATATTAACTATTTGTAATAAATAAACATGAGTCATTTTAGAAAACCATTTTTAGCTAATAGTTAGAAAAATAGTTGGAAAAAAATTTCAATTGATAAAAAGTTTCTAAATTAAGAAGTACATTATTCAGCTCCAAAAGGTCCTTTCTGACCCAATCTCACTAGTGCTGTATTCTGTAGGTCGACTTCCAAACTGTTTATTGCTTAATCTCTCTATTATATAAACAAAGTTTTGAGTGACTCATATTTTATTTTAGTATAAGGAGATTAGGAGATAACAGGAGCTCTACTTATTCGTCGATTATTTTACAACTATATAGCTGTTTGTTTAATCACATACGAGTTGAGCTCCTGTTGTCCTCTTACCCTCTACTCTCCTAATACAAAATAAAGATTTTAGACTAAAAGTTTGTACCGGAAATAGTATATTCATCTGGCAGTGGTAGTTTTATTTTACCTAGGTGACAGCAGTTATATTTCAATTTAGACATTATTACTACGAAATAGAATATGAAGCACAATATAACACAATGAAAATATTATAAATAAAAAGATCAAATTATTGTTAGCCTTACATGAAAAGCAGGACAAGTTAAATATACATTATGGTTGCAAATTGACAATAAGAATAATTATAATTATATAATAATATAAATTGGCAATAAGGCGCGATGTATAGTATAGATTTTTAAAGAAATTAAAAATTTGTCCGAACAGTGGTTTCATTAAGTTTATTTTATGTTGGCAAAAAATAATACAATCTGAACTACAGAATACATGTTTATTAAAATCATACAATTTGAGCATCTAACAGTACAATTAAATGAACAGTTGTATAATTTGTAAAATGGGGGCTGGTCGCCATTTGGTGGGATACCCTCCCTAGTATAATATAATAATAATTTGGTCAAGGCAAAACTTTTTTTTCTTATCCTTGAAAACTTTAAAGAAATGTCAGTTCAAACCTTTTTAGTAGTAGCTCTTTGATCAATAAACATATTTTTTCAGTAACAAATAATTTTATTGCTTTACCGATATTCAATCATAAATAAAAAGTATTCATTTTGTATTTTGTTTGTATGCCTTTTGAATATAATTATTAATTATATTAATGCTTCTAGAGCTTATGAAAATGTATTAATTCATGAATGATAATTAAAATGTAATACATGCTAATACCAAAACATCAAATATGTCTTTGTGCCTCATATACCTTTGTTACACAAATAGTTATACAAGACAATCTGCTAGTCATTACAAACACTGTTTAGTTTTAATACGTAATTTTCATATGTATAATATAACTGCAATGTAAAAATGATACAATTGTAGTACATCTTAATAACAATAACAAAAAATATGCTATTGTTATTTAAATAGTTATATAAGACAATTTGCTAGCTATTACATTGTTAGCAGGTCAAAGAAAAAATATATATGACTGAGTATCTGCTTGCCATTAAAAACGCTATTAAGTTGTAATACATGCTACAAAATAATAACATTAAATATGCATTCATGTCCCATATGTTATAGTTGTACAAGACAGTCTGTTTGCCATTAAAAAGTCGAAGAAAAAAAGTATAATGAATGAGTATTGGTGTGTATTCTACATCAATACTTTTTTTTATCATTGACAGATTTTACTGATTGATGATCCAAAGATACTTCCAGAAAATAATTTTAAAATGTTTGGTTATTGTTAATAACAAGTTTTATGTATTATCAAATTCTGATGGAATACTTATTTGGTATTACTCTTCATTTTCAGCCAGACAAAATGTTGATTTTAATTAATTAAAGGTAAAAAAAAAAGAAGAGAAGAATGTGTTGTTTCTTGACCACTGGAAAGTCGACATGTTGTTTTAGGCATCTCCTGCATAATTACCCAGCAGAGGACTATTGGATCTATGAAATCACGACTCTAGATTTATCCTCTTCTGCTGATTGAATTATATGAGCCTAGGATTTAAAGAGTTCAATGCCCTACCTGCTTAGTTATAATTTGACTTTAATTATAATTGTAAACTATTTAAATATTAATAAACAAGTAAATTAATTGGTACAGATGTCTTAATTTATTCTACAACATCAAATAATAATATGAGAAGTTTAATTATCTTATGTCAAAATATCTAATTTTTAGCTCAAATTTCTTAAACTTGAAGTGTAAAAGAATATTTTCAGTAAGGAAGAAATCAGTAGTAGGCAACAGAGTTCACTGACAGACAGAATAGATCTAAATACTAGTTAAATTTCCTTTTTAATTTCATCCTTAAAATTAAATTATTATATCCTGCTTTTAATTTCATTGCAAGCTTATTTTAGGATATTTTAAAGAAAATTACAAGAACAATTTTTATCGATGATAACTAGGGGGTTTGTGGTTGATTTTTCTAAATAATTTATATATTGTAATTATTTTAATATTTTTATCAATATGTTGTTATAATTATCATTTTTTTCTCCAGAAATTAGAATGTTTCCTCCATGCTGGTTATGTAATAATGGTTGCGAGTATTTTGGTGATGCTTTGGATTGCTTACTCTTCAGCTGCAATCTGCCAGTTCGATGCACAATGTACATGCACATCTTCGTATCCTAATTGGGGCCAAGTTCAGTGTCACAATGCTATCGTCCATCTTTCGCCATTCAACACCACTAAACTGTTTACTCTATCGTTAATCAATAATAGATTGGATTACCTACCACCTAGGTTTCTTCAAGGAACAGGTAGGTGACTTATTTATTTTTTAAAAATTCTTTTATTAATTGATTACTCATGGGAATTATGATTTTCAGGACTTTATAAACTAATATTGGAAAATAATCCAATATATTCCTTACATGAAGAAAGTCTTGCTGGATTGGAAAGGTCATTATGGGAACTACATATTGCAGATTGCAAGCTTTCCAGTATTCCGGGAAATGCAGTGAGGCATCTATACAGATTAAGAACTCTAAATCTTGAAGGTTAGAAGAAATTTTATTTGTTGCCTAATTTATAATTAACTTGTTCAGTTGTTTGTACTAGCATTCAGAGGAGAAGTTGTTTTATAATATTTATTTTTATTGATATATTTCTATAGAAGCAACTTAGCTATGCTATCACAGTAGTCTGTTGATTACTTATTTTGGATTACGCTAATAACATTATAAAAATGGTGTTTAAATTCAATTAAATCAATTATTTTCATCACAATCATTATGCAATTAAATTTTAAATTAATAAGTCAATAGCCCCATTCCAAAAGCAGTTAAAGCAAAAAATAAAAATATTCAGGAGGAACTTTTATGAATGAATTTTATGAACTTCTGATTTTTTGTTCAATTTTTATTTTATGTTTAATACAAAGATGAAATGCTTTGAGCAAGTTTTTTTGTTTTTGCTTCTGATTATACATGAGGACTAGAAAAGTTCAAATCCATATTTTCTAATAAACATATTCATTACAGACTTTTGCTGCATGGCTCTCGAAATGCATTGTTAAAATGTATATTTAATACATTAAGTAGTGTAAAATATATATTTAACAATAGTGTCCATGTTTTTCTTTATTTTAATAAAGTTATAATATCTTTATTTTTATTAAATATATAATATCTTTATTTTTATTAAATATAATTTTAATACATTAAATAGTGTAAAATATATATTTAACAATAGTGTCCATGTTTTTCTTTATATCTTTATTTTAGCTTTAAGATTTTAATCAAATCCTATTTTGACTATCTTTTTCTTTTCAGGGAATGAAATATCCAATATTAATACAGAACAATTACGAGGTGTCTCAGCATCCCTACAAACATTGATCTTATCTAACAACAAACTTACAGTCTTACCATCAGGAATATTTTCTGGTTTGCAGTCCCTAGAAGTTTTAGATTTAAGAGGCAACTCAATTTCCTCATTAGATCCTGCAGTATTTACACCAGCCCCACCCAAATTGAGGGAGCTCAACTTAGCAGATAATTTATTTGATAACATCCCCTATAAGCAGTTGGCAAATATAAGGTTTCTATAATTACATTTATATTTACATTGATATATATATATATATATATATATATAAAACAATTGATGTATTTTTTAACATTTTTGTAATTATCTTTATTTTATTATTTTTTTTTTTTTTAGATCTTTGCATGTTCTTAATTTAAATCATAACCATGTTAGTAAAGTTGACCAAGGGATAACTGGAATAAAATTAAATTTGGATTCACTTTTACTCGAATACAATGAAATTACGGAATTGGGTTCAAATGCGATGGCTAATTTTGATGTAGCTAATAGAACTTCATTTAAAGCTAACCCTTTAAAAATTATTGAGGTATATTTTTTAGATAAAATTTATCAGACATAGTTGAAAATTCCTACTTCGTCTTACTTAAACTTTATTTTTTCAGGATAATGCATTTTTAGGATGCAAAATTCAGGATTTGGACCTTTCCCAGTGCCAACTACAAGATATTGATCCCGAAGCCTTTAATGGCCTTGAAAATACTTTGCAGAGTTTAGATCTTTCTGATAATAATGTGGCAAATGTTTCATATTTTTCCTTCAACGTATGTTTAATTTTTTGTTAAATTTATTGAACACAATAGAATTGTTTCTAACTAAAAGGCATTTAATAAACTCTTAAATGAAATTGATTTATCATGAATTACTTATATTCCATATATTGAACATTACTTTAATGTCCAAGATAAAAAGCTAATCATTTAGATGTATTTAACTGACTGTACAGAGCAATTATTGATAGTTTGAAAAGCAGGTTTTTGAGATCTGTTTTGTTTTTAATTATTCCTTCTTTTTTTTATGAACAGTAGCATGAAGCAATTAATTTAAAATTGACGTTTTAGTTTCATTTGTGTTTTGTCTTTGCATTAATTTAATACGTTTAATTCTTAGACTTTTTTATTATTGTTTCATCAGAGATTTATGACACTTCAAAAACTTCATTTGGATGATACACATTTTCATGAAGTCGACTGGTTGCTAAAGCCTGAATCACCATTTGAAGGAATGCACTTATCGAGCCTTTTTATCAATGGAAAGCAAAAGAGGCAAATCAATTTAAGCAAATTACCCAAGTAAATATGTATATATTTATTTATTTTTATTATATTTTTCATCATCAAAACTTAAGCCTATATTAATATTACATAGGTTAGCTCATCTCCAAAATTTGGTTATAATCAATTCACAACTAGGAGGTTTTTCAGTGAATGACTTAAAATCTTTTTCAATCGAGCTTGAAACATTCATCGCTCATGAGAGTGGTATTACAATCCTTCAACCAAATATCTTCCTTGAAACTAGAGGCATTAAAACCTTGGACTTGACCGACAACAAAATTGAAAAGATAGATCCTCTATCATTTATGGAGGTAAATTGTACAATAAATTGATGTGCAGAACCAAATAAAAAAAATATATAAAATAAAATATAGTAATGTTTTTGTGTATATTGTGTTTCTTTGTATATATATATATTTATAAAATGTTTTTTTTTTTTTTTTAGTTAGGCCATTCTTTGGAAACATTGATATTAATGCATTGCTTCTCCAGTGGAGTGACATCTTTACCAACAGGGTTATTTAAACCACTCAGTTCTCTTAAAGTACTTAAACTGAACCACAATTATCTCTCAAAGCTGCCAAATGATCTAAGCTATCTTTCAAATCTTCAAATTCTCCATGCCCATGATAACAAAATCGAAAATATAAACAAAAATTTATTTAAGGTACTTTTTTTTATTTTATAATTTTTCATTTAAATGAATGAACAATAATGCATTGATTTTTTTTTTCTAGGGTAGTGACCATTATCAACTTATGGAAATCAACTTGTCATTCAACAAAATTACTAAAATATATATCGGCAGTTTCTCTGATCTAGATAACCTTATGGACATAAATCTCGGTGACAATGAAATTGTTAATATTGATGCTGGAGCTTTTGCTAACTTGATAGATCTAACAACACTTTCACTCCGTGGAAATAAACTGACATCCCTGAATACCGAAACATTCCAAAATTTACCGTGTCTTGCTTACTTGGACTTGGCATTTAACTCTCTTAATTCATTTAACTTTGCCAGTCTTGATCAGGTATTATTTTGCTTTCTGAAAACCATAGGAGCAGTTTTGTATTTTTTGATTTATCCAACCGAATTGTATGAATTTTGTAATAAAAACTATTATTGATGAGATTTGTTACATTATTTTAGGTTGGTACTTTATCGTCACTAACAGTCAACGTCAGCTACAATATGATAAAACTATTGACTCCAAATGCCACTTATATTAATGGTCGTGATAATGTTTATACTTCCATAAAGGTAAGAGCTTAAAAAATTATATAATTTAGTCTTTCACATCACCAGTAATGACTTTCTATTTGATTGTGATTCACAGATATTAGATTTCTCTCACAACAATATTACATTTATTGATAAAAATTACCTGCTGCCAGTTCAACATACACTGACACATTTGTATTTGTCCCATAATTCATTGGAAAACGCTTCGAGAGACTTTTTACCAGAAATGCATCTTCTGCAGTTGCTTGATCTTAGCTACAATTCTCTTACAGAAATTGAATTTGATGCGTTGAGGAGTGCTCGTGCTTTACAGGTCAGGCCACTTTGAGTTAACATGATTTTTCACAAATTTATATTTATATGATTGTTTGAAAAAAAATTACATATTAAAGTTTACGAACTTATTATTCATATGTATTGAAAAATGGAGATTAAAGATTATTATATAATTATATCAATGCAGTGGTTCCTATTTGGTGTAAATTGTCTGTAGTAAAATAGGAGATGTAAAAAATATTTCATGATCCAGTAATAAAGAATGACTTATAAGAATTATTACTTGAAACTATAACTAATATGAATTACATTTTAGCAAATATAATAATTATTAAATATTTTCTATTAAAGTAAGAATTTTATTAAATTTGGAACAAAGTGAACTTGAAAAAATTGTTCCAATGTAAATTTAATTTGATTTTTTTTTTTTATTGTTTAGGTTATACTATTGTCTCATAACAAATTGAAGGACATACCGGACGATTTATTCCTCTCTTTAAATTCATTAAAAAGGGTCGATTTATCTTACAATCATTTGTTTACAATCATGGATGCAATGATGTCACCTCCTAGCCTCATGTCAGTTGATCTTTCTCACAATGACCTTACGAGAGCACCACTTTCTACCTTTTCACCAATGGCAGCGGCTAATTTAATCGAACTTTATCTTGGCCAGAACAGGATCATTAATCTTCCTGCGGCTGATCTTTTCTCTAGATTTGAGGTATATAAAAGTTGAGCATATGTCTAAAATTTATTAATTTTATTTAATTTTGTAATCTATAATTAATTTTGTTGGATCAAATCATATCAAGATTTTAAAAAGTAATGTGTTCTAAGAGAAAATTAAAAATTCTAGGGTGGAGGAGAGATTTATGCTGTACATAGTGTAACAAGTACTTAAACAAATATTGTGATGTAGTTATATCCTAGAGCTAACATAATTTATCGCTACAAATTATCATGAAACTATTTTAGTTAGTATTTCTAAAAAGTGTGTAAATTTTATACTAATTGTAGGCAACATAAGGTCATTTGCAGATCTCCTTACTGGAACTGATAACAATTGTCTTAATAGATCTGTAATATAATATAAATAAAAATATTCTTTTTATATTTGTTTTCAGTGTTTAACTTAATGAAGCTCTTAGATATAAATTGGATATGTAGGACATAAAGAGAAATCAACCTAAAGTTTAGGTTAAATTTAAATTTTCTTATAGTGATTTATAAATTACTCATATGTATGTTGAAGGGGGTAAAGCTATTAAAAATATCCTATAGAGATCAATTTATTCTTGAATTCCAAATATTTTTAAGGAAAAATATAATACACTTGTTGCAATATAGGAAAATTGTCGAAAAGAAGCCAGTGGAGCTAATTTGATTAATTACACATGGTATTTCATTTTGATTTATAATATTGTTACATTCCCAAAACTCAATACTCTGCAACAGGTAGTTTAGTTTATTTATATGTTTTTGATTTGTTTTTTAGAACTTGCGTATTTTGGATCTATCTTCTAATAAGTTGACCGAAATCGGCAATTCTCTCTCTCAACTTCCCAGCTTATCGAGGCTTAGCATTGCTCACAACTTTATTCACATTGGTGGAAAGGACTTCTTAGGTCTAGAAGATACATTAGAACATCTTGATCTAACTAATGCTTCTATTAGCTATGTATGCACATTGTTATAAAATGTTTATAATTTTTGATTTATGTGTGTAATATTGATTAACACTAATATATTTTCAGGTTCCATCCTTACATTTACCATCTTTGAAAACTTTAAGCCTCGCTTATAATCTGATATCATATTTGCCTCCAGATCTAGCAACAAATCTGACTAATCTTAAATATTTAGATTTATCATACAATAATTTACAAAGTATACCACAATTTCCTCAGTTAAAAGCATTATACATGGCTGGCAATGAAATAAGTGTTATAAGCAATACCAGTTTTAATGAATTTCCTAATATTTATGATCTAGATATTCGTCATTTATTATTAACTGAATTTGACGTAAGTAAATTGAACTAGAAGTTTTAAGTTATATACACAATGACTTAATATTTAATCAGTAAAAAATATCTTTATTTTTTCATGCCTAATAGGAAGAAGGGCTGACCAGCTTACTGGGCTTACAGTCATTACATATTAGCAACTTTAAAGATTTAAAAAATTTTAATATTCCTCAATGGTCAAAAGAAAATAAAGGACTTCGATATCTTCATATTGAGGTACATATTTATTTTTAATATTATTATTTTTGACATTACATAAATATACATATATATATATATATATATATATATATATTTTTTTTTCTTTAATAGCTAAAGGGATCAGGAAATCTTGATCAAGAACTAAAAGGATCTTTACCAAAAAAAGTTAGGCACTTAGCTTTTACTGGAAAAGAAATTAAATCACTTCCAGATTTTCTTCTGAAAGTAAATAGATTTAAATATTTTTCCGTACTGAATATTTTTATGTTTCATGAAAGATATCGTTAATAAAATTTCCTTGTTTTATATTCAGGGAATTTGGAATCCAAGTGTTACATTGACATTGAGGAACACGAGTGTTGAAAGCTTGCCTGCTAACTTATTTTCATCTTTGACTTATGTTAGAAATATCAGCATTGATGTCTACAATAACAGTTTAAAAAGTCTTTCTAACCCTTCCAATATCGGTGCGGCCAACCGACCCGGTAAAACATTTCTAATTGATCTTTTCATGCAGGATAACCAGTGGAATTGTGATTGCCAGCTTGGGTAAGTATCATTTTGAATAATCTAAAACTACTGGACGAATATTTAACAAGGGTTTAACTCTAAAGTATTATTTTCGGTATATTAGCTGTTTATTATCCATTAACATTTTTTAGATGGGTCGAAACATGGCAGAGAAAAAGAAGACAAGTATACTTTAGGGATCACACAGTTGAGGATGTTCGGCAAACCAAGTGTAATAATAAAGGGAATAAATCTTTCCTTGAAGTTTTAAAGACAGATCTTGAATGCGGGTGGAGCAGAAGCAGTATTACCTATCCAACTTGGTTTTCTCTAAGCTTATCATTGATAATTTTAATATTTAAAAATGTTATACTCACATGAATGCATTGACATTCGAATTATTTTCTGTTTTCAAAATGAAAACTCAATTGTTAAATATCCAGAATTGGCCAACTTCTGATGATTTTTTTATATTTTTCTGTACTTTTTAACACTTATACTGCCATTTTTTCACTAGTTACGTTGTGAAAAAGAGTTTGTAAATTAGGATTTACGTGTCTAAATTATTAGAATGATGTACAAATGTGTATGTTTATTGCACTAAAGGCATGTATTCCTTAAGAATCGTTATTATTTATTGTTATTGTTATTTTATGTTACTAGTCCTTAATTATACTTAATTGAATTCTCAGTTCATGTTATTTTTTAACATATTTGTCTCTTACTGATTCCTTTTTTTTTTTTTTTTATGTAATTAAGTGTCTTATCTTTCTATTTGGAAAAGGGTTCAATAACTTTCGATTGCACTATGAATAAATAATTTATTGTTATCTGACAAATCTTTATTTTCAAATGCTTTAATGCTGGTACATTTATTTATTTTTACAACACCTAAACATTAAAAATGGGAAAGGAAAGGAAAAAAAAAAACTTAAGTTAAAATTTGACATTGTCGCTCAGTTCATGTCTTTCTTCAATTATTGATGGAACTTTTGCCTTCATAACTTCTTGGCAGTTGGTCCTGAAATCAAAAACAACCATTTGTCATAGTTTTTTTACTTATTTTAAATAGAAATTATTTGTAAAAAAATCCGTCGATAATTTTTCAAAATTAAAATTCTGTGTTGATCGAATGTACTCTTGAGTATTTTCAGTTTATTGGAAAAAGTCATTAAGAATCATTTTATAACACTAAATAATTTAATGTATTGCTTATATATTTTTTACTAAGATGATTTGATGGATCATACTTTTGTGAAATCAGAACCTTTTGCACATAGTGAAAGTGTTTTTAACATACATAAAGTTGTTATTTTGGTGCATTTAATGAGGTTTTGTATTGATGAATATGATGAAAATTCGTAATTGAAATAGGTACTTAGGTACTAATATTTACTTGAAAGTACAAATCCATCAAAAGTGTTCTTCATGACTTTTTGCAATATACCGATAATACATTTTACACTTATGGGCTGCTGAATTTCAGAATGCTTCTTGTCCATTTAATAAATTAATTTAATAATTACATATATTTTTAAAAAAGGACATAATACATTTGGAAATTCAACTACTCATATCACTTTCCGGCAGGAATAATGGGAGAACACAAAGGAGATGGTTTTGAGAACACCTCTATTAGAATGTTTGTAAATATGAATTTCTATTAAATTTAATACATGTATGTACTGGGAAGCCAATGGTTTCAACCATCCACAGTCCAAAATACATCAAGTAAAAAATTACCAGCGATTGAAATTTACAACTTTTAAAATTGAGGAATCCATAAAACTAAAATTTTTTAAGTTGTTCTATTACATGTCCTGGAACACAATATTTTCAATTCATTGCTCTGCATATAATTTTGGTAAAAATAAAACAATCATACATCAAATGTTTTATATTTGAGACCATTGATGTATCACTTATCATCGACGATGTATCACTTAAAGATCTAGTTGAACTACAATCAGAGCTACAGTCTGCGATTATCACTACAATTTCTCGTAGTTACAGAAACGATCAATATAAAAATATAAACTAAGTGCCACTAGTGTTATATTTTACCGTTGAAAATTAAATATTGTAATACTATAAATTCTTTATTTATGTTTTACTATGAATTAGGTGATAAATCATTCTTAAAAAATCAAAAATATAATTCCCATTGAACCTTTGTGCATTTTTTTAAACTGTAAAATTTTCAATTCTAGTTTTATTATATTTTCATTTTACATAACTACTTAATGAGGATATACTGTAGATTGTTACTCACAAGAATTTGATACAGTCTGAGGGGCTGTTCCATTAGTATAACCTCTTCTCTTCCGATGTCATCTGCTGTATCTTCAGGGCTTCTGTAAATATAAAAAAAAATTGTTAATTTTGTTTATAGGTTTTAGCTATTCTAAATTTAAATAAAGATAATTACTAAAGCCTATACCACTACAGAATATGAAACTTGTATATGTGCTGTGCTTATTTAAGAAATATTATTTAGAAAACATACATACATAGATTTGCATAATAGGACTTGCTTTTACAAGTCTTAAAGTCAAAAAAAAAAAAAAAATACATACCTACCTTTAATTGCATTATGTATTTCAAATAGGAGAGAAACAGCACAAAATCTTTGATTTGGTAAATACTTTGAATTATTAATGTAAATTTATAGATTTTAACAAGTTATATATTCAACCATAGGTGCAGACTTTTGATTTTAATTGTTGGGGGTGGAGGGAGGGCAATGAATAAAACAAAAAGAAATAATGGCGGGAGTTTTTATTATGTTTAATAATTGTTGTGAAATGAACAAAAATAATATCGAATATTTAAAATTAATTTGTTTATATATGTAGTAAGGATTTTTATTTTTTTATATTACGTATTATATATACTTGAAAATATCTAAAAAAAAATGCAATTGATTTGTTTAGATTAAACACAGGAGGAAGGAGAGACAGCCTTCATAACATTGGTACATTTATAAAACATTTCCAACTAAAAGTTAATAATGTAAAAATGTGAAAAATATCTTTGATTTCTTATTTTGTACAACCTCAAATAAAAATAAAACGTTTTTCACAGTCCGAATAGTCCGCCTTGAAAAATTTGATAAGAATATCACGAGAAAATTGAGGGTTAATTGAATCATAAAATATTAGGATATGTTGATATATATTATCTTTGAATATTAATGCTAATTTAAGGTAAAAGTAACATTTACGTACCAATAAAATAGTTACATACCTACTAATAGACCTTAGTTAGGACCAGCTAGTCGACTTTTCTTAATCGATTTAAGTATACATATCCTATTCATTCATGTAGCTTATTTATTCTAGATTTTAATTTCTTTTTACCTCAAATTATTGGAGCGGAGGGCGAAACGATATTCTTGCCCCCCTCAACATTTTTATTGGATGGGAGGGGGTGAGGGGAGAGGCGATTGCCAACAAACAATATTAATACAAGCCAGAATTTGTTAATACCTACTCGATTTGTTAGTACGCCAAATTGGATGATGAATTTTCTTCAGTTTTGTATCAAAAACGTTATATGTATGCAAAATATATATGTATATATATATATGTGTAATACATATAAATACCATAAACCTCATTTAAATTACATTTAATTAATACTTAGAAATTATTAAACTCTGTAGGTAATGAACTGTATAGCAGAAGTAATGAAAAATGTTTATAAACTATAGCAATTGAAAATTTGTTAATTAACATTAGAAGACTATCAATATTTATAGAAATTTTCTAAAATAAATGTTAAAATGATTTCTTATGAATGTTATAAGTATTATAAAAAAGAACATGAATTGACTTGGGACAGATTAAATCAAATTAAAATATATAAAGTTACAGTTTGTGCAACAGGCCGTATTTAAAAATGGTTCTTTTTTAAAAAATGATTATTTCTTTATGATTTATTAGTATAATTTCCTATTTTATTTCCCTCTGGGTTTTTTTTCTATTTAAGATACTACTTATAGCAATTGCAGACTACAAAACGTCATCTTTGTGCTAACAGTAGCGATAAGAATTTTAACTTATTTTTATATGAAAAGTAATAAATAACAAAAGAAATAAAAAAAAAAATTGAAGCTAAAACAACAGAATTTTAGATATATGGCTAATATATATTTTATTTGGAAAAAACTATACAATTTTACTTTTAAAAAAATGATAAATGAAAAGGTTTTATCTCATCACTTTTGCTGTTGAAGTTGTGACAGAGAGAGTAAATACTCGGTGAGGCGAGCTTGCCTATCGGCCAAACTGTTTGCTTTGGGTACAATAAATTGTGATGGCTGCAAATCTCCACTTCTTTTGCCATGAGCTGTAAAAAAAATAAAAAAATAGATCATTATCAAATGAAGTTATAACTTTTAATGAAGTATATTAAAATAAGTAGTAAAAGTATAAATAACATATATTTGATTATTTTTTCCCTTTATTAATGAAAATGTAGCCATATCGTCAATATTCTGTAAAAAGACAGAATTCAACAGATTGGCTATTTTCGCCTTTTTAGGTTTATAACATGGATAGCTATAGATTTTTAAAAACGGCAATTCTGTAACTCTCACATTTGAACTTCATCTTATGTGACAAAGGCGGATACATCATTTTCTAAAATATCTTGTCAAATATTAAACACCAAAGATATAATAGATACTATTTATTTATCCATAGATTACAAAATAATATAATTTTCAGTTTCTGTTATATTGTTATATAAATAAACCTAAAAAAGTTTAAAAAGTTTGTTGAAGTGAAAAAAGGAGTGAAAAATTGGTATTTAAAAATAAAATTTAACAATGGTAATAGTTAATTCAAACAACAAATATGAGAAAAAAGAAGCAGACAATATTTCGAGATAATTTTTTATTTTGATTCTATTATAAAAACAAATTAAATCTCCACTTCCACTAACCCCCCATTCTTACCTAGAACGGTATTGACAAAAATCCCAATTTCTTTTCGAATTATATCTGTGTTGCTTTGCTCATTTTAAGTAGAGGTGAGTTTGCTTCGCAAAGAATCACTACCTTAACATATTATAAAAATATAAAAAGGTTTTGATGCGACAAATGTAGAATTTTCAACTGGCATAAGCTCTTTACCAGGATGTGGTATGACTCAACTAAAAATTTAAGCAGTGCCAAATTTTTACGGGATTTTGGAAAGAACCAAATTTCTGTGGAATTTCACATGAGGGGTATTTTAAACGATTTCGAAAATTTCCACTTCCTGGAATCTGCATTTGCAGGTTACTCGCATGCTTCTTTACTACCCAAGGTAGTGAAGTATTGTATTCGTGCAAGATAATCGAAAATTGTCTGTCGCGTGTTACGTTTCAGACATCAAGGATCAAATTTAGTTCAGCATCTGTCTGTCTGTAGTCAAATCGATGTGACGTGCATATTACCTACTACCTTTCATCCGATTTTCATGTGCGGGTTAGTGTCTACATGGTCCCATATTAATTTTCTCATATTCCATCGAGCACTTTCGCTTGCGCACGCGTAAATGTACTTTCATAGATATGCCAATATTTTAGAAACAGCTCGTTCGATTTTGCTCAAAATTGAAAGAAAGTGGGTTTTGATAAAATAATGATTCTGTATCGATGTTATTGAATTACGTCCTCTACTTTCTCATATGTATGAGCAAACGCGTTTTCCTTGATACGTCTATATTTCTAAAACTGCTAGTTCGATTAGGCTCAAATTTGGAGGGAAGTTAGGGATTGATTTGCAGTTAATTAACTAAGTATCAATTTTATCAAGTTCTATCCACTACGCTTGAAAAAAAGACTTCCGCTTTCGGATCAGTAAACTTATTATTTGAAACGTCTATAGTTTCAAAACGGCTTTTTCATCAAATAAGCTATATAAATAGATAAGTGAAAACGGATAATTAAATAATTATTATCTATAATACGCTTGTATTTTTTATTTTAATATCTTTTTTCCCTTAGAAATGGTCTATCCTTCCTTATGCCTATAA